CGTCTCTTCACCTCTTCCCGATATTTCCAGATGTCGCGCTCGGAGCTCCGAGTCCCCTTACGAAAGTTTCCGCCTCACCGCCTCCAACTATGACGTGCGTCCTGTCGGAAGAATATGTCTGAAATCCGATCTTCACTCCTCTGGTACTCGGGCTACCCTTCCGACATATCTGAAGGTCTGGTCACACAGATTCTCGACCTATTGCCAGCGTTTGACAAACAGCGCTACAGGGTTTCAAATTTACCTCCTTCCTGTATACTGCTTGGAGGCATTTCTGGACAATGTGGACCGTATTGTGCTTCCGGTGCGGTACCTGGACCAACTCATAGTGCCGTAAGCTAATTGCATAGCATGCACAGCGTCCGTAGAATGGCTGCAAGGGGTGCGGCTTGCGTGCATGGTCCCGAGACTATGGCAACTTTAGGCCATACATAGACAGGTACGCACTGTTCGGTGTCCCCCGAGCGGCGCCGGATATGCCGCATCTGAGGTATGAATCAGTCGTTCGTATTAATGTATAATCTTAAGCTTTCCTACTGTAGTTGCTCCGTCGTTCCGCGTCCACTTACGGCAGACGCGCAGGCCGTGGGCTCCTAAGGTGAAATTTGACGATGCGGACCTTTTTGATCAGGCACCAGAGTACACGCATACGGTGGACGGTGAGACTGCTGCGTGCACTGAACCGTGAGGCACAGCTGAGGGAGGACGAAGCAACGCTGCCGGAAACAGAACGGGATGTATGCTCTTAATTCTTCGCATTTCGCTATTTTCTTAGGTAGAGTTACTGGTGGTGATGACGAAGAAGTGACGCATTGGATTGTAAAGGTTGCGGGGGGTTGGTTTTTGAAGTTTGTCATTGTTCGGTAAGACGCATGTCAATCGTAGCTAACACGAAAAGACCATCTTGAATAAAGCAGATTGGATCATGTTGTCCCTTTCGATTGGTAGAGATCTGGTGACTGTCTGCTAGATGCCTTGTCCCAAATTAAGGCGAGGCTGGACAACATAGAATATAAAGATCAATGCGGTCCATTGTAAAATCTCCATCCATGACGATCGGCTCTACCTCGACACACCATCCGCTAACAATCCAACTGTGGTGCCGCACCAGGCAGTGTCAATCTAAACACCATAAACTGGGTATTCTCGTTCAGCCCAGCGTCGTACGAAACCCCGACCGACACCCCATCCTCCGTCTGGAAGTCGTTGTCCGCCTAGCACAGCATAGCGTAAATGCAAATCATACCCCAAGAATCGAGAGCCGGACTCACGGCGGTGAAGAGGAAGTAGTCATCCGGATATGCTGGATCTCCGACGGGCGCGAGCGCGAGCGACTCCCATTTCCTATCAATTAGTGTGTCGTCGTCCGGTTTACCTGCAACGCGAGCATTTCAGAAATTTGCCATCTGCCTGCGAACAAGCTCTAATAGAGACGCATATATGCTGGAGAGCTAACCATTGTGCAGCCCAAACCGCGCCAGCTGCGTCGCATTCAGGTAGTCGACGAACGAGACGTACGTCGCAGGTGTGATAGTCGAATTGAGCGTGCCCCCAGGCGAGACTGCGCCACCAGGGGCGTTGAAAAATGGTGTATTCACGTCCGTCGCGTTGCTTATGTCAAATAGGTCCGCCTGCCTGAACGGCGAACCGGTCAAAGATGCCTAACAACGTGTCGTACATGTCACGCTCACTTGTACTTGGACTTGTCTGACGACCCGCCCTCGCCCTTCCCATCGCGCGATAGCACGAGGAATACGCCTGGCGCGACGAAGTGCACCTCGCTCGCGGCGTACAGGTTGCTGCCCGAGTTTGAGAGTGGGAGGGGAACAACCCACTCGCCGACAACGGGTGGGTGTTCGTTCGGGTCCGAGACGTCGAACGCGAGTAGGCGCGTGTATGGCGATGGGTTCGAGAGAAGCCCGCCGTCCTGCACCGTCGGCGACTGGAGGAGCGCGTAGAGCCTGCGAGCAGAGATGTCGAGGGATAGGCCCTCGAAGCCTGCATGTTCGGAGTTTGGATGGTGCTCGTCAGGTGGATAGCGGGTACGGCGGACCTTGGTTCCCGACGCGCCCAGTCGTGGGCTCTGTCTCCGACGTGAAGTTGAGCATCCCGTCCGAGGTGTAGGGGAGAAACGCCTCTGGTGGTTGGATGGTCTGAATCAAATCTCCTGCGGCGGAGAAGTGATAAATGTACGGCCGTATTCGTCGCTCGTCCACACACTGTCCGCGCCGAGTGAGTACGCCTCCAATGTCTTGTACTACAAATTACGTACGAGCCATCCGCATCCGCAACGAGCCCCTCCGCATCGAGGCACAGCCGCGGGTCCTGTACCGTCGCGACGGGCATCTGCGGGTCCGCGTCGGCCAGCTGGGGGTACCTCGCCGATGCTGCACGCACGGCGAGCGTGTCGAGCCCGGTCGTGTTCACGCCCCCGCGGTCGTAGTGTAGCGTTGTACTGAGGTAGGTTAGCTGCAAAGTCTCCGCCGCGCCATCGTACGAAAGGTTGTCCGTGCCGTAGTACGGCTGAAGCACGAACGCGTATTCGTGCACCCGACCTTGGTAGTTCACCGGACCCTGGCTGTTCAGGTATGGGTGCATTCATCAGTCGAGATCGTCATAAAACCGTCAACGACGAATGGATGAAGGACTCACACGTTGTACCCACGATCGGGTTGGACGATTAGCATCCCCGAGAATGTGCCGTTGCTCGCGGTCCACGTGTACGGCTTGAGCCCGATCGCACTTCCGATACCGCCGATGGTGTCGCCCACGATGTCCGTAGCATTCGACGGGATGAATCCGTAAGCGACCAGACCCTTCCAATCGACCTCGGTGAGAGAGAGTTCAGCGACGTTCGTTATCGCGGGACCGCACCTTGTTGATGTAGGTCTTTCCTGCGAGCTCGGCGTAATAGTACAACGACGGATCTGGCTCCGTGGTGTCTCTGCGAGGTAGTACCGCGAGAGGCGAGGAGTATGCCTGAAGGCCAGCTAAAGCGGTGACAAAAGTAAGCCAGAGCATTCGGGCAGGACGGGTAGAGGTGGGTCTCTCACCAGCGTAGAGCCGCGACATATTTGAGGCAGCACATGTGGCAAAGATGTCAGCGCAGGAACTGCTTTAGCTTCTTCGACTTCGGCGCATTCACGTTCGTACGAAGTTCGCAGGCTGGAATGCACGCAGCTGGAAAGCACCTGACGAATATCCGAGCGCCAGGTGCCCTTGCATGTGACTCTGCACGCGACAGACGGGTATTCTCACCAGGATCGAAGGGAAACGTATCGATACGTGGTGCAGATATTTGAGGCATGGTACAGCGTTTGCGAGATACTGCGCACACGGGTATCGGGCATCGGTTTTTCCGAGTGTACGGCCAGTCGGCTTTCGCAGCAGGGCAACGCACGATGCAGCGAGCGTACAAGCTCAACTTTGGGCGAATCTATAGACCATGGAGAGTCCTCATCAGAAATGCAGTTATCATCAGATGAGAGTATTACGCACCGAGCATCTTGACTCACACTGCGGCGTGTGAATGATCAAGAAACTCCAGAACTAGTCCAATAGTTTGAGCTAACGGCATAACAAGAAATTACATACCACGTCGGCGCGATTCCAGCAGCCACAGCGGTACCACACCTGAGATCTGAGAATCGCCGTGAATATCATCGTCGAATTCCAGCTGAGAGAAGCCTGCGGTGCAATGGGTCAAGTTCAACAAGAGTATCGACAAGCCTCCAGCGATCGTGGATCCCAGAGTCGCGTGTCGCGTGACTGCTACCTCAATGCAGCGCTGCCGCCTGTGGCTCACGTACTCGAGCTATTGCAACCAAAGCCCCTTTACCTCCTCTCTTTCTCGGTTGTTTACTATCACAGCTTCACATGGCACCTCCCAAACGCGTCATATCTCCTGCATCGCCTTCAGGATCATCCGGGAAGAAAGTTCGTGCCCTCCCAGGCGGTGCTGAATTTGAGACACAGCCACCCGATGATCAGGGGTTATCCTCCGTGAGCGGAGAGGCAGTAGGAGAACCTGCTGCTGTTGGTACGTCCATGGTGAAGGAGCCGGTATCAAGTTCCAGCTCTGATGTTTCCCCGGGCCTCTATAGAAGACATTGTTGTCGGTGGAAGCACTCACCTGGCTGCACCATTGGCGGGCGGGCGTGGGTTGGAAGATGCTCCTCAGGCTGGGCTGGCGGAAGTGGAGTATGTGGATGATCCTTTCTCCGACGAGCAACATGCGACTTGGGATGCAAGGGTAATGGTGGTCGTCCGCAAGGAGGGTATCTCTCCACAGGTCTTCCCTCTCACGGTTGCTGCTAATCTCCTGCAAATTATTCTTCGCGACATCAAGACATTTGTCAAACCTGCGCTACTGGATCGTGACGAAATCCTTGAGCTTCTACTCAAATATCGAGACACGATGCTACCCGCGTTAGAGCAAGCCCTTCGAATGGGACGGTTCGCTGCTGTACGCCATATGGGTAAGTATATTTCGTTATGGATGCTACCTTTAAATACATTAATATACGTACGTCGTCAGTGCTTCTCCCTGCAGGCGCAATATCGCCGTCGTCTGAGAGAACCGGGTCTGATATCAATTATAGTAAGCTCTCGGTGTATTTTGAACCATGTGTCGCTGATCTCACAATGGATCACCTGTCAAAGCTCCATCATCGGGACTGATAATGCCTCCACGACGGCAGGCTCAAACTCAGATGTCTATCGCAGACATGGAGAGTGCTATCCTCAAATTTGAAGAGAAAATATATCCTGAACTGAAACGATACGTCATGGGCAAGCACCCCACATTTAATCCTCCATCCTCGGCAGTGAAGGACAGCACCCTGTTCATAGATGGTATGGGAGGTATGTCTGAGAAGGACCCTGCCGTGCGACAAAGAGTCGAGAGTCTCTTTGGTGAAACTGAGGAGGGTGAAAATCGTCAGTATGTGGCTATTCTATGACCTCTGTTCTGTACTTTGCTGACATCGTCCCAGCTTCTTGTTCAATACTTCTGGTACCGGAAAGACTACGCTGCTTATTGAAGGCTTGTGCCGCTACTGGGGTCTATATGTGGTGTCATGCTATGACCAAAAGCATCCCTTGGGATCCGAAGATGTCGATACTGCATGGAAATTTCTTCAATCCGATCCTGGATTCACTCCTAAGGTACCCCTCACACCGACCAAGAACGATGCATTGGCAAATAATGTCAAGATCGCTGCGCGAACATTCCGCTTGGTCTTGCTCGCACGCTTGAGCATCTTCGATTTCTTCCTCCGTTGCGCTCCACTGCGTATCAACGAGGCGGAGTTGCGACGCCGGTGGGTGTACCTTCAACTTCGACCTTCTGGCCTATTCCGAAAAATGGACATCTTCGATGAATTATTCCAAGCGATACATACAGTTCAAGACGACAATGCGGTGGCACTTAGAATCTACAACTTAGAGAAAGCTATTCGCGATGATGTCCATGTCGGTTCTCTCTTCTTTGCACTTGACGAAGCCCAGGTCGCGTCGCAGAGGGGAACAGAGGCTTTCTGTTCATCAACGTCTGGCGGCGGGCATGGAAGTGTGCTGGGCGAGATGTGCAATGCTTGGTCCGACTTCTCTAAGGCTATGATTATCTCTGGGACAGGTCTTCCGCTAGAGCTCGTCGTCACGAACTTGATCACATCCGCGACGGGAAAGCAAATAATGTGGCCGAAGCTTTTTTCAGATACCGGATTTTTCGACGACGAGGACCGTATGCGAAGTTACATCATCGACCGGGTTTGGCCCAACCGCGAATTGACCGATACTCAAGACCAAATTTTGAAGCGTGCTTGGCGCTGGCTCCGGGGAAGGTGGGACTAGATTTTATACAGTTCTTTCTGAACAACCCCATGTAACATTCTTTAGACACCGGTGGACCGCTGGGTACACATTACTCCTGCAAAGGATGGGCGTCACATCCGCGAACAAGATTCTAGACGCCTACATCAAAGTCCTCACGGGTGGTTTTGAGGCGACGGACGGGAAGGCCCTCGCGAGAAACGAGCCTGACACCGACGTGATCAAGGTTACCGTCTTTTCGAAGATCGATTTCTCCTCACTGCGGGATCCGCGGAACATCAGACTCGAGGGGCTAATCTTCAGAGCCGTTATGAACGTGGTCGTGCGGAACCGGCCGCACATGTTCTTTACAGAGTTCGTCGACGCTGTCTCCCTTGGCTTTGCTCGCGTGACGCCAGAAAAGGGTCCTGTCGATTTCACAGGCAAAACCGAGTCGGTCAAGCAATTACCCCAGCGCATCGACGAGCCTCTTGTCGTGGCGGCTGCACTGCGCTACTTCCTGTCTCGTCCTAGCCGTTCGATGCGAGACTTCGTCGCAGGGCCCATACGAGGTGTTGAAGAAGCATCTACCCTCGGGTTCGCTGTGGAGAACGTCGTGACGATCGCACTGGCTCGTGTTTTCAAGGATGGCGCTGCGTCGTTGTGTGACGCCTTCACTCTGTGTAAGAGCAACGGACAGGCTTGGCTATCGGAGCCAGTGCATTTTGTTTCTATCACAGGACGAACCACTGACGGCACGTTCCTCTTCGAAGACTCTGGTCTTGGTCGGCGTGCGGTCCCCTTGCTCGGCTACGAAGCCTCCGGCCCTGAGGAAGTCGAGGACTGGTTGAGATGCGCGAAGAGTATCTTCTGCTTTCCGGATGCGACGATGGGTCCTGATATCATGTTCCTCGTGAGATGCGGTGTTCAACTCGTTTGGGTGTTGGTCCAAGTGAAGTGTCTCGCAGTTGAAGCGCTTACCGCAGGGCAGACAAGTCTCCGCAATGTTGATCTCAGCAAGTTCTATCGTGCAAGGGTAGGATTTATATATGCTCGATGTATTTGCTAACACTAACGCGATCGACATGCGTCCTTCGCAGGACGGACAACCATACTCTCCCAAGTATCGACAGGGTCTTACCGAGAAGACTCGCAAACTCATGGACATCCCCGGTACTCCAGTGGTGCGATTGGCGGTGTCGTTCCCCGCTGAGCCGCACGCGGGCATTCTGGAGGAAGCAGGGTCAGCAGAAGAAATCGTTGCGACGTTCGATAAGTTGGTGGAAGATGTGGAGTTTAGCGAGGCGTTGGCGATCTTGAGCGCGTACATGCCGAAGTAGTAACAGCTGGTGTTGCTATGTCCTCAATTCTGTGATATTCTGTATGAGTGTACATGGTGGTTTCCAGGTGTCTCCTGCGCCGTACAAGTAGAGTCGTGTCTCGTGATGAGCTCGGGCTGCAGCAACCGATGCGCCAGATATCGCTTTGCATGTTCTCGTTCCCCGCGCTGCGTTGCCCAAACGTGCCTCCGTACATGCATACTCATCTCGGACGGGCCGCATTCTCTGTTGTCGTGAGTAAATAGATGCAACATACGGCGTGCTCGACCTACCGCGTCGCTGTGCTCATCTCATGCCTGTCGCTTTTGAGAAACCCGATCCTTGCTGGATGTCTCACGCTCTCGCCCGTCGTCCCTCTCCCTCGACTGTGCGCGGCGAGTGAGAGCCACCCGTTCAGCTCAACATTCATCGCTTTCCTAGCTGGCGGAACGCAGTTTTGCAGGAAAGTAAACGACGAGTAAGTCGTCTCTCCCGGTCCGAGACTTTTCGCCGTTGATTCGTTCACGTAGGGAATGTGTTTCGAACCAGCTCTGAGGTGCAGGACGCCGTATTTGCGCGCGATATCGCACCTCAGACCATTTTTCCGTGCCACCCAGACGACCTCCCCCAAAGCAGACCGCATCGAGTTGATTCGGGTGATACGCGGGCCCGGCGTACCGCTGTTCTCTGGTTCGCGGACTACCTGCCACCGACGCAGCTTCGTAACGCAAGTGCTGATCGAGATCGTGCAGGCTCGGGACTATTCTGAAGGTTGGTTTCGTCTGCAAGGCGAGCGACGTTCGTATGCTTGCGGGAGCGTGTACGGAGTACGCTCTGCGCTACTGGATGGCTCACTCACACTTGGCCGGTACCGTCGCAGCTCCTCCCGTCGTCCTCCGCATCCCTGTACAAGTCCCTCACGCGTGCGGCGTCGTATTTGCACCCTCTGTCCTCTATCGTTGGCGCGGAGCGAGCACCGCCGAACTCGATGCTGAACTCGACGCCGGGTTTGTATTCGACGTATACAGGCGGAGACCGATTCGTCCGCAACCGGACGATATCTAGCATTCGAGGGCGCGGGCATCCGCGATGATGACGCCTACACGCTCGCGGCGATGGCAGGTGCCACTCGGCGGCGGCGGGAGGTGCTCAGCAGGTGCGCTTCTTCCCATCCTCGAACACAACCGCATATACTCACCTCGGTCCTCGTGCGCACCCAGGCGGACCGGCCGGGCAAGGGCGTGCACTCGCGGCTGTAAACCGCATATTTTGAACCACGATCCGCAGATCGCACCATCGCGCGTCGTTGCACCACATTCGCACGGACTCGTCGCTAGTACTGTTCGGGCGCTCTGCGTCGTTCCTCCCCGCCGCGGACTCGCCCTCGCAGATCCTTCCGCACCTCGCACAGCAGCTGAGCCTCCTGCTGTACACGCCGGGGCGCAGCGACCCCGACGTCACTTTGTCGACCTTGTCGCACATCTCCGATACGGGCACCTTGCGGGGTCGTGTACGAGGATCTGCAGGATCACAAGGGCGAACACGAACGAGGTCAGGACGCCGATCCCGGCGCTCAGCGAGTCAGACGAGGACGCGCGCGCGAGGGACGCACCTGCCGCCCGAGGCCCTCGACCTCGACTGCGTGCCATCATGCGGCTTGACTTCAGCTGGTCCATCGCGCGGGACGACTCGGCATCTTCGGCCGCGAGTCCGCGAAGACGGCGACTGTGGTCTGCATGGGCCACGAGGATACCGGCGACTGGCGCGGAGTGCTGCGCAAGTACGGGCGCAGACCGCATCAAGTTGATTCGGGTGATACGTGGGCCCTGCACACTGCTCTTTCCTGGTTCGCGGACTACGTGCCGCCGATGCAGCTTAGTGACACACTGATCGCTGCAGGATGAGAGTTGATTGTGTCTGCAAGGTGAGCGACGTTCATATTCTTGCGGGAGCGTGTACGAAGTATCTGCGCGACTGAACGGCTCACCCGCACTCGACTGGCGAGTCGGTGGTTCACAACGCTGAGCTTCAGCTGGGATCGCGTCGAGGACGGTGTGATCGAACGTGAGTGACGATTAATGAACGCATGAAGCTCGGTGACCAGTCCGATACATATATATATACGGTTCTCAAACATTTTTTCTCTATGTGCGGGGTCCTCAGCCTACCACCTCGACCATCAGCTCGCCTCTCGCCGCTGTCACCGCGGCAGTCGCCATCAATACCAGCGCCGCTGCACGTCTGCGTCAGCATTCGCCCAGTTCGAACAGTCGGAACTTGAAAGCTTGACCACGATGACTGGCGTGCCTAGATCGGTGTGCTGCCGGGTAGAAACGAGGTCCACGATACGTATCGAAGCGGATTCCCAGCCGACTTCTCTCGTTTGGTACATGCCCGGCGCACGCAGTACGACTCCCATTTCCGTTGCATCCCTGGACGTCCGACTCGAGCGGAGTTAGCAGCTGATGTCGTACGTGGAATGATTCGACGCCGACGTTCGTTCTTCAGATCTTCAGATGCCAGGAGTTTGGACACATCCGGCGGAGACCGGCAGCGGTGAGCATGAGGAGCACTTGCGCTTCGGTGAGAGTATTAATATTACCAGGACGCGCTGTTCGCTGCTCCCAAGTTGCTCGTATTTCCTCCGACGAAGGTGGCGCGTGTCCGATTCGAAAATTGTGGCGCGAACGGAGAACGAAAGTCCGGAGTTTGCCCCGCGCCGAGGATGGTGGCGGACAGCGATCATGCGGGGGACGCATCCGAATAGGGACAGAAGACATCCTAAAAAGGCGCAGTGGATCGTCAGCTCTCCAACTCTGTCGTCCGCGATGGATCTATAAAGTCGCGCTCAGCGTTCGTCCTCCGCGGCCGCACCCCGCACTAGGCTCTCGCCATGTCCGCTCCGCTCCAAGTCGCGCGACTAGTCTCGCTCGCGCTCGCCACCGCGTTCGGCATCATAGGCATGAGCGTCGGCGTCGACGCCCTCGTCCAGTCCGACCGGCAGAAGAACACGGTCCGCCAGAGCGCACCCGCCGGCGTGTCCGTGTCCATCGACACCTCCGACGTCTTCGCCTCGGGCGTCGTCAACACCGTCGTCTGCGCCCTCCTCGCCGTCGTCTCCTCCTCCGCGCTCACTACCGCCCTCGTCTCCGCCCCTGCGCGCCGCGCGTCCCGCCTCTGCGCGCACGTCCTCCTCCTCCTCTCCGTCTGGCTCTTCGCCGCCCTCGTGCCCTTCACGGACTCCGTCGCGCACCGCCAGGCCAACGTCTCCGCCACGCTCGACGGCGCCGCCCTGCCCCCGAGCGTCATCCAGGCCGTGCAGGCGCAGAGCGGCGCCACCGGCACCTACCACGCGATTTCCTACCGTGAGTGGCCGCCGCAACCCCTTCACCGCCCCTTCACCGCTTATACCCCGTTCTGATGTGGTGTCCGCCTCGCGACGGTCTTCCCGTGGATCGCGTTCCTCTTCGGCGCGCTATCCGCGGTCTTGTCGTACACCACGACCACGGAGCGCAGTGCCGACTCTGCGCGTTACCCGCTCGTGGCCGGCGGCAGGGCGGGCTCTATCCGGGACGTGGATGACACGCCGAAGGAGGTGGAGAAGGTGGGCATCCGGCAGGTATGATCGTGCGCGGACCGGGGCGCGCGCGCGGTCTCTCAATTCCTTTTTTCTTGACGCGAGGCAGATTGCAAGAGGGCTCCGAGGGCTTGCAGAGTCGTTTGGCCCGCTTCCGAGCGGTGCGCGCGCAGATGGACATTTATTTTACGATCGGGATTTGTTAATGTACCGCAGTACGTCGTGAGCGCAAGCGTTTCTGTACCTCGTCCCATCATCGCGGTCTGTATTAACCGTGCGCAGGTGTCTGTCGCGCTACTAGATAAAAACAAGACCACTTAAGCGGGAAAGACGCGCCTCCGCACTTCCCAAAGCGACCAGCTCCTGTGGACTTTCTGGGTGAGCCAGAATTTAACAAGGCTTGATGAGTCGGGTAGGTCGAACGCAAAGCGCGCAGGTCTGGCCGCCAGGTGCGGGAGACGATGAGCGGAAGCGCGTGAAGGAGGTGTCCGACGCTCCCCGCACTGACAGTGGCTGGCCGAAGACGAGTGGTCGAGTCGGTCTCGATTCCTTCGCAGCGCTGGTATCTTGTGTGTTGTGTGTTGGATCGACCGCAGTCGGTCCAATAACCTGCAGCAAACACGGGCGCGACTCACACTGCTAGCGGACCACCGAACTAGAGCGTCCGCGGCCGCGCAATGTGGTGCATCGGGTCGGTCCACGTGTTCGCGCCCCACCTTCGCATCTACCGTGACCGCGGCCGTCCTCGCGCAATATCCCAGCGTCCGATGAGCAACCACGGCTCCTTCCCGTTTCACCGGGCCATCTTCGACGACCCAGCGGTGCGCGCAGTCGGGCTATGACGACGCCCTCGGCGAGCGACGACAGATGGGCCAGACGCGTGCGCATATCTGCGCGGGAGAGGTCAGCGTCGAAGCTCCCTAGACAACGGCGCGCACCTCGATACCCCTTTCCCACCTCTGCCCACCCTCCGCCCCCCCGCGCGCGGTGGGACCTCGTTCGCGCCCCTCGTGCTGAGGTGCCTTCCAGAGCTCCGTTACGCTCTTCCCCGGCGCGCTACGACGCGACATGTCGAGCAGCGAGCGTGCACGGCCCGTCCTCTCAGCGCGTGGGGGTTCCGACCGGATCTCTCGTGTCCGTCTCGGAGCCCGGTCGTATATGAAGCGCCTTTGAGACGTCTGCGCGGAACGAGCGAATTGTGGGTTCTTTCCGGAGGAGGCGGACCCGACGGTCTATCTCGACGGGTCTACGGCAGAGCTTGGGGTCGCCTCCGGGCTTGATGTTGGAGGGGCGATCGAAGTCAGGAGGAGTTCTCTGGGCTATGTGACTCGGAGGCGAAGCTCGAGCTGTAGGGTGTCGCAGGCCGGCGCGGAGGAAAACGAGAGAGCATACTATATGTTTAGATCTGGCGGGCACACGTGCGTTCTACGTGGAGGCGCACCTCCGCGCTTGACGTTGAAGGCTAGCACGGTACGCTTCTCTCCGTTGGTCGTGGCCTGCGGAGCCGAGAACGGCTTGTCGCAGCGGCGCCATACAGAGTGACGCCGCCGGCGCCCGATGCAAGCCCTCATGTGGCTTCACTGCCAGTGCTGGGGAAAGCCGAGTATCCTTTGCAGACCTAGCGGGTGCACGTCGTTCTATATATATCCGATCGAGTTGTAAAGCTTGACTCACCGAAGGCTTGCGTTTCGCCGCCGGCGTACGGAGCTGAGAGCAGCTCGCGCACGAGAAGCAAGTTATAAGTCGTAGTAGCGTCTCGCAGTTGTCTGCATGTGCAACTTACCGCGTGGCGTCGCTGCATGTCTTGGCGTGTCGGCGGTGCACCCTGTGGATTACCGTGCCTGGTTTATGTAGCGCGCTTGTTATGTTCCCCTTGATGAGTCCAGTTCCACGTCACCATACCTCACTCTGAAATAACCCCACAATGGTGACACAGTTCCACCCCAAGATAGTTATTCTGGAGGTGGAACGTCCCAGTCGTCGACCACTGGTGGACCGCAGTTTCAACTTGAAGATGGATGTCGCTCGCTGCGGATCGTTCGAAACTGGATACCAACTGACGCGCTCTCCGCCCATCTCTTTTTCCTGCCTCAGCCTGAAGAGTAGTACTTTTCGAAATCTGTTAGTGTTGGTTGTACCCCTTGTCCTTTATTCGGTGAGTCCCACAGTTTGCCCTGCGTTTTCTCGTGCCCTCATCGTCGTGATCGATGGCAACCTTCAGTATACTTACGAAGCAACCTGTAAGGAAAGCACGCAGTGCTCATGTCTCACTGGCACTGGCACACCGACGAAAAAGCACGGTCCATATTTTGGATACAGCCAAGTCGCCGGCGCCTCGTAGACGCTCGTCGCGACTCGGATGTTGAGAAGGGGACTCCCTATACTCGTGAGTGCGCTCTTTATCCCAGACAGCATATTTTTCACTTATGAATATGCTCCATGTACTGCATCAGAATGCCCAAGTGCCGCTTCGACGTATCCAGAAGGGACCAGCAGCACTCCGCAGTCGTCGCCAGACCAAGATCGATCCTTGCCGTCGGATTGCCGTTACGCTTTGTGCAAGGCGACACCGCAGTGCGTTGTGACCGACTTCTCCGGACGATTGGTAATGGGAAGCTCGACGTTGTTAGTCAACTTCGAGAGTTACCCTGCTCCATTGGACTTTCTTTAGTGACCATCCGTCAGTAAGTATCTAGTCGCGTCTCATATTGCCTTACACAACTTATTCGGCAAATATTTCGACCAATATACAGCTTCCATATCCATGCACGCCAGAGAAACCTGCAGCGAACAGCAGCGCATCTCCAGAGCCCCACGATGCCGGCTTCACTGTCGTGTACCGTACCTCCCGATTCTCGGCCTCGCGATGGTATCTCCTACTCCTTCGCTACCCCGAGCCGTCAAAGTCATGGATGGCAGTTCCTTTGCATGGCTGCAGTTTCTGCGCCTTGACTTCTTTGACCACGCTTGCTGTGCGTGTATCCCTGCAGGTCCTTCCCTTCTCGTCAACTAAATCTTCGTATATCCAGTGAAATCGTAACCAGGTTTTGGCGCTTTCCACTTTGTACTGGAATGACGTGCTCACCAGCACAACCGTCACATGGACTGGCCCCGCGAAATCATTCCTTTTACTTATTGGTGAGCTCAATGGGCGCATTTTTTGACACGGGGATACGTCGGCATCCCCGTCCTCCTCGCCTTTGGGACGATGCTCACCAGCACTGCGATGCAGTTCTTTTGCGCGCAGGGGCCATGCGTCGGATTTAGCTGCAGCTGTTTACGCGTTCCAAGCCGCATTTTATGTTCCCGTGACATACTATCGGAGAAGATTGCTAGGGCCTCGGGTGAGTTTGACACGCGGGTCGTTAATCAGCTGTGCAGGCGCCGTCCTCTATCTCGCGCACTTTCACCGGCTGCGGGAGGAGCTTCGCCTGTGGCTTGGAGACTGGCATCGTCTCGCTCGGGAACCTCGCAAATTTCTCGCGCAATGATGCGCCGCTGCCCGGTCAAAGCGCAGGCAGGCTGTTCGAGCCAAGTGCGTGAAAGAGCCCCGGTTCTCCGTGTCCGGCGTCGCGACGTTCTTGGGTTGCGCGCGCTCTGCCACTCCACCTCCCGTTGTTCCACGTCAAGCTCTATGTGGCGTTGTCACTCACCGCTCGCGCCGGACGGCCGGCACCGCTCAAGTGTGGCCTGCAGCGGTAAGGCCCCGGGACCGCTCCTCGGACTCCGAGCGATCCGAAGACCGCCCACTCTGTGCGTGCTTGCCCAGGCAACTCTGCAGCGTCGTTCTCCTGGTGTCGTGCGGACGAGGGTCGCCGCTATGGGCACCGAGCGCTGTGAAGGCGCGTGTTGGAAAGAAAGCCAGGTGTCCCGAGCAGGCTGTATGATACATACCGGTCACTCCGTCTTTCGCTGGACCGGCAATGCTCTCTTCATCCGATACCCAGATCGTGTTCGTGCCGCGAGCATACATGCTAGGAAGAACAAGATCTGCGCCGAATATCTTTCGGCATGAACACATATGGCTTCCGATCGCAGCGTTGTGGGGTACTCCCGTCCGAGATCCGATCGTTTTACCTCCGAGTCCACTCCCACCCACGAATCCAGATTGACGGGCAATCTCAAGAACATTAGCGTTCAGCACACAAACGGCGCTGAGTCATTCGACAACACGCGCCGGGACTCGGTTAAAAGATCTTACGGCGAACTTGGTAAACGACACATAGCAATGACATTCCGAAACAACTGTACAAATACAGGTAAAACCACGCAAATATCGTAACAAATCGTAGCAGATCAACGGCGGTAGCGACAAGCTCGACTCGCAGAGGTAAGAATGATATACGATGGATGTAGCTGTCTGAGCGTGCCATTCCAACCTGAACAAACATAACATTATGGGTCATGACGGACGGTGGAACGGAGGGAAGAGACAATTTAACCCACAGCGAAGCAGAAGATCGAATGTGACCCCGAGTAACAACTCCATTTTTCACGCCTTCTCGTCGACCATGTCGTCCTTCTACAAACACGCACCGCGCTCCATCAGTGTGATCTCAAACGGTATCGCCGAGACAAGCACCCACCGCGTTCTTCGTGACGTCCGCGAGGGTCCTTTTCCCAACGTCGCGCCCGATGCGCCATGCGGTGAATACGTGGCCCTGCGTGAAGATTTCCTCCACCTCCTCGAGCGAACGACCGGCAGTCTCGGGGAAGCAGAAAAAGATGTGGATGCACGCGGCGAAGTTGAATGTGCCAAAAATGAAGTACGTCTTGTACGCGATCGACGACAGGCCCGGAGGCACCGCCCACGCGAGAGCGAAATTGAACACCCAGTTCGTGGCTGACAGAGCACGATCATCGAAAGAATAGATGACACGGTGAGAGAGGCTCACCTGTTGCGACCGACACGGCCTTGGCCCGTACTCGCATCGGGTAGATCTCAGCTGGGTACGTCCAAGACGTGGGGCCCATAGTGATAGCGAAGCTGCACACGAAGAAATACGAGCAAACGATGATCGCGTGGGTTGCCGGCTTGTTCCCTGTGATGACCCACACGCCTAACCGTTCACCCTCAGCCACGCTTCCGCAAGGCTGAACGCAGATAATGACGCACGAGAGCCGTCGACGTCGCCCCACTGTCCGTAACGACCCTGCAGGCCACCGACGAGGAAGAGCCAGAAGCCCATGAGCAGTGTACCTATAATCAGCATCGGGCGCCGGCCCCACTTGTCGATGTAGATGATAGCGGGTACTGCAGCAGATGTCGCGTTAGACCTGGACGAACTGTACGTGCATCGCAGGTACGCACTAGTGAACAGGACATTCAGTACATATTGCACCGAATCCGCGATCAAGTTCCCATGCCGACCCGTCAGACCTGCTCCTTGGAAAACGTAGATGATATAGTACCTTCGCCGCGTATCAGCCTACGTCACCTAGGAGACCTCGAGGCACGTACATCATGATATTCATCCCAGATAACTGGCTCCACATCTGTAGCGCAGACCCGAGGCCGACACGGCGAAGAACTCCAGGTTGGAGGAGGTCCAAGTACGACTTGGCACCCTGCTCACGCTCAAACCGCACCTGTTCCCGGATCTCGGCGAATTCGAGCTGCACGAGCTCCTCGTCCGCATTTCCGTTGCCGTGCAGGTCTGCGAGGACCTCCAGCGCTTCCTCCGGGCGATCGTGGTCGACGAGCCACCGGGGGCTCTGCGCAAACAATGAGCATACGAAATTTTCAGTAGGGAGAGACGGCACCTCGGGAAAGATTAACATGCCTAAACTCAGGATGATGGCCGGGATCATCTGCAGGCCCCAGGGAATCCGGAAAGACGCGACGCCGTTGATGTACGAGCAGCCGAATTCGACAAAGTACTGCAGCAGGATGCCCCAAGTGATTGACCTGCATATGGACATAAGTACAGCCTCATTCAGCGGGGAGATGGGCCCCACCATTGTTGCAACGAAACCATCCGACCGCGGATGGCAGGAGGGGTGATTTCAGATTGGTAGACAGGCACGACCGCGCTGGCGATGCCGACTGCGATACCGGAGATGACGCGACCAACGACGAGCATGCCACGATTCTACACGACAATCAGCACAAGCATTGACAACATCAAGCGGTGGAGATCGGTCAGTATGCATTTGCAGACGTAGATCACCATGTATACAGGGACAAGCGATACTTACCACCGCGGCACATTGCAATATGCTGCCAATAACCCATATCCACCCGCTGATAATGACGACCTTCTTGCGGCCAAGTAGATCCCCGAGTTTCGTGACCAGAAGTGCGCCGGCGAACGAGCCTGCAGGCATCGCCGCGACGATAGCGCCCTGCGCGTTGGGACCCGGATTCGAAAAGGTCTTCTTATACGCATTGTTACTCAGCACGCCGGACATCGACGAGATATCAAGCCCGAAAAGCCCGCCGCCGATGCATGCAAACGAGCCGACGATGTACTGCGACGCAAGCACGGTGCATTAGATTCGGATAAAATAATAGCGAAAAGGCCGACTCACGGGGTTCGAGGCAATCGCAGAGCTGTACTGTACGCACCCAATTTGTCAGAGTTAAATGCTTCAGAAGTAAATTGAAACAGGGAAGAAGGGAAAAACGCAGAAGGTAATAAAACGATAGGAAGGTAAGTAGGAAAATGACATACCCCTTTACCCATCTTCGCAACTCACAAAGCCTAGACTCTTTCAACTTGAAATGTTGGTGTCTAGTACCTTGGTGGAAATTTCGCGATAGCGCATGCCCTCACACAGCAGCTTATATGCCGTGCTCGCACTCGCGTGCACGGGGCAAAGGGAAGCAGGAGACATGGTCAGAAGATCAAGGGACGGGTGCCTGAACGCCTGGACAAACAGTGGATGAGACGATCAGGTGGATGCGTGCTGGGCAAGCCTGAGGGAAAGGGGGGTACGGGAAACGACGTTGTGGACGAATCTCTAGGCGAGACGAGCTGATTGAGTGCGTACTATCAGCACAGTAGACGCCCGACCGCGTGGTGACCGATCGCGTTGCCACCGAGGGCCCCATGGGGCTGCTGCGGCCCGCTGATCTTCCGGTTGTCGAAGGCATTCAAAACAACGTCGCAGAGGAAGACAGTGCTTTGACAAGGCAGACATCAGAAAAGATATAACCTGCAAACGCCCAGCATCTGAGTACGAACCAGACCTCCATGTTGGGGATCAGGAGGTACGGAACCTAAAAGTATCTGCATATTATGATTTGCGCTACGATCCGAGGGCCGAGTGAGCTTGCAGAGCGATGGTTTCTACACACAAAGTGTCAGGATGATAGCACAGGTGTCGGTAGGAAGTTGCGGGGCTATCAACCCCGCATGTTCGTCAGACCTGCCTCGGGCTGCCGAATCAGCGCTGCAAGTTGTTTTGCTCGCAGAAGCAATGCTTGAGCGATCCTTTGCGACGGGTAACGTTGACGACTTGGCGCTGCATTATGACAAAGCAGGTGACGTTCGTCTCATGAGCCTTGACGGACGACCTATAGAAATTTACTTGTAAAATGGAGGAAACCTGCTAGTGCTAGACGGGACCTTGCGCCATTTGGTAAACCCAGCTCGAGAGAGTCACATAGCGATGGTAGACGGCCACTAGGTGACGAGATGGGTTTGGCACCGCAAAATTGATGCATGCGATATCATCTGATTGGGTCAGTCCACACAGTAGAACTTCTGATGCCAGCGCACTTAGAGATTCACTCTGTCAACCAACCGAAGAGGAAACTTGAAGTGCACGGACCGCCTATATCTTGAACGCAGTCTCATTCGTACGTCCGGAAGCCAATGTCGGTGTCATGAAACGAGACGGACCTGCAGCTACTAGATTTGTCCGAACCCGATGAGATCTCATGCAGTAAGACTACCAGCTAAATTCCCTCCCTGCCGTTGGATAACTGTACGCATATACTCAACGTTAGCAAAACATACACTGTCAGAGGAGTTTCTATCGTACATATGCATTGCAAGTATATCACACGAAGTACGCGATTTACACGTCAAAGGAAATCACTTCAAAACGTCGTCACAAGCCTCGGACCAGTCGCCGTATGTTATTAACGTTCGCTCAAAATCTTTAGTCTCGCAAAGACAGCCTACGAATTTAAAATCAGTCCTGTGAGAGGGGGGAGGGACGGACTGACTCTTCTACTAGTATTCTACGCGTAGTTTTTCAAACATGATCTCCTCGTTGTGATTTTTAGCTTCGCCAATTTGAGTCAGAATCTCTTCGGGATTGATAGGCATATGCTGTAGTACATGCTGTACAAGAATATGAATTCTGTATGATGCCGTTCGAACTCTGAGAGCCTATGTTGTCAGAAGCCTTCCTATGTCGAGCACGTCTCTGCGCAGGGTAATGCAAAACCACCCTAAGGGCACACGCACTTTCAATGCACATCTCTCGAGTGACCGTCCATCCAGTAATTATATAGGATGGGGGATTCACCGCACTAATCGGGAACAAGTCGTTTTTGCTTGTTCAAAAGTAGCAGTGTCTTAAGTGATGGCGCACCATACATACTAGTAGAGTCACTAGGACACGAGTCTCGGGCCTTGATAAACGCATCCGAGTCGGATGTGTATAATACAAAGTGCACAATACAATTTACACATCACAACTCTATATCACTTCAAGACATCATCGCAAGCCTCGAACAATTTGTCGTAAGTCATTAACTTCCGCACCGATATGTTCTCCCATTTCCGAAGTCTTCTCGTCTGCTCCTCCTGTTCTTCTTCCTTATCCTCTTCAGGAGGATTCTGAGCTATAATAAGACGGCTACATATCACCGCGAAGTCAGACAAGCGTCTCTGACCGGCCCTGTTAAGCCATCTCCGCAGCTGGTTGGGACCCTTGCGGACCAAGTGGTCCCGCCCAGCAATGATGAGCGACACTGTAGCACCAGCAAATATCCTGAAGTACTCCGCTTGTAGTGCATTCCAATCACGTTGGCGATCTGTGGGTCTGGGTTCTGCCAAGATCCTTTTGTACAGCACATAGAACAGGACGTATACGAATGACTCCAGGTCGTGGTGGACATCCCGAACGACTGTTTTGCCTTTTTTAATTGCCTCCAGAAGCTCTAACGCCATAAATATGGCTGTACCCTGTTTACATAAACATCATCAAGACAAAAATGAATGAATAATTGGTACATACATTCATCTCGGGGCCAGGAGCTGCCTCGGAAGCCGAGACGCCAGTCTTAAACGTCCAATGCGTGGGCCTCTCTTGGGGTAGTTCATCTGAAGGGATTGGAATTAAATAAGAGCCTGTGCTGGTGTATTCTGGCTTTCGTACTGGAACTGCAACATAAGGCTCAATATCAGCCTTCGCTGGCAGTGAAGCCAGTTCCAAATCAGCCAAGAAGCCCTCGAAACCCCTTGGTGGCACATCGTCCTCGTCATCGAGGTACGGAAGGAAGACATTGCCGGCACTGACATCTCTGTGCAGTATATCCAAGGAAACTAATCCTTGATGGCCTGTCGATAATGTCGGCCAGAATTCATGCATAAGGAACGTTGAATGTACCAATTAGTGCCGCACGAAAGCCTAGGATGAGCTCCTCCTCCGAACGATAGTCCCAGAGAGGCCGACCGACAGTACTTAACGTCAGTCGATGCAAGACAGCATCCTTGTCCACTTCAGAGAAGCCACGTAGTCGGCTTATACTGACTTTGATAGCCTGCATGCGTCCAGGGAAAAATACATCTCCTCCGGTGACAAACTCCGCAATTCCCCGCAGTCGGGATTGTCGCACCTTGTCGTAGATTTCGGTTTCGGATATGCGTGTTGCAGAGCGCCAAGCAACCTTCAGAATGACACGTTGACTACCCATGAATGCGTTCCAGGTGGACGTTCCTCTGCCGAGCAACGACAGAGATGACCAGATCGGAGGACCAACTGTTCGCCACTCGCGTGTATCGGATCCACCCATGGTCACCCGGAAAGACGGGTACTCCTCTTGGTAACACGTCTGCCCTGGCAAAAGCTCCACGGTACTATCGTGACCGAGAGCTGTCGCAGACAAATCGCACAACAAACGACGGCTCACGCGTATGAATTGTCTCAATCCCGAATCAGTGATGATGTCGTATTCCTTGGACAATGTGACGCCACGACGATCGAACATTCCCACACAAAATTTGGTGCCAAAGATGAGCATGCCTAAGACGAAGAGTTGGAAGGGACGTGCGGAAAGTGTGATGCGGGCGTAATCTGCTCCCTGAGCAAGGAGAGCCTTGATGTAGTTTGCGTCAGGCTTGGAAGGAATTGGAGTGTCCATTGAATGAGGTTTGACCTCGATGAAACTTGCAGCTTGTCGCCACAGTATGTCATGGGGATCAAGCTCGTCCGTGAGATCTACATCTCGTGAGCTGGGAGGTGGGACTTCCGCAAGAATGAAGTCTGGCTTCTGCGTAGGAAGAGCCGATTCTTTTTCATTTGGCGGAATATCATTCATGCTGACAAACTGTCGATTGTAGGAACGGGGGCATCCGTAACGCTTTCCCGCCCCCTCGATTGTGCGTAAAATACGGGACTGGACAGTCAAAGCAAAATGAAGTTGGGAAGTGAACTAAGATCGTTGAACATACCAGGGGATCATACATCTCCTCCTCCTCGCCTCTTCCCTTAGAAACCATAACCAGTCTTTCCAGATCTTGGACATGTTTCTCTCGAATTGTGGAAAATACGCCATCCACGAAATCCGTAGTAGGGAAGCGAGAGAGCTTGGAGTCAATGATCTTCTCCAGTACGCCGTCTACTTGGTACGTAGCATAACCGATGAGGTCGTGTTTGAGCTGCGCTCGAGTAAGGTCACTAGAGGTGTGAGGACTGTAATTCTGGATAGAGCCGGCATTGAGCCTGCTCGGAGACGTCAGTTCAGCGGCATGGGGTTGATACCTGGTGCCAGCACGCCGACTGGGAGTCGTCGTCATAGTACTTGTAGGATACCAGCTAGTACAAACCATGTAAGCATATGTCTGCTGGACACATGTCAGATTCTCCCTTACAAGGTGCAAGCCGAGGAAATGCTCGAGGCGGACGTTGTTCCTTGCGTCGCGTGTAGTCTCCCAAAGGCAGTTGTAGATACTCTGCTTCAACCTTCGTGACTCAGGATATCCGTATCTGACGTCGCGTGCGGCATACACGTAGTCACGTGCAAAAATTCTCTCCCGGGCCAATAAAAATTTATTATTGTCTGTCTGTCTGTCCGTCGTCGCGCCACCCGGCCGGCCCACCGCCAACTTAGTGACGCCGCCAAGTCTCTCCGTTCACAGCATCACCTGCCGTTACTTGTCGCTCATGGTGGGATTCGATGCAGTCTCCCACATAACGCTTCCTCCCCTCGGGGAAGGTGAACAAGTTCGTGAAGCGCACGCTAAACTTGAAGGGCAGCGCTGCCGGGTGAGTACTTCCTGTCGTTGTATCTTGAAAATTAGAATGTAGTCTGACTCGTGCGTCCGGAAGCCATGTTGTTGTCATGAAACGAAATGGACCGGCGGCCGTCTTCGTCCACGGTCGAAGAGATAAGTAAGATACGATATAGCCGTCGTCACTCTGCGGCCCTACGTCCCTGAATCGGACTGAATGCGACCAGCATGGAACATCATTTTTACGTGGATTTCAGACGAACTTACACGCGTCGAACCGCTCATCATAACATGTCAAATATGTCAGGTCTGACACCTCACGGAATCGCTCGAGCGCTACCCTTGCCGTGCCAAAGCAACCGCTTCAATACAATTGAACGTTGTAAGTTAGCCATGCCGTGTAGGCTTCCAATATGGCCTTGCTCTGCACACCCCGGATCCTGTGCCAGTCACCGAGACTCGCTACCGTCACAGCGCTAGCGTCGTCGACCATCGACGACTGTGCACGAAGACGAGTTTTGTATGTCACTCACTTGGTCGAAGGCAGTGAATTGTTGAATTAAAAGAGACCGTCAATTTCATTCAGCAATCGGACTTAGCACATCGCAACAGAACAGAAGGACCACCAGTAACGCGATCGCGACGTCAACAGGACGAGGCATCTATCTGGTGAGCGCCGAGCAACCGAAGGATTGAGGACGGCAATTTCAAGCGTGGGCCCTCAAACAATTCCCTCCGATGCTCAGGCGTCATGATATCCGACACATGGTCAAACCAATGCGGCCGCAGCTCAAATCCGCGCACGAACATCCGGCTCCAGGATAGGCCGCTGTGGACTCTATCGTCGAGCCATGCTTTGATCACGTACATGTCTGCCCCCATGTCCCGCAGGGCAATCATCAGCCTGTAGGAAATATTTCAGCCCGCCGCACAACGCCACCTGCAGAGCAAAGATGAGGCTACTTACGGAATGACCCCGTCGTCGATCATGGATTCGGTATATTCGAAGGCGAACGTCAGGTCGAGGAACACCACAGGGTAGCTGGACCCAAGTCGGATGATTATGTTGCGCAGACTCAGGTCGAAATGCAATATACCACACTCGATCATCTTGTAGAAGCCAGACGAAATAGCGTCCGCCTGGTGTATATAAATATGAGTAAGAGAGTGTACCGGTAACTCGTGATGAGGACATACCAGTAGCCAAAGCTGAGCCTCAGAAGAATCGCGAAGGGAGACATTCTTCCCGAGTTGTCCTTCCACGCATTCCATTACATGCGCAAAAGCAAGCTCACCATGTGAGAGCCGGAACTGTGACAACACAAATCAGACGATGAGGATGCCGAAGTGCAGGAACCGGACGTTCACGAACCTTGAACATACCATACGACCAGGGAACTTCTCGGCCTATCGAATGCTCGCATTAGCCATTATCGGTGGTGAAACAAGGGATTCAACGTACCTTGAAGCGATCGCGTGCTGGAGTACGCCCACGCCTCCCGCCGCGCCTGCTGTGCGCCAGTCAGCCACCCTCCTTGTGCGATGCCCATCTCAGGCTCGAACAAGGAAGGATCTTCAAACAGACTCTCCTGAAAAATCTTCACAACTACAGGAGCCGGTGCAAGACCCTGCCTCGATTCTGTTCTAATCAGTGATCGCACGTTCATGGTGCCATGCCAGACTTGTCCCCATTTCTGAGGACCAGTCTGGAGGGGAATATACATAGCGAGGATCACCTCCTGATCTTGCTGTGTGAACGAAGCGTGCCGCACAACCTCGGGAACAGGGCGGTATTCAGGGGGAAGTAAATTTGTTCGCAAACAGGGGAGATCAAGGGAACGCCAACGCTGTACTATATCCACTGTCCAGGGTGCATCGGATGGATGCCAGGCGCTCGCGTGCTGCTTGAGTCCATCGCAAAATGCAAGGTATTCAGAAGTAGTCGCAGGGTATGGAGCACGGAAAAAGTCATCGTCTGGCAAGGTCAAAGAAGGTAAGTCACGGAACGTTAATCGAAAATGCGAAGCCATAAGCGAGGTAGTACTACAGTGATCGAGCGGGGGAAAACAGTTGCGTATTAATCTGAGGATACGGGTACGTCTTCCAGTGTGGGCTCTCTGGTTCTGTTCATTTAAACACTGTGAGTTAAGGAATGTCGACGTGCTGTAAGTACCAGTAAATACAGGATATGGAAAGTCTCCAAAAGTCGCAGAGACTCCGTGCAACTTTGAGACTTTGCGAGACATGATGAGACAGGCTCTCACAATGGCGACAAGCTCTTCACTCACAGTATTCACGCAGTTCGACGACCTGCCTGTAGTTACCTTACCGGATGACAGGTTCTTCGTTGACACATATCCTCGGACATCGCAGGAATTCTCCGCTTTCTGCGATCAGCTCAAGCAAGAGGCGAATGCGTGGCAGGACCAGGAAACGTGTTCCGTTGACATCGTACACCGATGGTGTCCGTCCGCTTTACCATGCTTGGGTTGCGCTGCGTCTTCTAGAGATCGTCGGCCGGTACCTGGAACTGTACGCCACAGGGCCTTCGTTGACTCAAATTCCAAGATAACACTGTCATTGACTCGCCCTCTCCGTATCGGTCCAAATGAATGGTCGCAAGTGTGGCGCGGGACTATGAATGTGTCGTCGATAGGTTCTGAAGTCCTTCCGCCCGTTTCGGCGGTTGTCAAGATCTTTCAGCAAAGTTTCTTTGAGCAACCGGAATCCTATGCTCCTGAAAGTGGTATAATGTTCGCAACTTGGCTAACTGGGGCCCAGCAGGCACGGCGAGAGGCGTGGGCATATTCGCTCATGCAGTCATTGCAAGGTTCGTCTCTGTTCAGCGGAATTCCACAGCCCGTATTAATGATCTTGATGGATAACAGGGGGTGAAATTCCATGGTCGTATGGCATTTTCAAGGTACGAACGTGCTTAGAGTGATTGTGGACATATGTTGATCTCCTAACTTTTTGTAGCTGCGTCTTGGACACGGGGAGTTGGCATTCGCCCATGTTATGGAATTTGTGAATGGGCGATCATGTACTCAAATCTCTGTCTCCGACTCTCCTCAAGCGCAAGTCTGGGCACTGGTGAATATATCACTGTTACCGCTGCAACAGATCTCACACCTCATTTGTTAGGCAAGTTCTATGGCGTCTGCGCTCTATAAAACCATTCAATGTGGGGTTCGGCACGGTGATGTCAGATCAAGCAACATCATCATTCGGCAAGACGCTGCTCATCCCGTTATTTTCTTGGACTTCGCATTTGCTCAGCCGATACTACCCGATAGGTTCAGTGGCGATCTTAACGGGTAAGGTTTAATCGTTCACTGAAGGTATGACTACTCCAGTCTGACGCGTTCTTACTCCTAGTCTAGTATTCACCCTGCAGGCTATAGGCATGGCGATTCCTGAGATTAAAGCATGGTTTGAAGATGGCATCCAGCGTCAGGCCCCGTGGAGTGAGCTTTTTGTGCATCAGATCAACACGGTGCCATTATGGTGGTCATCGTTCGAGGGAGTGGTTCCATCTGCTGTGTTGGAATATTGCAGCCGAAGCATACGTGGTTGGAATAGTCCTGAGGGTGACTTTGAAGACCTTTTCCCCGAGGTTGAGGATGCTATCTGAGTCTGATGACTTGTCTTGCTTGTTTTCGCACCCGTGGACTCTGTAAATTACCGTGCCATTGAAGGATGATTTAGCACACTTGTTGTGTTCCCCTGGATAAGTCCGCGTATTAATCTGAGGATATGGGTAGGTCTTCCAGTGTGGGCTCTTTAGTTCTATTAATCTGAGGATATGGGTATGTCTTCCAGTGTGAGCTGTTTAGTTCTATTTATTTGAACACTGCGAGTGCGGGAATGTCGACGTGCTGTAAGTACTTGAGTTCAACCGTTTGGTGTCCGTCGACTGTGTGACAGGCGCGTGACGACTCGCGAAGTGTGACCGGCCCGAAATTCGTTCCCTCACGATCGCTTCAAGAACGTGCTCTAAATTTCTCGGGCGACTTTCTCTCCTGACATGTTTCAGAGGGCGTATACTCTCTGCTATGGTCGATACTTGAGGACTTGAGGATGATAGTCTAAAATTCTTTTTCCTGGATCAGTCCTGATCTACGCTCAGGCCCAGACTCGCTCCGTACTCGAACTCGAATGAAGCCCAATGGTGACCTCATTCTTCGACCGTTGCGCCGCCATCTTCCCAATCTTTGCTTTTGCCTTCAAGAAATACCAGTACTTCGACTTACGAGCATCAATCAGTGACAGTGCCTAGCGTTGAGGATTAGAGGTAAGCACCATACATCGTGCAGCACCCACGCAGGATGTCCACCCCCTCCCAATTCTCGCCCTCGTCGCCAGCGCAGGATTCTACGTTCGCAATCCTACATCCCGAGGGACCCACGCCCACCCTTCCGGACGAGAGATTTTTCGAGCACGACTATCCCCGCGACCCTGATGCGTTCTGTTCTTTTGCAGAACGTCTCGAGCACGATGCAGAGGCGTCACGACCATATCTACATGCTGGTAGCCCCTATCCCATTCATGTCGTCATCAGTTGGCGTTCGCTCGATTTCTAGTGGCTCAGTCCGGGCTCTGGATCACCCGCTCACCGTGGTGTACCTCCAGAAATATGCAGCGGGGCGTTCGTGAAGGAGGACGCGAATATTACTATCACTCTCAGACGTCCTCTTCAGACTGGTTTCTGCAAGTGGGCAGATCTTGTGCGCCAACCTGCGCTGGTGTGCACTTCATGAGGACGCCATGTCGAACTTGGAGTCGGATAGAGGTGCTCACGTTGTGGTCAAGATATTTCAGGAGAGCGCCTTTCGTCGTCCAGAATACTTTGACAAGGATGATATCGAATCAGGATATTGGCGCACCGGAGCAAAGCAGGCGAGAGCGGAAGCATTGGCATATGTGTACATGAGGTCACTCCAAGATGTGCGACTAGTGTTCTCCTGTGTTTACATTGCGTATTTATGTCTTGGCAGGATGTGAGGTTCCGTGGTCATATGGATGTTTCAAGGTTCGTTTGCGTGAGCTCTAGGCTCAGATTTTGCCATAACTGATATCGCCTCGCAGGTCAAGCTCCCACATGGTGAGCTCACCCACGCCCATGTCATGGAATTCGTCGACGGGAAGCCTGGGCGGCTTACCCGCCTCCGAAATTGCACCAACCAGGATCTCTGGACAGTAGTGCGCGTCCCAAGAAGCCCCTTCTCTCCATTTCCTCACGCATCCCTTCACAACAGATGGACGTGATGGCATCCTGCCTGTATGCCGTCGTCAAATGCGGCGTTGTGCAGAAGGACGTCACCTGCGAGAACATGATCATCCGGCCAGGCGCCGCTCAGCCTGTCGTGTTCGTCGATTTCGCCGCCATGCAGTCGCTACGGTCACCAAGCGTGGGCCCAGTGCGGGAGCCCGAGCTGATCGAGTGGGACGTCTCCAACGACGTCGCATCGTAAGTCTTGCCTTGCCGCTCAAGAGAGTCCACTCCGCTGACCGCATTTCAATTAGCTTAGTCCGTGCTTTTCGTAAGATGGCGGTGCAGATGTCCGACATCGCAGCGTGGCTGGAGGATCGCGCGCACCGGGGCGCGCCCTGGACGCGGCTGTTCGCGTTCCTCACCGAGAAGATGCCCAGGTGGTATGACCTGTTCGCCATCGAGACGGACGAATTCATTGCGCTCAACCCGGAGGTGGAGCAGGAGGCGCGGTGAGGAGCTTCCATCTGTGCCGCGACTCTGGTGAGACTGAAATAGCTGTATTTGTGCTCTTGCGAGTCAACTGTTGCTTCTAACTGAACTTTGATGTTCCATTGTATCATATTACTACCGCTGTGTACCATATTTGACTGGTCCCTATATATTTCTACCCATCGGATTTCGGAGGAGCATTCATTTAGTTGGGCTATCCATGCCAGCTGTAGCGCCGAACGAGCGCCGGATGTCACGCCTCGCGTACTGTAACGCGTCTGTCACCTCCGTTCCCCTCAGTCATCTTGTGCGATGGGACTTTCTGTTTTGGACTAGTGACAAGGGCTATCCGTGAACATCTGCGGACTCAAACACCAGATCGGCCCTCGATCGTGACTGCTCGATTTAAACCAACACCATAGTTTATTGTACGTGGCAGTTGCTTATCTTTATACTGATACCTGGCTCATTTCTCGCCATGAACTCTACCCATCCAACTGTGCATGACCGTTTCTTGACCTCCCTCTTCCCGAATGAGAATTTCTTCCTTGCTCTGTATCCAGAAACCCAGGAAGAATATCTCGGCTTCTGCGAGCTTCGGGAGAAGGACGCGACGGCATGGCGGCCATACGTGGGCACGCCGTTTAGTGTCGGTGTGGTCAAGCAATGGCGTTCATTCGATCTGCCTTGCTTGACGCCAGGTCCACTCTCCGATAAGTATCGCCCAATTCCTGCGCTCGTGCAGCACGAAGCCTTTCTGCGCGAGGGTAAGATCACCCTGGCTATGGTTTATCCACTCCAGATAGGGACGCGGAAGTGGTCACAGGTGTGGCGCGGCAGCATGAAAATGTCGTATGCGGACGACAGTTTTGAGGCCGCTCCTGTAGTTATCAAGATATTTCAGCAGAGTTTGTTTCCAGACCCGTTTGAACACCACTCTGAGGCGGGCGGCATCGATTGTGGAGGATGGTTAACCGGTGCGCAACAGGCTCGACGGGAGGCATGGGCTTTTTCGCGCATGAAAGTGCTTCAGGGTACGTTGTGCCGCGAGCCTTTTGTGTCTGACGTCGACTAGAGCTGCGTGTAGGACGACAGATACCATGGTCATATGGCATTTTCCAGGTTTGTCTGTGAGCGGGCTCGCTTCTGCATGGCGCTGATACTTTCTAGATTATTCTTCCGCGTGGAGAACTGGCCTTCGTGCATGTAATGGAGTTTGTAGAAGGATCCTCTGGAAAAGAACTGAAATTTGGTGATGCATCTGCGACGGATTTCTGGGATCTGGTACGAAACCACCTCGGCACTCTATTCACTTGATTTACTTTTCCGTTCAGGCAGAAGTGCTGGCCTCAGATTTCTACAACATGACACAGTGTGGAGTGCTCCATGATGACATAACCCTCAGCAATCTCATTATCAGACCGGGTGACACCCAACCAGTCGTTTTCATCGACTTCGCCTTTGCCCAGCCTTTCACGGAGGCCGACCTTGATCGCGGTGTCTTCCCGTCAGTACTTCCATCGTATCACTAGTCTGTTGTCACTGACATGTTATACGGGCACAGGATTGTGTATGCGTTGCGAGACATGGGCATGGAGCTAGACGCTATCGAAGCGTGGTTCAAGGACGGGATAAACCGCGGTGTACCTTGGAGCCGAATGTTCGTGTATCAGTCTGAGAAGTCACCAAGGTGGTTCAAGGCTCTGACGGGCATGATCACTCCCGATCATGCAGCTGAAGAGGTCTTGAAGATTTTCGACCGCTATCTGCTGCCAGCTGTTACTGAATAATCACGGTCTAGCGACCGTTCGGTTTCATTGGGGTGGCCTGATTGAGTTTTGTTCGATATGTTCTGGTGGCTTCATGTGCCAGCTGCCGTCTGTCAAGTAACTGCTAATCAAATTTGTATCTCGTTTTTGCTGATAGGCGGCTCGTCAGACGGAGCCGGCGGGCGATAGTATTAACTTCAACTAGTCTTCTAGGACGAGGTCTGCTCAATCAAGCATTCGTATTCGACATTAGGTGAAAGAAAAGAAAATGGCGCTCGTCAAGGTTTTCAAATACTCTGTAAGGCAGTCACGGCGACTATTCGAGTTGTGTATCGCCTCACCACCCGATCTGACCCCACATCGATCGTGTCCGATGGTGCTTGCCTCTCCCCGATCATGCGCCACAACGTTCTCGTCTGAAGCCGTTTCCGCCCTGTTCGGAGTTCCTGATTGGGATCTGCCGGTCTGATATTCGCGCTCAGGGGTCCCTTTACCGCTAACCTACAACAGCAATGAACCCCTGGCTGCTCTACTACTTGCACCACTTAGTCGACAACAAGTTCTTCCACGAGACTTACCCTCGGAGCGAAACTGAGTTCAAGCAGTGGGACGAACATCTATCTCTACCGCCAATTCAAAGCTTCGAAACGACGCCACCCATACCCCATCAAAGTTGTCGTGCGAAGGCGTTCCTTCAATTTCGCATGGACAAGAACTCCGCCAATACTCAGTCATCTCGCACTGCCCGTGATGATGCGTCATAGAGTGTTTCCGCAGCCGCTGACCAACATTATGTTGACAAGGCCTCTGCATACCGGCTTCCAAGAATGGGCACAAGTCTTGTGTGCGAAGATGAGGCTGGTAGGTCCTTACCATCCTGCACCTGCCACCGAGACTACTGTCGTGATCAAGATATTCCAAGAAAGCATCTTCCCTCCCGCCGAGTATTTCGACGACAAGGGCATTGACGGCGGCTTGTGGCTCACTGGCGCTCGGATGGCAAAAGCTGAGGCCCTCGCGTTTTAAAGTATGAGCTCGCTTCAAGGTGCATAACATTCGCTATATAATAGAGTCGGTCTTGCGAGTGTTGGATTTTTTTTTTATGTGGAGGAAAAGAAGTCCCGTGGTCCTGCGGATTCTTCCAGGTTCGTTGCGACACAGTGTCACTACGCAGATCCTCTTGCTCGACTGGATCCCTGTAGGTGGAGTTTCCGCATGGTGAAGTCGCATTCGCACACGTCATGGTGTTTGTCGAGGGCCGACCAGGATAGAAGATGACTTTCCATACTTGGTCTAGGCAAGAAATCTGGTCACTAGTGCGCTCTGAGCCTTTCATTGTCGCACGCTTACTCACGGCTTCCATGGTGGATGCGATGGCATCCTGTCTCTACAATATCACCAAATGCGGTGTCGTGCAAACAGACGTTTCCTGTCACAACATGATCGTTTGCCGTGCCCCATTGTGTTCATCGATTTCGCATTCATGCGGCTTTTGACCGACCTGGGCGTCGAAGCCCTCGAGGGAGATATCGCTGTGGTGGTTTCAACGTATGTGCCTCGACCACTTCGCCATCCGTACAATTATGCCTGGGCTATTAATGAATATTCATTTTGATGTTATGGGTTTGTCCGTTCCCTCCGCAATCTTGCTGTTTCAATGGCTGACATCGGGGCCTGGTTGGAAGACCGTACAAGCAAGGGCGCACTGTTTGTTAATCTGTTCAAGTACTGCATGACACAATCTCCGGAATGTTTGAAATCTTCACCGAAAAGTCGGACACTAGATACAACGTGGAGGCGGACTCGGACAGGAACTCAGAGTTGGACTGGAATACGGATCCAGACTCTATGTTGCAAGAGGAAGATTGAACGGCGACCGATGTAACACGGCCCTCACGCGGTGGATCATGGACACTTTGATATATGTATTGTCATTCAGGCTCGTTTCGCGGCGCTGATTACCAGTCAATGATCATACCAAAGCAAGGCTGCGCTCAGTGCATCGGCTGACTCTAGGCACATGAAGCCAAAGCCTACGCCTTCACCCACAGCTTAGGCCCGGCCGAGACAATCCGCGCGCCGAGGAGGAGAACGACGGTGCTAAGCAAGACGACACCGCAGAATATCTGCGCGTGTACGAACTGCACCGTCTCGAGGTCGACCAGCGCACCCGCGATGGACGTGAGGATGAGGAGTCCAATCGCGGTGATGCCGAACATCATGCCCATGCGCGTGCCGATCTTCTTGAGGTCTGGCGAGAGCGACGCGAGCGTCGGCGACGGCAGGCTGACGAACGCGCCAGAGAAAAACCCGTAGAGCACTGCAAACGTGGCCAGCCCACCCACGCTGTGCACCGATATCCATGAGAGTGCGAGCACGCCCGTCGCGAAGCAGCAGGGGATGAGCATGTTCAGCGGTCCCGTGAGGTCGGCGAGGAAGTTCGGGAATATCTGTCCGAATATCGAGGCGGCATTGATGATCGGGAGGTAGCAGAACTGCAGAGTGACGTCTGCACCCGTCCTGCCCAATGCGAAGGCACTGATGTAGTAGAAGGGAGTGTACATCGCCATGAATGCGAGGAACATCGCGGGGAGTGTACAGGATGAAGGGAACATCCTTGAAGGCGGTAGGGTCAAACAGCTTTCGCCTTGACTGCGAGACAGTACGCTGACGTGACACAGCGAGAGAAATCGAGAGAGTACGCAGTGAGATGAACGCGATAACGCGCGTTGCCCATCCGAACCCAATACGCGGCTGCAGTTGGTGAATACGATAGGAAATATGACACCGCCTGTTTCTCCATCAGAAGCTGTGATATGTACTGAACGACAGAAACTTGCCGATGCTGCTGTCGCTCGCGGCGACGCCAGTTGCGAAAGACCGCCTCTTCACAAAATACGTCGCGATGATAGCGACGCTAGGAATGAACAAGCAGCCAGCACCTAGCCCGACGCAAACACCCTGCGCGAGAAGTATCTGCCAGTACTTCTTCGCGATGCTTGTCATCATCATCCCGAAGACGACCATGAAAGTTCCGACCCAGACCAAGGCCCGACTATATCCCATATCGAAGATAGGACCAGTAAGGATGCTAATCACCATCATCAGGAAGCCTTGCAGCGATCCCACCCATGCTATCGTCGACGGCGAGGTGGTACGGAGCATATCCTCCTCATAGAACGTCTGGTACACCCCGAAGGTGTTGGCGATCCCCCTGGTGCCGGTGTCAGCTGTGCGTGCATGTTTGCAAGTTTCCATTGACCCACGCACCATGAGCTGAAGAATAGGAAGAACGAACCGACTACAGGCTGCACCCATCCGAGAGGCCCGCCGTCAACACCGTCCCAGCCAGGCGGCGAAGGGGTAGGTGTTTCCGGGAAGCTGTCCTGTTCGGCGGAGACCGTGCGGGTGTCTGCGTCGAACTTCTGCTCCTCAAAATCCCGACGAGGCACCTTGGGCTCCGCAGACACGGTTTCTGAGGTATCTTCCAAGGTCCGCGCGCTTTTGATCGACGCCATCTGGAGGTCCTTGAGCTTTTTTGAAAGAACGCAGAACCGGACGCTGATCCCATATTCCAGACAACCTATATTCTGAACGCTGATGGCACACTGGAGATGATTACCAAGCAGGAGGTAGTGCCGCATCCCCGACGAAGCACCAGAGGACCACTGAGCACACCATCAGCCCAAATTGGGATGCCTGTACTTGGAAGCTCTCGTGGAAACAAGCGCCTCAATCGCACCTCTCGATACCGCGGAATAAACGATTGTTGACCATCGAGATATGGATGTAATGTGAGGTCATGGGCAAAACGGAACCATCCAAAGTTCCCAAAGATGGACATTGACACATTCCAGTTGTCCTGCTCGAAATGAGAAGTCCGCTAGCAGAGCGAAGGGAAAGAGTAACAGACATACCGTGCAGTCCCGAGAGTTCAAAGAGAAAATCTTGCACAAGTGCAGTTGTTGCCAGAGCCTTCGTTGATACACGGTATCAAAGATCTTGTCGAATGTCGCCTACGAGCGACGCTACAAATGTTGAGCATCTGGTGGAAACAGAGCTGCAGGCCGGGATTACACATGGATCAAATACTTATCTCAACGAGGAACTAAGTCGCATCTACTAACAGCACTTGATGTATGAACCAAACACAAACACACAGAGGCATTCCCGCATGAAATCGGAATGTCTTATTTGCATGCATGCTCAACGCCAGACAGCTGGGGATCTTGTATCGTCACTGAGAAAAATGTGGCAGGGTTGCAAAGCTCTTCGGGCCTCCATCCTCTCGCTATAGTGCTGAGCTCACCCGAATGGTCCGCGAAAGCTTCATGTAGAGTAGAACATGTCGCCATGGCTACATAAGACATGACGAGGAGCTCGTACACATCGTGAGACTGTTTAACATAAAGCACTGAGCCTCAACGACGTACCGCGAGGCAACCCGGGATATATAATGTAGATTCCACCAAAATCCCCACACCCTAAAATTTTATTCACACCATGCCAGTGCAAACCTATTGTGCTTTAACCATTCCCGCTGCCAGAAATAGGGATCGGCAATGAAAGGGATGAGGTATCGCCACGACTTGGGAGATTGAGACTCGATCGCAGTGTAACACGTCCCGTAGTACTCGAAGTACAGGTGTAATCCAGACAAGCTGAATTCGATCGACCAGATTCACCCGTCCGCCTCAACGAGGAAGTCGCGCATGCTAAGATCATGGTGTGTGAACACGAGGGTCGTCAAATGGCACGCGAGAGCCGTGGAAGGTCGCAAATTGCCGCTCGTACAGATCATGGTCATGGCGAGCCTTTCGTTCATGAAAGCGGATAGCGAAGCGTAGTCGGGAAAAGGCCTCTATGGCGTAATGCAAAGACGGCTCCTCTACAGAATTTAGGCTTCCGGTGCCAATACCAAGTTGGCCAGGAATGAATGAGCGGGGGGTGCGGATACACCGGAGCTGCTGGGGCCGAGTCAACTGCTATCTATCGTTCATCGACATCCTTAGGTGCTGCCGTACGTGCATTTGTGCATGTGCTCTCCTTACTGAAAGAAACCCACATCTGTGCCGAAACATCAGTTCCGAGTGATGTTTTACTCCGGTCCTTTGCCACGGCTATTCACGTACTCACGTTTGCCGGATATCCGTCCATTAATAGTGCGTCACGCTCATTGACATAATCTGTCACCTTCCAAGCCTCTATTTCCAAGATAGGATTGATGTGTTCTGCCATTAACGAAGACATACCAGGCTGCACGGCCAATCTCGACTGACGGCCCCTCCATGAGTCGTGGAACTGACTACAATCTCTTGCGGAATATTATTATGGCAGTGGTATCTGATCTATGCATTGGTCTTGCGGATTAGTCCTCTCATCCTCTGCGCCCTGAAGCGTGGATTCCTTGACTGTGTATTACTATCCGCTCACCGGCGCAGTTCTCACCATGAATTATAGCACTTGGGTATGCATGTTCTAACTGCATTCTGCTGGTATATACGTGGGACCAGAAGCATGCCGGAATGCGCAATCCTATAAAATGTTTTCTCATTGAGCGTTGATCCAGTATCTCAATTCTATTCCATGGATATGATCACCTATTTTATGTGGGCAGTCGCCGTCATAGCTTGTGCGGCGCTGCTGAGCAGGAACAAGCGAAACCCAGCTCTACCTCCTTGTCCTCCTGCAGATCCATTAATCGGCCATCTGCGTCAATTCACGTTCGCTCCTCAACGTGAGCTCTTCCAGAAATGGGCTACGGCTTACGGTAAGAGTCCAGTGCACACATCCCAATTGTGGTACAGCTGAAACTAGTTGTTGCCTTCGTAGGCGACGTCTTCCATCTCAATATCTTAGGGCAGATTATCGTAGTTGTGAACTCCCTCCAAGTCGCAACTGACCTCCTCGAGAAACGGAGTGCGAACTACAGTGACAGGCCTGCTTGTACTGCCCTGGAGATGTACGTGCATTAATTTGATTGTGAAGCATTTACTATACTTATCTCCACAGGATGGGCTGGAAGGCGAACGTTGCCTTTATGCGGTACGGCGCGCGGTGGAGGAAGCACAGAAAGCTTTTCCAAGAGTACTTTGGCCAGAGTCAAAGCCTGACATACCGCGCCCATCAGACTGAGGAAGCGCGTATGCTCCTGAAAGATTTGCTCACTTCGCCCGCGGAGTTCAAGGCATGTACGCAGAAGTACGGCTCTCTCTGACTACATTGTGTTCAACATGCCATCCTGAACCATCCGTTTCAGGTATGCTCTTCTGAGCATCATAGGCATTGCATACGGACATCAGGTAAAGTTGGATGACGACGTCTATGTCAAAATCGCACAAGGTGCAATCCACGGACTCGAAGAAGCCGCTGCAGGAACCACGCTGCTCGACCTCTTACCCTTCCGTGCGTCCCGTGATTTCCTGCTAATCACACTCCCCACAACTCACTCCGTGATACAAGTGAAATATATCCCTTACTGGCTGCCCGGATGTGCTTCTTTTACAGCTGCGGTGAGGCAGTGGGGCCCTGCTACCAAGAGTTTATGCGAATATCCGCTCAACGATGTGCGGAAGAAGATGGTTGTCCTTGTGCCCACCTTACATAAGTCAGGTGCTAATTAGCCGAACAGGAAGCGGGGACCGCGCAGAATTCGTTCTTTGTGTCTCATTTGGAGCGCCTCGGCACGGACGGCGTGGACGAAGAAGACCTCGAGGACATCCAGGGTGCCGCTGCGACGATACTTGTAGGCAAGTCCAATTCATTTCATTTATCATCATCTGTCTGACGTGGGGTCTAGCTGGTACTGATACGGTCAGGACTTTTTAATTTCGGGCAAGGTTTGTCTATGTGTATGCATGCTGACGACGTTGCAGACATCCTCGCTCATCCAGAGTTTCCTCCTGTTCATGCTGCTGTTCCCCGACGTGCAGCGCAAGGCGCAGGAAGAGATCGACCAAGTCGTCGGCTCCGGGCGGCTCCCAGACTTCGATGACCGCGATACGCTGCCGTTCGTGGAATGCGTGCTCCAGGAGACCATACGGTACGCGACTCTCAGCTTGTTATAATTGTATGACAACTTTGTTATGGACTTCAGATGGTACCCAATCGCTCCGTTCAGTAGAGAACCCCCGATAGATCGGCACTCGGATGTTGCTGACCTTAGACCCCTAGCTATTCCTCACCGAAGTCTCGACGACGACATATACAACGGAATGCTTATTCCGAAAGGCTCTGTAATCATACCTAACGTGATGTGAGTGCCGTTATCACTACTCTCGCCGTTTGCTCAGTTGAGTCTGCGTCCATACTCCAGGGCAATGAGCCGCGATGAGACAATGTACAAAGATGCAGACAAGTTCCTCCCTGAGCGCTTCCTACCGGCTCCTGCCGGTCGCGGCGAGCCGCATCTCGGCGTCATCTTTGGGTTCGGTCGGCGGTATACTATAGCCTCTGTTCGTCATATTTTGTGCACCCGCTCACGCCCCACCATAGGATCTGCCCCGGGCAGTATTTTGCAGACAACAGCGCATGGATCGTCATCGCGAGTATCCTCGCGGCTTTCGACATCTGCAAGCCCGTTGGAGCGGACGGGATAGCAGTTGAGCCCCACATGGAGTACACCACTGACGGGATTGCAAGGTGTGTCTGATTCTGATTGATGTCACACGTCCGGTGGTGCGCTGGGCTCAGATCTCTGCTCTTTGTCGTGCAGCCGTCCGATGCCTTTCGAGTGTGTTCTGCGACCGCGCTCAGAGACGGCGAAGGCGCTGGTTGAGCAGCACACGTAATCAGCAAGCGAAGTGGTGAAATGTAATAGAGCAGCAGTAGCCAAGAAGGCACATGTACAACTGTAATCGGAGCATCGCTGAAACCGGGAAACTTTTGTGTATGATTATCACAGGACACATAGCCCCTTTTTTCCACTGGAAATAATCGGGAAAAACCTGTGGAAATCAAAAAAGTGTTTCCATGGAAAATGCAATGGGAAATGTTGGGGAAAAGAACAAAACATTTACCACTTTGTTCCCGTGGAAAAATGATGAGGTAAAAAGGGGTGTGAAAATACTTAGTGCATTTTTCTCATTTTTGTCATGAGAAAAAAGTGGGAAAATCTTTGTGTATTTCTCCCTTTTGTTTCTGGGAAATAAGTGAAGAAAAGTTTTTAAATCTTCCAATGGAAATAACTGAGACATGTTTTATGTTTCTCTCAGGGAAAAAACATGTAGGAAATTCTTTAAGGATTTCCCTGAAAAAAACAGTTGTCCTGTCATGTCCTGTCATGTCCTGTTGTCACATCACGTCCTGTCCTCCTGTCCTGTCACGTCCTGTCCTTTCGTCCTGTCACGTCCTGTCCCTTTGTCCTGCCTGCACAGGACATGACAGGGCAACTGTTTTTTCCAGGGAAATCCTTAAATAATTTCCTACATGTTTTTTCCCTGGGAGAAACATAAAACATGTCTCAGTTATTTCCATTGGAAGATTTAAAAACTTTTCTTCACTTATCTCCCAGAAACAAAAGGGAGAAATACACAAAGATTTTCCCACTTTTTTCTCATGACAAAAATGAGAAAAATGCACTAAGTATTTTCACACCCCTTTTTACCTCATCATTTTTCCACGGGAACAAGGTGGTAAATGTTTTGTTCTTTTCCCCAACATTTCCCATCACATTTCCCATGGAAACACTTTTTTGATTTCCACAAGTTTTTCCCGATTATTTCCAGTGGAAAAAAGGGGCTATGCGTCCTGTGTATGCAATTTGCAATTATTTTGTGAGAGTTAGCCATGGTACAAACTGCATACAAACTAGGCAAAGCCCTCGAGTCCGTCCGAGTCCTCCAACAGTGTCGTCCTCCTCAATAAGTATCTTCGTCATCTCCAGTGTCATCTTCACCATTCTCCGATACATTCTCACCATCGCGAACGTATGAGGCTGTTCAGTCAGAAGTGTTGGAATTAAGCGTGGCCAATGGAGGGGTATTACAGTGAAAATGAAGCTTTGAGCACACTGGGAATCGAACCGCAGATCTCTTAGTTGTTGGCCTCACTGACTCGGATGTGTCTTATCCTTTACACCATGCACCCTTGCTGTCATATCAACGAGAAGTGGTGAGCACCGAGCACAGAGTCTTCGGGGGTACTGAGGAAGGCGCTATACCTTGATCACTACTGTCGCTTCAGTGGAGGACTTGATCGCAGTAGAGTATGACCCCTCCAGCCTCATCGTCGCTCGCCAAACTTGCCCCCGCACGGCCGTTCCTATCCAGAGGGAGTTTGTCAAAGTGGTCATGATGTCGGCGAAGGCTTCTTAGAACGCTGTACAATGCGTCATCTCGGGCAGCGCACGATGCCGGTGGAAGCGAGACTCAAAAGACATATTGTTCCATGCGAGCGTTGGCCCTGCGGGCAGTAGAGCAGCAAGCTCCGACAAGGTAGGGGCTCATCTGAGATAGAGCAGCAGGAGCCTATTTCGAATTCGACGGTCGATCGATTATTTATGTCTGTGCATCACCACCTGTGTGCGGAAATACCTCAAGATTCTCAGGCAGGGACCCGGGTGCGCATCCTACTTATCATCTTCGCCTGTGTTACCTCACCGTTACGGCCGCAACGTCGGTGACGTTCATGAACTTCCATAATCTAAGAATATTAATAGCCCGAGAAAGTCTGAAGACGTCTCAAGATTTTCCTGCGCCAATAATGGTACGTTTTGCGCTGTATTAAAAGTGAACTATGTAGCTGACAGGTGGGCCACGGAGCACCAGCAAAGCGGTAGATGACCTGAGAGAAGCAGGACAGTCTCGTAACGAGCCACTCCAACTCCGTGTGCTGACAATATACAACTTCACATCGGTGACTGTACGTCTTCCTAGAAAGCTGTCATGAGCCTGATCTTGTTCCCTGAGGCAGTCATAAGGATACGACGTCGACTCGGACTGCCTGCCTAGCTTGTATACAGCCTCAGCTGCACGCACTTCCTTCGACAATGTCCACCACTAGTGCGCGTGCAGAAAAACTTCTCGCCGTTGTGGATCTTGTAGTAAATGCCGCTCAGGTGGTGATACAAGAGTGGACAAAGGAGGACGCTACTGGCGCTCAGAACGCCCTCTCGGCGTCCGTAGATCTCTTCAAAGCTCAGCGCACCATCTTGGCTGCCTGCGGCTCGTTCACTGAAATTTTACAAGTGCCCCAGAGACGCATCCTAGAAGTTGCTAACCAATTCTTTGAGGCTCGGGCGTTGCACATCGCGGTCGAGCATCATGTCGCCCATCACCTTGCCGAGGTCGACGAGGCTGTAGGAATGCCTATCTCTGAGCTCAGCAAGGCCACAGGTCTTCACCCGAGAAAGCTTTGTGAGCTGTCTTTCCTTTGATGGTCGCGACTTGTGACTGACGACTGCGTTTAGCGCGCATCATGCGGGCCCTCTGCTCCATGCACATCTTCGCCGAAGTTCAAGACGGATATTTCGCCAACAACACGGTCAGCGCGACGCTTGCCACCAACGAGGCCCTTGAAGCATTTGTCCTTTTAGGGTGAGTAATCTGCTATCATTGAAAACTCTGGCTGACCGTGCTTAGGGCTTGGGTTTATTATCCGATCTCGGCAAAGCTTCTGGAGATTGTCGGTGATCCTGTAAAGGGTTGGTCCAACTCTGAGACCAACTGCGCTTTCCAGGAGGGACATGGAACCAAGCTATCTTTCTGGGACTGGCTCGAAGAAGGAATTATACAGCCCGACGGCTCCGTCAAACCGCGACCCGCCCTGGAACGATTCACTGTCGCGATGGCTAATAGTAGTGGCGTCCTCGGAACCCCGCTCTTATACTGTAAGCCATAGTTGCCGCTGTGGCATTCCAGCCTTTGATAATGCTCGTGATACTGGCAGACTTTCCATGGGAGTCGCTCGGCTCTGCAATAATGGTTGATATAGGCGGTGGCGTTGGTATGTTTCATATTAATGTAGGACGAGCTTGATCACTGATACGGTATATGGACAGGTGGAATGAGTTTCGATCTCTGCAATCAATTCCCACTCCTCAATTTCGTCGTCCAGGATCGTCCTGCCGTGATCGAGAAAGCTGAGCCTGTGTGGCAGCGCGAACGGCCAGAAGCACTCAAAGCCGGTCGCGTTCAATTCATGCCTCATGATTTCTTCACGGAGAACCCCGTGAAGGGCGCCGACGTGTACCTCCTGCGCCACATCCTGTAAGCATTCTATACGCTGTCCGGCCTCTCTCTGCCCTGCTTAGCATCACAACAGCCACGACTGGGAAGACGACCGCTGCGTCGACATCCTCTCCGCCCTCCGCCCCGCGCTCTCCCCGCACTCGCGCGTGCTCGTGGTTGACATGGTGATGAACACGACGCTGGGCTGCCCCGAGATACCGTCCGCACCGTTCCCGCTGCTCGCAAACTACGGCACTTCTATCCGCTTCGCTCACGAGTCTGACTTGATAATGATGTCCCTGCTCAATGGCGCGGAGCGCGTCCCGGCCGATTTCCGGTCGGTCGCTCAGCGGGCGGGGCTCGAAGTCACCCGCATCTGGGAGTGCCCCAGAAACTGCGTGGTTGAGATGCGGTTGCCGTCCGTGAGCCAGTAGAGAGAGCCAGGTTTCAGTTGAATCAATTAGATGGAGCTGGGCATTGGCCCATCAACGTTCTTCTTTAGCCCGTGTACGAATGCACTGTGAGTCGTTGTGCTTTGAGTCTTTGATTGTAGAAACAGTTACAGGGTGTACGAACTCGTTATATCGGTTGTCGTGCCTTGATGGGGAATGAGTCCACGCCAAGGTCGCGAATATAAACATTAAAGACATGTGCTTTGAGGAGCCGGAATACATCGACGAGGATGGACCATGTTCTGGTTATTAGGGCACTGGCTGCCGACTTGCGAAGACAGAGGGGGAGGCCTATGCAAACATACGACTTCTGCAAGGCACGTTGTGAGACACGTTGCTGTGGTGCTACCATTGCGTGCTAACTAGAGTCATCAGGCAAAGAAATCCCGTGGTCCTATAGATTTTTGTGATGTCGGTTCGTGCGTACATGCTCTATGGAAGTATAGTCAGTGCGGACCTACAGGTGGAGTTGCCTAACGGCAAATGCACATACGCGCATATCATAGAGTCCGTTGATGGTAGCCCTCAGGCTGGCGATCACGTCCTGGTCCGTGAACACCTTGCGGAGGTCATTTGTCATCTAGTGCATATCATCGTTTTACGAAGTGGCTTCCACTCATTATGGCTAGGCTGACGCGATGGCGCCAGGATTGTATGCTATTCTTAAATGCGGAGTCATACAGCACGATGTCGAGGCTCGCGACGTAATTATTTAGGTGGACGCTATGCAACCTGTCATCTTCATTGACTTTGCGGGTGCACTGTCACTGAGAAATTTGGACCTAATCAGCTCTCTGACAAAGTAGAGCTCGCGATTGCAATGTATGTCTCCGACTCACGCAGCTTGCCATGTTTTTTCGTGCTTTACCAACTACTTTCTTCAGGCTCGGTTACATCCTTCGTCAGATGGGCGTGGCCATGCAGAAGATTAGCTCCCTGACCGGAAACCCATGGATGGAGATGTTCATTTTCTTGGACCAGAAGAACCCGACGTGGTACGAAATGTTGGAAGAACAAGAAGACGATGACATTAGCATCAACTCTGATTCCGACGAGAAGCAAGAAGATGAACCTGAGGAAATCCTTTACGAAGATGGGTCTGCGTCGGGTGACTACTAGGAGGACGGTGACATTGATGACGCAGGCAACGATTCCACATAGTCGTTTTGGACTGGTATGCCAACGTCGGCGCATTTTTCGGGTTTTCAATGCTTTCTTGTTCTCGCTGTGCTGTGTCTACCCTGTGTCCAATAAATTAAATTTACGATGCTCAAGAAGTAGCTCAACAGTGAGGTTCGCCTACACCAAAAGGCGTACTCCTTCTCTTTGACATCTTGCACTATAGTGGACTTGGACGACTTCCGAATCTGACAGGCTTAGAAACACTCCGGTTCATGACAAGGTACATTGCAAATCGTGATCTTAAACAATGATCCATCCTCCATCCATGTCTGCGAGAAAGTTATCGGCCGCGTATATCGACCCCAAAAGGCCCTGAGACTCAGAACCCTCATCCTGACCTCGCCTCGCATTAAGAATTTAAGAACTAAGCCACCGCGCTCCTCCGTCCACGACAAATTACACCTGCTGGACGCCCACCTTCTCCTTCTCCTTCGGCTTGTCATCTACCTCTCTGATAGAACCCGCTGCGTCACCGGCCACGGGCGGGTAACGCGCGGACTCGGCACTTTGCTCCGCAGCGTACAGGAAGACCACCGATAGTACGCCGAAAAGGAACACCATCCAGCGGAATATCGTCTGGAGGCGGACTGCAGTGTACACGTTCAGCTCTACAGCTGAGGTCCACGCGACAGAGTGGCAGACACTCACGATAAAGGAGCTTGTGATAGATGCCAGTGACCCCGATCTTTGCCTGCGTGGCCTGGATGACGCTCTGGGGCACGGAAATGCCATCGAGCGTGGCCTTGACCTTAGCCTGGCGGTTCGCGACGAAGTCGGTGAAGGGTATGAGCGTCGCGAAGAGCCAGGTCGAGAGGAAGAGGAGGATGGCGGAGGAAACGAGGGACACGCGGCGGAGTGGCGCGCGGTGAGGAGACGCGGAGACGATGGTGGTGACGAGGGCAACAAAAGACACGCCGGCGATGAGGCCGCAGATGACGGTGTTGACGATGCCCGAGTGGACGACGTCGTTGGTGTTGAGGGACACCGATGTGCCGGCGGGTACGCTGTGGCGGACCTTGGTCTTCTGCCGGTTAGACTTGACGAGGGCGTCGATACCGAGACTCATGCCTATGATGCCGAATGCGTTGGCGAGACAGAGGGAGACGAGCCGCCAGAATTTGAGGGAAGCAGACATGGCGGAGAAAAAATAATAGCTATGGCTGGGTACCGGTGCAGGCACGTCTGCACAGGACAAGCCGTGAGCGGGGCTTCATAGATCCGTTGTAGACGAGAAATGGGAGAGCGGGTGCGCATGTGAGCATACGGGAGAACGTAAATGACGAGAAGGAAGCATACAATCTTTTTGGAAGTCATATTTGGCTTAGTCGGACGATCCCCCGCATGATCGGTGTGCCCCACCCGCTCGAGCGGGGAACAAAATCTATCTTGGACCCTGCACGCTCAACGTGCGCCTGCTCACCGTTGTCAGTAAAAGCTTAAGGAGTGGCGCGATGGGCCATGGTCGTGCGACCCTCCTGACCTGAATCTCGCCACTAGTGGCTGTTTCTCCAGTGTGCGGGGTTCGCTTCATCGCGAGAATCATCCCCACAGGAAGAAGAAGCGCAAGTACCATCACTCACCATATGCTCCTCAGCCGACTACCGCCGATCGCCGCAAGATATGTCCAGATCTGAAGAACGAAGGTCGGCGCCAATTAGTATGCCAACGCCTACCAGTGGTCAGCTGGTCGATATCGACTCGTACGCCGGTCGCAGTCTAGCGTCAATTGTGATGACTTCTCGCCTGTGTATCCGAGTAGGAACCACATCAGACACATTGGCTGCGAAACTATGGATCACCAAATCTGTCGCTATATCGCATGTCAATACTAGCGTTAGTATGAATCATCCGTAGCTGTCACTCCGTCTTCATGACCACGAGAACAGAGAGTTGACTCACCCAAGAGATGGTACCAAACACCTTCCAAGGCATCCTGACCTAGTAGGAAAACCTTGCCCATAGCTACGGAGATTTTCCGAGAAATCCGGAATCAACTCTCATAATAAGATACCGTAAGTCATGTGGCGAAGGGGTTGGGAAGAATAGGTGTACGGGGCGAGCTCGGGTACGTTTTGAGTGCTCTGAACGACATTGACAGACATTGACAGACTATGTGGTTGAGCAGACCTATAACAGTTAGCACAGAGATCAAGCGCTGCTCTTCAAAGTCAGTCAGAGAGGACAGGTGAAAACCGTCGCTAAATCCTCTCTGCTTCTAGTCGAATGAAGAGTGCTAGAAGGACGTACGACCTGTACACCACACATTTTTGGGCCGCGTCGAGAAGCAGTTCAGACTCGCAAGCCAGGGCCAATCTGATGATGTTGTTCTCCGGACCGTTCTCATCAACGAAATCATATGCTTTTATAGACATCGCGTTGATGTGGAGCAGTATTCGTTGAATGAACACACGACTCTCCCGGACTATGCATAGGCAAGAGCTAACACACGTACGATGCTAATACATGCACTTGGTGAGAGCGCTTCATCGTTCGACTGTCGCTCGACCCGTTGCGCGCAGAGCATAAATGTTCGCGCATGCCAATCATATTGTCGAATACAAAAGGGGTGGGCCTCTGTGACTGTAGACTCAGAAACCAGGGAATCGCTGTTGTTAGAGTAAAAAGCTTCACGCTGCTTGACAGTTTGATCCGTGCAGAACTAAACAGCAGCACGTGAAATCTCAGAACGACTCATTAAGCACTTGCCGGCGATACCCCGAGCATGCCTACGGCTCTGAACGATCCCACCAGAAAACATCTTGCTATCTGAGTACCTCGGTAACGCTAACACATCGCCAAACCGCTCTAGAGACAGGGACGCCGTCCTCTACGCCCATGCGCCCCATGCACGAGCATCCACATCAGCAGCACCACACGCAAAGCCGAAAGCTGAACTAACTCACTCGTGTCATCGATATCGGCCTCGAAGCTTTCGCAATTCGCCGTTAGCTGCAGCACTACAACAATCACGAGCTTCAGCCAACTCAGCACGCGCTCTATTCGCACGCGAGACGGGGGCCGGGTCCAGTGGTCTTTGAGAACATCTATGCGTATCGATCCAGCGCCGTTGGGTTGGGTGGCTTTGGATAGTTGGGCGAAAACGTCACGAAAAGAATGGAGATGTCGTCTTCGTGCGATGCGATGGCAGCACCGGTCGACTAAGAGTTAGTATTAATTCTCAGCAAGGAAAAAGATTATGCTTGCATCTCAAAGGAAATTGTGCGCTGCGCTGAATGACGGAGGATATCGATAACACGTTGGACGCACTGGCACGTGACATGACCCACCGTCGTCACGGTGGCGTCTCGTCCTACTCGCTTTGCAATTGAATATTTCAGAGCCATGATTTCAAAATTTTGACCTAAGTTCTACTGCGAGGAAATACTGGGGGAATCCGGCGGTGTCGGTTTACATCGCGTGGGCGGTCTCTTATGAAGCGTCAAGTTTATAACGTGCGGGGAGCTTCAAGTTATGGGCAGACTCGACGTCGACTCGATTCAAATTGGCCACGTCGTCCTGCTTGCTTTGTTACGACCGCGACGCTTGTGGTCTTGGGACGCCTGAAAATGTAGAAGCCGGAAGTGCAATCCTTAATCAGAAGACGAGTCTCCGCTCGTTCATTTGATGATGCGGAGTTATCGTTTTGCAGAACCGTCATCAATGGAGGAAGCAAACCGCAAGCTGCACCGGAATGTTCTGAACAACGAAGTGAGTGAAGAGATAGTATCGGTGAGTCTCGGAAGGTTTCACCTCTCATGAGGACTTGTCGATCGATATATTCTCCTACGCTTTCGTGGCGATGGAAACTCGTAGGAAACTCGTAGAACACGTGTACGAAACGGCTCTCCAAGTATTGCAGTTAATATTCGCAGACACCTCAGTACGTATCGTCTGTCTGATAATACTCCACCTGATTACCTTGCAGCCACGATGTTCCACCCGCTCGAAGTGATCCGTCTTGAATGGCTATCCGTCGACTACAACGACGAGTTCGTATCTGTGCGTCTTCAGTTCTGGCGTGGTCATCATCATGACCCAGGATACACCAGCGGGCCGCGAGGAAGCAGACTTCACCACCTGAATTTATCTCCCGGTCTATGTGACTATCTGGTGTTATAACCTTTTACCGAGACGCAAGTGCTTCACCTTTGTGCGTGATGCCTTTTGGATGATTGCCGTTGGTGCACACGGCCGCGAGGTGGGAGTCCTCGCCGCAGTCGCGCGCAATTCCTTCGTTGCGTTCTTTTCCTTGACTGTTATACATAGAGCTCGCCCTGGGTTCCCATCACTTGGGCGAATCTCGAGCGCGTGGAACAGCGGGATTCCCGTGTCGTGCTCTTGCACGCCTCGCTTGTGTTTCTACGGACCTGGACCTTGCTATTGTTAACTACCCGCTTAGTGATCCGGTTGCGTTGTCCTGTGGGATGGACGAGATGCGCTGCGTTCAACGGTGCCAGTAGCGGCGATTCGACGCAACTTCGTGCGAAGTACTCCAGGTACTACTTGCTCTTGGTCTACGAGAGCTAAGCACATGCCTTTGATGTTTATGTTCGCGACCTTGGCGTGGACTCATTCCCCGTCAAGGAACGACAACCAATATAACGAGTTCGTACATCCTGTAACTGTTTCTACAATCAAAGACTGGAGCCACAACGACTCACAATGTATTCGTACACGGGCTAAAGAAGAACGTTGACGAGCCAATACCCATCTCCATCTAATCAATTCAACAGAAACCTCGCTCTCTCTACTGGCTCACGGACGGCAACCGCATTTCAATCACGCAGTCTCCGGGGCACTCCAAGATGCGGGTGAATTCGAGCCCCGCCCGCTGAGCGATCGACCGGAAATCGGCCGGGACGCGCTCCGCGCCATTGACCATGGACATCATCTTCAGGTCAGACTCGTGAGCGAACCGGATAGAAGTGCCGTAGTTTGCGAGCAGCGGGAACGGCGCGGACGGTATCTCGGGGCAGCCCAGCGTCGTGTTCATCACCATGTCAACCACGAGCACGCGCGAGTGCGGGGAGAGCGCGGGGCGGAGGGCGGAGAGGATGTCGACGCAGCGGTCGTCTTCCCAGTCGTGGCTGTTGTGATGCTAAGCAGGGCCGAGAGAGGCCGGACAGCGTATAGAATGCTTACAGGATGTGGCGCAGGAGGTACACGTCGGCGCCCTTCACGGGGTTCTCCGTGAAGAAGTCATGAGGCATGAATTGAACGCGACCGGCTTTGAGTGCTTCTGGCCGTTCGCGCTGCCACACAGGCTCAGCTTTCTCGATCACGGCAGGACGATCCTGGACGACGAAATTGAGGAGTGGGAATTGATTGCAGAGATCGAAACTCATTCCACCTGTCCATATACCGTATCAGTGATCAAGCTCGTCCTACATTAATATGAAACATACCAACGCCACCGCCTATATCAACCATTGTTGCAGAACCGAGCGATTCCCATGGAAAGTCTGCCAGTATCACGAGCATTATCAAAGGCTGGAATGCCACAGCGGCAACTGTGGCTTACAGTATGAGGGCGGGGTTCCGAGGACGCCACTACTATTAACCATTGCGACAGTGAATCGTTCCAAGGCGGGCCGCGGTTTGACGGAGCCGTCGGGCTGTATAATTCCTTCTTCGAGCCAGTCAAATAAAGAGAGCTTGGTTCCATGTCCCTCCTGGAAAGCGCAATCGGTAGCAGAGTTGGACCAACCCTTTACAGGATCACCGACAATCTCCAGAAGCTTTGCCGAAGCCGGATAATAAACCCAAGCCCTAAGCACGGTCAGCCAGAATTTTCAATGATAGCAGATTACTCACCCCAAAAGGATACGTGCTTCAAGGGCCTCGTTGGTGGCAAGCGTCGCGCTGACCGTGTTGTTGGCGAAATATCCATCTTGAACTTCGGCAAAGATGTGCATGGAGCAGAGGGTCCGCATGATGCGCGCTAAACGTAGGCGTCAGTCACAAGTCGCGACCATCAAGGGAAAGACAGTTCACAAAGCTTTCTCGGGTGAAGACCCGTGGCCTTGCTGAGCTCAGAGATAGGCATTCCTACAGCCTCGTCGACCTCGGCAAGGTGATGGGCGACACGATGCTCGACCACGATGTGCAATGCCCGAGCCTCAAAGTATTGGTTAGCAACTTCTAGGATGCGTCTCTGGGGCACTTGTAAAATTTCAGTGAACGAGCCGCAGGCAGCCAAGATGGTGCGCTGAGCCTTGAAGAGATCTACGGACGCCGAGAGGGCTTTCTGAGCGCCAGTAGCGTCCTCCTTTGTCCACTCTTGTATCACCACCTGAGCGGCATTTACTACAAGATCCACAACGGCGAGAAGTTTTTCTGCACGCGCACTAGTGGTGGACATTGTCGAAGGAAGTGCGTGCAGCTGAGGCTGTATACAAGCTAGGCAGGCAGTCCGAGTCGACGTCGTCTCTTTATGACTGCCTCGGGAACAAGATCAGACTCATGACAGCTTTCTTGGACGTACCGTCACCGATATGGAGTTGTATATTGTCAGCACACGGAGTTGGAGTGGCTCGTTACGAGACCGACCTGCTTCTCTCAGGTCATCTACCGCTTTACTGACGCTCTGTGGCCCACTTGTCTTCAGCTACGGAATTCACCTTTAATACAGCGCAAAAAGTACCATTATTGGCGCAGGAAAACCTTGAGACGTCTTCCGACTTTCTCGGGCTGTTAATGTCCTTAGATTATGGCCGTACATGAACGTCACTAACGTTGCGGCCGTAACGGTGAGGTAGCAAAGGCGAAGATATAATTAGGATGCGACCCGGGTCCGTGCCTGGGTATCTTGAACGATAGTATCCACCAGGAAAGCCGCGGACTTTCCTCACACACGTGCGGATGCAATATAAATACGCCTACACAGACATAAGTAATCGATCGACGAGCGAATTCTTCGAAACTTGAAATGAGGAAGACAGGCCTTTGCTTGGCGCTTTTTGTTCTTATCGAGCCAGTCGAGTCTGGGCAGCATACATCAAGCACTACTGAGAAGTTCACGAACGAGCTCATAGAGGACATGGCTAGCGAGGACATAGATGTATTCACCTCCCAGCTGCGTGAGACCATGCAGGACCTCGCCGAGGCAGCTGGACGACGACTGGAAGAAGACCGCTCCGTCAGTATCTGTCATCCTGTGTTATCCGAAGGACGACAGCGGGAGGACTGTGAGTTTCTCTAGGCCGACTCAATGCGGTACCCAACATTTCATATGTCTTTTTAGCTCCGCGACCTCGAAGTCCTGTCTTGCATTCACTCCCTCACCTCGCCACAGTCCGTGAACGTTTACTTCTATTTCCACCCCCGCACCCGTTTGGATTCCGTTGAATGAAGCTACTCACTTGCGTTCCGCGTGAACGTGAGGCCTGTGAAGTGCACTCTGGGCTATTACGGGAAGAGCTACCGGGAGGTCAGTAAGTCACAACGTGCGGCCGTTCGGGTGGTTCTACCTGGACAACCGCAGGGACCATAGCCGGTGCGGCGTGAATGGCGCAGACTTGCAAGCTGTCAACGACACACTCTTCGGTCGAGATCGCAAGGACAAAGACGATAGAGAGGATTAAGGTGCGGAGAAACAGGAAGCCAACAATGACGACAAAACGCTTGGCGCGGGGATCGGACTGTGGGAGACGGTACTGCTCATGCTCGCAAGGCATCAAGTTCAACATCGCAGAGGAGGAAGGAGATGATGATGGATATAGTCACTCATTCAGGAGAGATCTTCTGGACTTGGACAGTGAGAAGCCTGGTGTCAGTACTGCTCACCTGCGTAAGATATGGAGAATTGAGCCCTTGCCTAGTGATGGTACGTTTTCGTCTCACCAGAATAACGCGGCCTACGTTCACTCACGCGCTCCGACTTCTGTGTGTTACAGACAGGCAGACGTATCCCTGGAGCAAGTCACGGCACCTATGGACAGCGATGAGGAGCAAAAATTCGACAGCGATGATGACAAGGAGGACGAGACGGGGGGCTCTTTCGGCCGTCGTGGTCGTTCTCAACGTGATGATGAATGTACTGTCTGCTGAGTGTTTATACCCCCGCATCTAGTTTGAGATCGTCCTTGAGGCTTTTCTATACTAACCTATGCTTTCCATGTGCTTTCCCTGTCCGAGACCTGCCCTCTGCTGTCTGAACTATGTAACTCTACTGCTGAGAAATTCCGATACAGTAGTGCGATAGTGAACTAACTTATATTTTGCTCATAAAACTGATGTGACTGCAAGCAGAACGTATAGAGAAAAAGGTGTGTACATTTTCGAGTACTGCCATTAATTGCTGCCATTATTGCTGAGGAACACTATGGTAATACGCTTCCAACCCAAATCTCTGCAGGCTCACCTCCCGAACCAACCTTCTCGCCCACTTGCTCGAACTTGATCCCAACCTCACACATCATATTCCAAAGGGTTCGTTCAGCGGCGTCGCGTTCATTATATTCTAGCAAAATCAACGGCGACTTTGATTGTGTCGCGACTCCAGTCTCGCAGCTGCATTCGACGGGTTGCTCGCAATGCACACCTGTGAGGGCTGAGAGAGTGCGGATGAGGGAGGGAAAGGATGTGTTGTAGGTGACATCGGCCATTCTGCGGGTGACAATAGTCATTTGATTATCTACGTGAATACACGCTAAGTGTACAGAGTGAGGTCCAAGTCGCTCACGATGGCCGATACTCCGTTCGGGAGTTGTTCGTCGTCCCAACGGAGGACGAGCGCGTGCGGATGGGTTGAAGCCGATCGGAATAGCGCCTCATTTGCTGCGATGTTATGTGCTAGGAGAGGCATCGCTGAAGCTTGTAATAATGCTGACAAATTTCAGACCACGTTTACGGACACAACGAGGACTCACTCATGGAGGTCAGTGGTTAGTATGCATCCTCCATTTCTGCAAGACGGAATAGCTGCACGCAGAGCTCCTACTGTCAGCGAGAAGCGGTCAGTACCAGCGCATGCAAAAATCAGAGAAAAACGGCGCGACATTTCTCCTTTCACTTACCGAGTTCGACGATATTCCGTGGTTCACATGACATCAATATCTCCAACAGGTTATCAACAAGGGCAGTCGAGTCAGAAGGTCGCGCCTGTGCTAGACTGACGAACCTTCAAGGAAATTAAACGGTCGCGGAGAGACACGGCGCCAATCGCTCACCTTGTCGACATCAAACTACGTCCGCTCCTTCACGTCCAAAAACAGCTGGTCTCCAGGCCCCGCCAAGGTCCTGTACACGCGCTCTACCTGTTCTTGCTTTCCCAATGGTGAAGAATCCAGCTTTTGCGGACGAACGCGAAGATAACAGGATGGGCATAGACAGCACAGGGAAAGGCGGCTCGCCGAGCGTCGCACCTGCGAGATTCACGACGTGCGGGCTTCCCGAAGCGTGTGCGGTGAGAACGAGCCGGAAAGACTGACCTTCCCGAATGCTTGGTGGAAGTGGGACCGCGATCTCCTTGTACGCGCATGCGTAGTCAATGTCTCGCTCATCGTCGAAGAGCTCCGTGCACAAGTCATTAGCAATCTGAAATGTAACAGAGATGGAATGAGGGAGAAGCCTGCAAAGGCGGTGAGCGGAGGAGACTCGGGTAGAAAAACATAACGCGGTGGCGGAAAACATGTGGGAACAGATTGGCTTACGTAATGAAAGTAATCTACGCGAGTACCCATATTAATCCAAGTGGCTGCAGAGGGCTGCTCCCCGACGACGAGCTTTTCTATCTCTTGTCGTCGTCGTTATGGGCGATGAACCACGAAGAATAGCCGTCCTCGTGGGAGAATGCCGACAGCTCCGAATCTCACCACAGATACAACCGCTCGGCGTATCTGCAGACTCTCTTACTAACTGCGTACCGCCCACGCCCGCAAAATCTACCTCACCCCTTCGCTCGAGTGGAGAATCACCGCCCAGACACTCTGAGTCCAGATAGCGTGACAGTGCGCTTCCGGCGACTGCGGAATATCTCGACACCGCCGATAGTGCCACTCTCGTAGAAGCTAGCTTCGACGAGAACGTGTTATGAGCTTTTGTGAACTCGATGTTAGCCTTTATCTCACTCCTTTCATGTCTGTCAGTTCGGACGAATTTAGCGTCGTTGAACGACTGCGGTGTTCCATTATTGCTTGACCGATTACAGCAGAGCGTAGTTTCGTGCAGGGTATGTATTTGTCATTATATGCATGCTCCTATCTTTTCAGTGCCTCTCTATAACGAGCTCGCTGGTCGCACGTCTAGAAGCATCCGTTTTCTTCAAGAAACGCGCGCTGCTGGAAGAGGGGTACGGGAGAAATATGCAAAAGCTCGCGAAGAGCACATCTGCAGCATACGCCGCGAATGACGGTAAGGCTGGGTGAACCTTGTATGCCTTCTATTTATTTTCATCGTCTCACATTGTGCCGTAGGTCGTTCGTTAGCACCTGACACCAGACGATGAAGAACCATGAGATCATGGTCGAGAACCGCCTGCATTCTACGCAGCACCTAAATGAGATGAGCGAAGGGCTCGCTACGCACACTATATTTTATGTGTGGGTGCGCTATAACGCGCTTCGCCGCTCCTCGACCAAAGAGCTCGCCAGCCGATACAAATGCACTCTCCAAGACTCAGAAATAGCGACGGAGAAGATTAAGAACAACTTCGACGTTACAGGGGAAGAGCTGGAGCGCTTCAAAAGGGAGAATCTCACCGTGAGGCCGTGCAGGGTCGTTCACGTGGGGGTGCGGGAGGAAATCGGGAAATAGGGAAGGCCGTATTGAAGGGGGATCTTCTTCTGAAGGGACGCAACCCGGGTAACGCACGTGTCTTATTGTCGGCGAGATCGATTCACATTCAATATACACCTACGTGCAGATTCAAAAGCAAGAAGATGACGTCAGAGCGCGCATGTCCAATATGTCGGATACATACCGCAGGATGGTCACGCAGACTCAAACGATCCGGCAAGAGTACTTCAATTTCCGCTTGCCTCGAATCTTGCGGGTAAGTTGTCTCGTTCAAGTATTAATCAATAATCCCGAGTTTACTTTCTCGGAAGGCTCTCAAAAGAGTGCGTGGACGAGATCGATTTAGGAACGCAGTACCATCTCTCTCGGTAAGCGTTCCTATATGAGAACATCGTCTTGAGTGACGGGACGGCGCTCGCGCGGACCGACGACAGTAAGAGACTCTTTGACTATCTGATATTTGCCGTTGCTGACGAGTAACGACAGCGTCTTCGGGTCTTAAGTCGATCGTTGAGTCGATCGATAATCGTTCTGCTGGTGTCGTAGGCCGAATATATATCTTGCAATTGGGGTTTCTGTGTTTCTGGGGGTTTCTTGATAGAATTATCGGGCAACTTGCGCTTGGTCTACGATAGCTAAGTACATGCCTTTAACGTTTATGTTCGCGACATTGGCGTGCCAGACTCATTCTCCATCGGGGAACGACAACCGATATAACGAGTTCGTACACCATGTAACTGATTCTACAATCAAAGACTCAAAGCACATCGACTCACAATGTATTCGTACACGGGCTAAAGAAGAACGTTGACGAGCCAATACCCATCTCCATCTAATTGATTCTACAGAAACCTCGCTCTCCCTACTGGCTCACGGACGGCAACCGCATCTCAACCACGCAGTCTCCGGGGCACTCCCACATGCCGGTGACTTCGAGCCCCGCCCGCTGAGCGATCGACCGGAAATCGGCCGGGACGCGCTCCGCGCCATTGAGCATGGACATCATTACCAGGTCAGACTCGTGAGCGTAGCGGATAGAAGTGCCGTAGTTTGCGAGCAGCGGGAACGGCGCGGACGGTATCTCGGGGCAGCCCAGCGTCGTGTTCATCACCATGTCAACCACGAGCACCCGCGAGTGCGGGGAGAGTGCCGGGCGGAGGGCGGAGAGGATGTCGACGCAGCGGTCGTCTTCCCAGTCGTGGCTGTTGTGATGCTAAGCAGGGCCGAGAGAGGCCGGACAGCGTATAGAATGCTTACAGGATGTGGCGGAGGAGGTACACGTCGGCGCCCTTCACGGGGTTCTCCGTGAAGAAATCGTGAGGCATGAATTGAACGCGACCGGCTTTGAGTGCTTCTTGCCGTTCGCGCTGCCACACAGGCTCAGCCTTCTCGATCACGGCAGGACGATCCTGGACGACGAAATTGAGGAGTGGAAAGTGATTGCAGAGATCGAAACTCATTCCACCTGTCCATATACCGTATCAGTGATCAAGCTCGTCCTACATTAATATGAAACATACCAACGCCACCGCCTATATCAACCATTGTTGCAGAGCCGAGCGATTCCCATGGAAAGTCTGCCAGTATCATGAGCATTATCAAAGGCTGGAATGCCACAGCGGCAACTGTGGCTTACAGTATGAGGGCGGGGTTCCGAGGACGTTACCACTATTAACCATCGCGACAGTGAATCGTTCCAAGGCGGGCCGCGGTTTGACGGAGCCGTCGGGCTGTATAATTCCTTCTTCCAGCCAGTCAAAGAAAGAGAGCTTGGTTCCATGTGCCTCCTGGAAAGCGCAATCGGTCGCAGAGTTGGACCAACCCTTTACAGGATCACCGGCAATCTCCAGAAGCTTTGCCGAGGCCGGATAATAAACCCAAGCCCTAAGCACGGTCAGCCAGAGTTAACAATAATAGCAGATTACTCACTCTAAAAGGACATGTGCTTCAAGGGCCTCGTTGGTGACGAGCGTTGCGCTGACCGAGTTGTTGGCGAAATATCCGTCTTGAACTTCGGCAAAGATGTGCATGGAGCAGAGGGCCCGCATGATGCGCGCTAAACGCAGTCGTCAGCAGTCGTCAGTCACAAGTCGCGACCATCAAAGGAAAGACAGCTCACAAAGCTTTCTCGGGTGAAGACCTGTGGCCTTGCTGAGCTCAGAGATGGGCATTCCTACAGCCTCGTTGACCTCGGCAAGGTGATGGGCGACACGATGCTCGACCGCGATGTGCAACGCCCGAGCCTCAAAGAATTGGTTAGCAACTTCTAGGATGCGTCTCTGAGGCACTTGTAAAATTTCAGTGAACGAGCCGCAGGCAGCCAAGATGGTGCGCTGAGCCTTGAAGAGATCTACGGACGCCGAGAGGGCATTCTGACCACCAGCAGCGTCCTCCTTTGTCCACTCTTGTATCACCACCCGAGCGGCATTTACTACAAGATCCACAACGGCGAGAAGTTTTTCTGCGCGGGCACTAGTGGTGGACATTGTCGAAGGAAGTGCGTGCAGCTGAGGCTGTATACAAGCTAGGCAGGCAGTCCGAGTCGACGTCGTCTTTTACGACTGCCTCAGGGAACAAGATCAGGCTCATGACAGCTTTCTAGGAAGACGTACAGTCAGATAGTGTCAGCACACGGAGTTAGAGTGGCTCGTTACGAGACTGTCCTGCTTCTCTCAGGTCATCTACCACTTTGCTGGTGCTCTGTGGCGCACCTGCCAGCTACCGAATTCACCTTTATTATAATACAGCGCAAAACGTACCATTATTGGCGCCACAAAATTTTGAGACGTCTTCAGACCTTCTCGGGCTGTTAATATTCTTAGATTATGGCAGTTCGTGAACGTCACTAACATTGCGCACGGCCGTAATTAACGGTGAGGTAGCAAAGGCGAGGATATAAGTAGGATGCGCACCGGGGTCCGTACCCGAGAATTGAAGTATTTCCGCAAACAGGTGTGGCATCATAAGAACGCCTACACAGACATAAATAATCGATCGTCGGTCGTATTCGAAATAGGCTCCAAATCCTTGCTTCCCTACCTCAGATGGACCCCTTCCTTGAGCTTGCTGCTCTACTGCCCGCAGGGCTAACGCCACCTCTAGTCGACGACGGTTTCTTCGACTACCCTCAAAACCAAACACAGTACAAGGAGCTGGCGGAGCGTATCTGCCGTCAGGTAGAAGCCTCACACGAATACAGCAAAAACGCTCGTCCGTACCCCTTAAAAATCGTCGAGCGCTGGTGTCCGTCAAGCTTCGCATGGAACAATATATCTTTTGAGTCTCGCCTCTACCGGCATCGTGCGCTGCCCGAGATGATGCATTGCACAGCGTTCTACGAAGCCTTCGCCGACATCATGATCATTTTGACAAACCCCCTCTGGATAGGAACGGCTGTGCGGGGGCAAGTTTGGCGAGCAACGATGAGGCTGGAAGGGTCATATCCCCGAAGCGACGGTAGTGATGAAGATATTTCTGGAGAGTGCCTTCCTTCCCCCTGAACGATTTGACGAGGCGAGAGCGCCCCACTCGTGGATGAAATGGTATACGGGCGCTGCAATGGCACGGTCTGAGGCTGGCGATTACGAATGTATGAGCGCTCTTCAGGGTACGATATGCTTTTGTTATACTTAGAATTCTGGAAACGACTGTCCGAGCAGGAAAGGAGATACCCTGCCAGTGGTCCTTCGGATGGTTCAAGGTCCGTTTGTCACCTTGCCTGGTATTCATTTCTCACTCTTCTGTTGCAGGTGCAACTCCCCTACGGTAAAGTCGCTTTTGCCCATGTCATGGAGTTCGTCACCGGTCGGACTGCCGCGACGAGGTCTCGCAAATGGTGAGCTTCGATGCCTTAACTATTGACTGCAGCGTGGTTTCGCTCAAGCTGGAATATCACTAGATGGACGGATGGTTGTCGTGCCTATACAAAACCACAAAACGTGGCGTGATAGTGCGCGACATCAGCGCTCAGCGCCCGCAACATCCTCGTCCGCCGGGTTAGCCCCGCAGCCCGTCGTGTTCACCGAATTTGTCTTTGGACGGAACTCCGATGCTAAGTCTGTCGCATCGAACATCACCAATTGTATGTCATCGTACGTACTACCTCGATATTTATGACGTCGCCCATGTGATTCTACTGAATTTCATGTATGTTATAATACCATCCTTTTACTCCGCGAGTTGGCGACCCCGATGGCGGACATCAAGGCACGGCTGGAGGACCGCGCGTGCAAAGGCGCCCCGTTCACGCAACTGTTCGCGCTCTATTCTACTCAATTTCCGCAATGGTTTCAAGCTTTCTAGGAGGTGCCGGAGGAAATTGTACGATATAATCCGGACGATATGGATCTCGACGTGGACTCCGGAGGCTCCCAAACGGATTCGGACCTTGTGTCTCGACTGTCTTTGTAATCCATTAATGCCCGTTGAATGTCATCCACTGTACAAGTCTCTAAAACGGATCGGCCAAGTTAGAGACTGCGCGACCTCATTCCGAGAGGAAAGACGGGCGGTATAAGGGAGCCTCGTGTGGGAGGGCTTGGGGGTATGCGTCGGCTATGACACTCCTACATTGTTCCCTTGTGATGTGGTGCTTACGATACGCTCAGCCCAAGGTACGAGGGTCGCTCAGGCCTCAGGACCAGTCATTGGCCGTTCAAGTGTATCTAGTTCGTCCCTCGTCAATCAGCCGATCGCGCACATACCTCCAATCTGCATCCGGCCAAAGACTGTAGCCCAGCGCAGCCCCCGCATCGTCAATAATTGTGGGTTCCAGAGGCAGCCACTTGCATGACAAGAATAGCCGAGAAATACAAAACTTATTCAGACCTCTCGAGAGCCAGTATGGGAATTGCCTAGAGGTCTGGAAGGAAAAATACTAGGTGTAGGCAGTTTTGAGGCAGTTGGTGGCAAAACCATTGGCCGCCGGTATCTACGGCGTTCACCGCCACAGGTGATGATGATGAAATCTGTGTATTTATACTGCAAGTAGGCGAGCAAGTGCGCCGAGGAACAGTCACAAACGTATACGAAAATACGCACTGGTAAGTGTTCTGTCTAGGAAGGATGTGGTCTGTGCTGCCATAAAGCAGCGGTGTCTTATGAGTACTGCGTTGGTCGGTGGTGGGGGAGGTTGTAATGTCAAAGGGATGTGTCCGCGTGAGTAATCTAGATGTAGTCATAAGAGGATAGCATAGTGGGAAGTATATGTATAGCAATAAAAAAGAAAACGAAAGAACGCCTCGTCATCGTACTCTGCTCATACCGCCACAGGTGACTTCCAGCGGAGGCCGTGGCGGCAGCGGGCGCCAAACAGGCGCTATGTGTTTTCTCACCATGACATTCGACCTTCGAAAACCAACTTTTCGTCCTCATCTGCGTCAGAGGACTATACAGACACCTCTGAGGATGCAGCAAGTTATGAATGCAATCAAATGTACTGCTGATAGCAGGATCATGGGCGATAAGCTCTTCCGTTTCTTGCTAAGTACTTGGGGTGAGACCCATTTTTCGCCTTCTAGTTCTTAGACCTCACGTTGACGCTGTTATAGCTTCTCTGCTAGACAGAGTACTTTTTAAAAGTTTCACCTCAAAAGGCTGCGGAAATGTCTAACATCAAGCTTCTATGCTACTCTCATTCCCGATCGCGACCGCGATGTACAGACTCCGTCCTGTATTTTCCATTTTCACTAGTATCATATACTAAGTCTGTACAGCGATGTTTTTCTCATTGCGACAGTGCATCTCGAAGGTACCCTCTGTCTTACGTGTGCGCGATCGACCGCGATCCTACGCCCCACAACTCGCATGTAGGTGCATCCTCCTCACGCCGTGCGTTGGTACATTACTCGAGTTGTGGCGGTCGCAAGGGTATGCGGTCGATCCAGTCATGCGGCATTGGGTTCCGGTTGTTTTGCTTGATATTGGTAGTTCTATGTCTACTTTGTCGCTGCAGTGTGGCGATCCATCGTCTAAGCTGAAGGCGATCCTCTACTGGAATCCAGTTCACTGCACTCCCTCCACTATCCGCTGTGGTTATTGATTCCGTGTCCCGGACGTGATTGTTTCAGAACTTGACCGACTTGTCTCTGATGATCTGGTTTGAGGTACGTCCGTAATCGTTGCGATTCGGACACAGTAGCTGATGCCTACATTCTCTTAATACGACTCGCTGACGGAATCGCCCAGTTTATGAGTGCCCACAAGTCGCTCTCACTGCCTTTTCATCGAGCATCACAAGCAACTCGGCGGATCATCGAATTGCTTCTACCATCCGGTGCCAATCGCCATTGCATCATAGCAGCATTCCATGAATTGGTGGGCCCACGGGTTGCCAGGCTATTGTGCAAGGCCTTCGTCGTGTTGAAAATTTGGCTTTGGATCCTGGCTCTTTTGAACGAACGTTGCAGATTATTGTGAGTTAATCTCATTCGGGATCAAACAACCACCGGAATGGTGCTTCCTGCTTCCCTCCGTCACAATCTGATGTGTTGGTTAATGCTATTCTATCCCATAGCTCCCAGTAGCGAGGCTGGGCGTTTAATATTTTCATGTTGCACGGCCGTCTGACATGCAATTCCCTCCATCCAGATGGTACATTCTATCACGATATATCTCGGAGTCTCCGCTGCGTTCGAAGGACTTTGTATGATATGTGTGTAGCCCTTCAAAGTCCATTTCGCTTTGGCGCTCAAGTTTCTACAATACATTCCAGCGTCATCTCAGGAGCGCCACATCCATTCTACCTCCCACACTAACCCGGACCGGCCTCACGAACATGCGTGCTCTGCGCGTGTGCCTCAACCTTATACTTTGTACATTAATCATGACATTGCGATTTTCTAACCTTCCATCTTCGCCAGGTGGACCTCCACGCTGAACCATGGACGGTGGGTCCAAATCGTTTCTTCCCAAGTCGATGCCGCTATTCGTCCGAGGTCGCTCACTATCTCCGCATCCCCCACCGATCTGCTTTACGCTGACATCATGCTCTTCCAGATTTCCCTTGAATAGTCCTTCCCCTCACACCAACGCCTTCTGGCCCACTCGACGAGTTATACCCTTCAGTTGAGAATTCATGGGCAATTTCCATCCATATCGTCCTGATCGTCATACAAGGTGTTGACATCCTGTCTAGCCCTCTATCGCCGTTTTTCGTCGCTGCAACTTTCATCGCGTACTCTGGCACCGTCCTGATCGTCGTGTATGCGTTCTGCTTGCTTTTGAACAAGGGCGTAAGTGGGGAGTTCGTGTATAGCGATGAACATTTACTGGAAGGATACGAGAAGAGGGACGGGTGAGTCTGGGTCCAGAAAACGCTCCCCTCAAACTTCGGAGCCAGCCTTTCTACCACGCGTCGCAGTTTAGAGGCTCCCTCAGCGAAGGTGAACAAGTTCGTGAAGCGCACGCTTAACTTGAAGGGCAGCGCCGCGCAGGCCGGGTGAGTAATTCCTGTCGTTGTATCTTGAAAGTTAGAATGTAGTCTGACTTGTACGTCCGGAAGCCATGTTGTTGTCATGAAACGAAATGGACCGGCGGCCGTCTTCTTCCACGGTCGAAGAGATAAGTAAGATACGATATAGCCGTCGTCACTTTGCGGCCCTACCTCCCTGAATCGGATTGAATGCGACCAGCATGGAACATCATTTTTAGTGGATCTCAGACGAACTTACACGCCTCGAACCGCTCATCATAGTATGTCAAATATGTCAGGTCTGACACCTCATGGAATCGCTCCAGCGCTACTCTTGCTCCGGACTCCCAATCCTCCCAGGATTATGTTTTTTCCATGCAAATCCAGCATATTAACGCGAGGGAGGCAAACAGTTGAGTCTCGCCGGACGCGTTGAGCGACTTCAGCCGCTTTCGCGGGCCGCACACCAACAAGTGTTTGCACCTGCTGATGATTTCAGACCTTCAACCGGAGCGGATTGAGCATCGGGGGCTGTATATTCGGGCTACCGCACAGCAATGTTATCCGCGCCCGGCTTCACAGAGGGGTGCCACGAAGACCAAAAGCCTTCCAGATCGCGATCGCTCCGACTGCCGGCACTGCGGATTGTCGTCTGCATCTATGTACGTCATTATTCTCCGAGGAAAATGATCCCCGGAATGATGTTTCCGGGCAGCATGCTCAATGCGGAAAGTCGTCGATGGCCTGCCGAGTGCGTCAGCGAACAGCATTCAAGCGACTACCAAATTAGCGAATTCGCCCACCAGGGCTCTCCACCTCGAATGAATTCCCCAGCATTGCAGTACTCCCACAGTGGGCGACCAAAACCTTCCGGCATCGTTCCCTACTGCGTGAACATCGCCGACTTCGCTTACACTAACTTTCATGGTGCGCGTACCAGCTCTCACCTCCAGCGACAAACGTCGTTATTCCTTGAAGTCGGGCACGCTGCACTTTTCGTGAATTCTGCAGGCTACATAATACTCCCACCTGTCTATCACTTATCGCCAGGCGACTCATCAGCGATATGATAGGCTTTCGATTCAACGTGGCAGCTGCGTTCCAGATGTACGCTTCTCACCTCAGCCAAGACAGATGACCAGGTTGGTGGGCTCGCGCACATCATTGTCACCTTTGATTTCACGGTGACTCCGAGAGACAGATACTCTTCTTGATGACACTTCTGGCCGGGCGCGAGCGTAACTGTAGGGTCGTAGCCAAAATCTGACAGAGACGAGTCGAACAAACGGCGAATCACGCGAACGAAGAGCTTCAAATCCGTGATGATGTCGTAATATTCGGACAGCATTATAATGTGCAGCCTTAACAAGTCTTACTGTCCTTCGAATACACGTACTTGGCTTCACTCTCAAATGGGAATAGACTCCCGGTCCGCGGTTTGGCGGCAATGAGCATGAAAGTTGTCGGCAGAGCGTCTGTCGCCACATCAGGAGACAAGACCTCTGCGAGAACAAACTTAGCCTCCCTGGTGGAAGATCAATTAAACATCGTTCAGCACCGCATTGGAGACTCGTTGACAAACTGGGATGAAGAGATCTACAAGGACATCCGGAGTATCAGACACGAATATCCCGAGGCACGAAGCTTGAAGCAGAGTGTCTACTCTGTTCAAGGAGACTAATCCGGAGCGCCGTCCAAAGCATTCAGTAGCCGGAAATTTCTCCACTGGAATACTAGCGGGAGATGAACGGGCTTGGTAACCCAGGGATTTTACATCTCTGCCTCCATTGCCCTCTTCCCAGTTGCAAAAGAGAACTTTTCGGAATCATACAAATGTGGCTCTTGGACTTGAAGAACGGCAAATACGGCATCGACAAACTCTGCCGCCTGAGAGCTTTGTTGCCGGCTTACCGCAAAGCCGAAACATACCTCTCTTCCTCGCTCCCCATCATGCCGTATGCACGAAACACGACCGCCGAGCGACTATCCAATGTACCTGTGATGCTCTCGACCAACTTTGTCCAAATCTACGCCGTGTCCGTGTCCGTTCACATCGAGTAACTTTCCCACATATTCGCTGCTGTACTTCTTCACTACGCAATAGGCGTCAAGATGTGGCGTGCCTTTATTTCTGTTTCGCGTATCAGCCAACGACTATCACCAGTGTACGTGCTGTACCTACAACCATGTTCTGCAGCTTACTTATTGCTGGCGCTCCAGCATTTAAATATAACAGGATACGACATTGAGACGTCACTTCGGTATGTTCCTTTTCATCTCCGTAGTACTCACAGGAAGCTCACCCAGAAATGGCCGGACTTGGCCTTTAATTCACACCGATTGACTGCTATCTCCTGATTCTATAGCTCTTTAGCAACACCCGTGGTGGGTTTACGAGATGATCGCTGTCTCATCACACCTTCTCTTGCTGTCGTTGACTCAACACATCTTGGCCAATCTCGCCGTACTGTTAGTCGAGCAATCATGCGAGGAGAAGGCCTATCAATATATAAGTGGCGACTCAGTCAGACCGCTATCTTAAGACCAGGTCAAGCCTTTGTCCTGCAAAGGAGCTCATCTCGATGTTTATTGCTACAATCATCTGCGCCTTGATATGTGGAGCCATATGGGTTTTCTGGCGCAATTATTTGCGATGGTATATTGCTAAGTCCCACTTGGAGAATCTGCCGGGACCTCCAGCTAAAAGTTTCTGGACGGGTGAGCTCCCCACCGATGTTGTCAGTGCAGGAGTTCACTAATTTCTGGAATATGAGGCAATCTCTCCGCATTTGTGGAACGGCACAGCTGGGACTTCCAGCTGGACATGGCGCTGAACTATGGGCCCGTCGTGAACTTCAAGGGATTCCTTGGTGTAAGTGAATATGCAGTGTTAGGTATGAATCATATAATTACCCCTACGACTAGAACCCAATGCTTTATGTGTCCGATCCAAAGGCGTTGCATAGTATCATTGTAAAGGATCAATATGTCTATGAAGAGACGCCTACATTCCTGCGGTGGGTTAAATCAGACTTTGATCCCATCGCTTGTATCAGGAATTGACTTTCGCTTAGCCTCAATCGAATTGTCTTCGGCACAAGTTTAATATCGACATTGGGTACGTCGGCATGCTTATTTAAGACTTCAAACTAAATTACTCGCAGGCGAAGCTCATCGCACACAGAGAAAGATGCTGAACCCAGTCTTTTCCATCGCGCACATGCGCTACATGCTGCCGATCTTCTATAACGTGGCTAACAAGGTGCAATACTGTTAGTATCGTGTAATCTCTTGCTCATCTCTGAACTCGATAGCTCGGCAGCGCGGTGGGTGCCCGTGTGGCGGACGGGCCGCAAGAGCTCGACATGTTGGGATGGATGGGACGCACCGCACTTGAATTGATCGGACAGGGTGGCCTTGGCTATTCCTTTGATCCTCTTGTAAGGGATAAAGCCGATGCGTTCGGCGATGCACTGAAGATGCTCCTGTGAGCGACATTTCATCCCTCGTCCACGCTTTTACACTGAAATGTCTGGTCATATACTGTGAACCAGGCCCACTCTGACCGAGTTAGGTGTCCTCCGTTTCGCCATCCCCTTCGTCGTACAGATCGGTACGCCCGCGTTTCGCAGACGCCTGGTGGAGATACTCCCAAGCAGGCGGGTGCGCAAGCTAAGGGATGTTGTCGATACAATGGATCAGCGGTCGCGGGATATCTTCGACGCGAGAAAGGCTGCTCTGAAGGAGGGTGACGAGGCCGTCTTGCGTCAGGTGGGCCAAGGCAAGGACATCATGAGTATCCTTAGTAAATCCGAGTCGGTCTCAACTGTGTGTCAGTTTACTGATCGGGGCCGCAGTCAAAGCGAACATGGAGACTACATTGGAAGAGGACAGACTACCAGAAGAAGAGTTGGTGGCTCAGATGTCGTGCGTTTGAATTTCCATGTTACATCTGGTTGCATTTTTGCCGATACTAACAAGCAAATGCTGTTCAGGACATTTATCTTCGCTGCTTCTGACACCACCTCCAACACCCTGGCTCGAATCTTACACCTCCTCGCTCAGCATCAGGACATTCAAGACAAGCTGCGCCAAGAGCTCTTGACGGCGTGCCAGAGTGATGCCCCACTTTCCTACGATCGGCTGATGCAGCTGTCGTATCTGGATGCAGTGTGTCGAGAGACGTTGCGAGTGTAAGCCGGGTCTCCTTCTACACCAGAATGTTCCTTATGCGGCCGTACACAAAGACATCCGCCAGCAACAATGCTGGATCGCCAGTATGTGGAGTCCATATTATGTTCGCCCACATCTTTGAAATCCTCCTCACAGAGCACGGAAAGACATGATGCTACCACTGTCCGAGCCGATCCGGGGTATTAACGGCCAGATGATGAGCGAGATACCGGTTCCCGAGGGCACTAAGGTGTTTGTGGGTGTTGTGGGATCCAACCTCAATAAGGCGCTCTGGGGAGAGGACGCCCTGGAGTGGAAGCCTGAGCGGTGGCTCTCGCCTCTTCCCAACGCTGTGACTGAAGCGCGCATTCCTGGCGTCTTCTCGAATCTGTGAGTGGTGATACCGCGACAGACAGTTAGCACGCAGCTGAAGATGTTTGCTTCGCAGCATGACGTTTTTGGGCGGCAGCAGAGCCTGCCTGTAAGTAAACAGTCGGAAAGTGTTAAACGTTTCCGTTGACGGAAAATGTTTGACAGTGGCTTCAAGTTCTCCGAAATGGAGATGAGTGAGTACTGTATGCCGCTCTCCCGTGTAGGGAAGATTGACGAGTTCCCGCCTGGAGAGGTCGTTTTGGCGGTCCTAGTGCCGAAATTCACGTTTGAGCTGACTGCGAAGCCGATTGTTTGGAACATGGCTCCAGTGCGGTATCCCACTGTCGGCAAGGAGAGTGTCAAGGCGGAGATGCCACTCAAGGTCGGGTTGTTCAAGAAGTTCGATGTTTGAGGCTTGGTTCGCGATTTATTTACGTCTCGCATTAGCTAACATGACTCAATACACGAGGTCCTCTCTGTCCTGTAAAATATGATACGTCACACAGAGGAGTGATCCATATTCAAGATGTCGGCCAGAAAATCAAACCGAACACCTGTCGCAAATCTCAGAAAAGTGAAAGATTGAATATCGAGGTGCAAATTTGTGACGACGATGCTAGACTTCCGACATCTATCTAGTCTCACTGTCAGGATGAATTGACTTTAGCCCACAGAAATATAGTACAATGCATCAGATTCTCGGTCTACGATATTCGATACATTGCTTCGTTACATTTCGAGGGCTGTTTTCATCAGGTCTCTACCATGGGCAAAAGACACAGAACTCCCGCCTTAGGAGCAAGCTCCCGCGGCAAGGGAGACAGAAAAACTGATGTATATCAAGAAGAGTGCGATCGTGAAAGGGGAGAGGACGTTGTAAAGGAACTCGTAACGAAGACAGATTGCGATTGTGGATCGTCAAGGGTGAGCGGCGTCAGCGTTATGAGTACTCGGGCTCGTGGAGCCACCTGGTACCGGACTCGTGAGCAAGAAACGGAATAAAAACGGGACAGCAACTGCAAGCAGTAGAAGAACGGTGAGAGGATGGTTCATTGATGTCGTGAGAAGGTGTTCGTAAACGTGCCGGAGATGGAGCATAGGGCAATAAGCATATCATAAAGGCGACCCTTTTCCTTGTTGGCCAGGTCAAAGTGCATCGGGACCACAGGAAACTTTTGGCAGGATCGGAAAAAGAGTTGGCTGTAACAATGATGTTTGAGTATTATGCCGTAGGTACTGGGACACGAGCAGACATGGGTCTGCCGCGGGGCCTAGGACGATTGATTCTCAACGTCTCAGACGGACTGAACGATCTGATAAGTTTGCAGAAGAGGAACATCGAAAGGGTTTACTTACGTGATCACCATTGATTGACTGATGTTCTCCTTCTGGTCGTTGGAACTGGACTTCCCTGTGCTGCGCTTGGACCAACCTAGAGCCGTTCGACGAGCACTTGAGGTGACTCTCGGCCGTGGATGAGCAGGAAGACCAAGATTGCTCTTGCCCATCTTCGATGTGTCGAAGTCAATTGCAAAGGGCGTGAACGGCTTTGGAGGTTGAATGGCGGGAGGCGGGGACATCGTATTGGCATCGACGTGCACTTCCCGGAGCACCGACGGCACTGGTGGCACGGGAGGCAGGAGTTCCTTGGGGGCACTAAGCTCAACATGGAGCTCCGCACTCGATGGCCAGGACTGTTCCGGTGACATGGAAGGTGACACGGAAGAGCGAACACTACGAAGGGGATAAGGTGATGCTCTCGAAGATGTACGCGATCGAATGCGGTGTAGCCGAAGCTCAGACGGAAGCGATCCATAGTTCTTCTGGGAATGTTCCAACATCGCTTGCATGCCTCCTCGATTGTTGGGAGGCCGGAAAGCTGTCACACAGGCATCAGCAAACAGTACAGTGACAGCACAGTGAACATACATTGCACCGCGAAGACTGAAAACGGAGTATCCGACCAGGTTCGCTTGCTCTCTGTGACTGTGTCATGAGCCTCGTCTCTGAGAGCATAGTACTTTCGTAATGTCACGATGCCGCGTTCATCGTCCCACTTGCTGATGGAATCGTTGTCACCATCAACGACAATGATCGAGTCACCTACGGGGCCAGGAGACATGCTCATAATACTTGAAAGAGCGAGAGACTTGGCAGGCGAGGGAGATCCTGCCACCGATGCCTCTTCCAGGATAGTCTCGTAGACCGATGATCGGGAAGCTCGTGCTTGTGAAATCCGACGACGATGACCGGTGCCGCGCGCCCTAGCTCGAGCCCTGACCCTCGCGACGCCACTGCTCGGATGGGTGGCAGTGGAAAGAAGGGTGCTCAAATGGCTGAGATCGATGCTAGATTGTGATCCGCTGGACTGAGAAGAGCCGTCTGAGAGGGACAGTGGAGGCGTCTCGGCACCTGAGGAAGTGCAGGTGCTTGAGCGAGACCGGGAAGCAGGGTCAGGGCGACTGAACATACTCCGAGAGCGCACTATGTCCTTGTTAGCGAGATGACAGAAACACACGACTGGTGATACTCACATGATTCCAGCAGATCCTCTCCTTGAGCGATTAGAGCGCTGTCTTCGAGGCTCTGTCTTTCCAAGAGCCCCTTACGAGCCATAATCATGCGCTCCCCGCCGAACTGATATGACGACGTAGATGCTATAGATGGTTTCTCCGCCAGCCTGACTTTAGGCGAATCAACCAGAGGAGACTCAATGGGTTCGAACAAGGGGGCAGCTGGACGAACGTGGCCAACGGCAGGTTTCCTCCTCTCCACTCGGGTGCAAGGAGATGCTTCGATCATTGAGGAAAGCGATCGACGACGAATATGATCACCGTCCAACATCTATGAGATCTATTAGCAGAGAAAAACGAGGTTGAAATAGAACAGACTTACAGTGACCATAGTATCATCTTCCTTGCGCGGGCTGTGTGTGCTCACCTCACTCATCACTGACAATGGACGGAACTGACTGAGTGGCAACTCTCTTGCGTAGGCATAACGACCGTCGTAGCCAAACACTGAATCAGAGGACATGGACGTCCTGTCCTCGACTTTCTCGAAGAGCGAGTCATCCATGGAAGATCGCTTACCGCCATCCAATACCGAATCCCAAGACGCACGTCTGGAAAGCTTATCCTCGGCAACACTTCCAGGTGGCGAAGCAGAGATTGCTGACAGAGGCATACCGTAGTCGTTGTCAAACATCTTGTCACCCAAACCCGGACGACCTAGGCGTTGTGCCGAGAAGTCACTGAACTGTGAGTCGACCGAAGCGTCTTGACGATGGTGCCGAGCCCATGCAGCCCGTCCTCCATTAGCCCCGTGGACGGCGTAAGACTGTGCCATGGAGCTGGCACTAGTGTTGGAGTCGTTCCGCTTGTGCACGCCGAAACTGCGATTGTACAGGCTTACCGGTGGGGCATTTGAGGCCACAGACAACGCGGATTCGTGACGACGATGCCCACGCCGGCAGGGAAGAGATGCTTGAGCGGGACCAGGGGCGTGGAAGTAGAAACTCGAAGCATCGCTGTCCACCCGTGGGCGGTTGCGACCTCTGTGCATGAAAGAGAAGGTGTCATCGACAGACATGGACATCGAAACAGACATAGACACTTCGGATGGGGGTCGGCTGGGGCCGAAACCGAAAGGATCCAATGCACCAGAGTTGAGGGCTGCACCGTACGACGAGACAGACGCGATACTGAACACTGACTCGCCTCTGCCATGCGTAGGTCGAGACACTGCACCAGGAGGAGGATAGAATGTTGGTCGATCGGGACCAAATTCGAAGCCGCGCCTAATCTCATCAAAGGAATCAAAGCCAACAAAGCTAGCGTCAGAAGGGTTTCTCGAGTGAGCAGGCTGAGAGTCGGCAGATCTGGAGACAAGAACAGCATCTCGTGCATGGCGCTTGGAGCTGGAATCCGAATCCAGTCGCATACGGGGAACAGGGCGCGGCACGGGAGGCGGCAAATCTGAGGCTTGGGCCATGATTGACTTGAGCACTGAACTGTCTTCTTCGATGAGCGAAGTCTGTGAGAGACAGTAAGCTACCTCCGGGGGAGGGATGATGTCCGACAGGGTCAACGGCCTCTCAGATCTCTCTTCAAGTGTGTCTGGAATATCAGGCTTGCCACCAAACTTGAAATCAACATTGAGCTGTCCATCAGATGCCTTGGAGCGCATAGAAATGGACTTCCTCAGCTCTGGATACGCTCTGCAGTGATCCTCGGCATGGTCTATGGAGAACTGAGCCTCTGCGGATACCATTGAATCTCCGTATGCGAGGCCGCCAGGAACTTCTTCGTCGAGAGAGAGTTCGACCCCCGGCTGAGAAACACTTCGGGGAGCAACATCTTCTGCAGGACTGTGACGGAAGGCAGATGGCAATGCTGGTACAGGCGGTACAGCCAGGAAGTTGTGGTTCAGACCCAAATGCTCGCCAAGGCCGTAGCCGAGCTCGATTCTAGCGGGAGTTCGGAATGCATTTTCCAGCTGCTCCACGAAACTGCGCCTGTCCGATCCACCGGACTCGTTCAGCTTCTGCAACTCACCAGTGAAATCGAAAGATTTGTTTGTGTCATCCTCTGACGAACCATTGCCGCCATCGTCGATGTCTGCTTCGTTCGCGTCCTCATCGAGCAGTTGTGCGCAGAAGACAGGTGCATCGGCGACCACCTCGACCGCCTCGACAGTCTCGACCGATTCTGATAGCTGGGGAACCTCGGGCAAAGGAAGCGGCACCTCGCGCGGGGAAGTTGGGCAAGAGACACGGCGGAAAGACAACGTGTCGTCCAGACAGCGCTCACCCTCTTCGTCAGATTGTCCGGACAAGATGACCTGTAGTTCGTCGGGAATATCGGAGTCCGGATCCTCTGGGTCAACGGGAGGTTCAGTAGACCCAGATCCCCCCATAGTTCCCGCCAGACCCAAGCCCATCCTGGCTTCAGGTGAGATAGGAATGCCGGAGTTCCCAAGGCCGTGGTGACTCTGTTTGCTCTTGACGGCAAGCAGAGAAGACGACTTCCTGTGCAATCCAGTGGTTCGCTTAAACACGGGCGTCGGCGAGGCAGTTGGACTATCCACGGATGCTCTCAACTTGTGCTTGGACGACCTCAGCCCAAAGGTTCCAGACGACGGCTCCCCGGGCTCAGCGCAGTTGAGAAGAGGCGTCGTAGCCACTGGAGACGGAGATGTGACAAGCGCGTTCGTGGTCTTCACCTTCGCAGGTCGCAGCGGCTGGAACACCGGAGGCTCAACGGCGGGTGAAGGTGTCAACGTGCGCTTGTGTGTTGGACGAGCTTTCGCAACGGTCCTCGTAGGCTCCTTCCTAGGTGAGACATGCCAGTCGAAAGTAGACCAAGGGGCAATCGACTGGCCGATCATTTGCTTAACAACAGATTTCTGGTTCGCTGTTTCCTGGGTACAAGCATATGGGCGGAGCGAGCTGATGGATGCTGTGCTCTCGCGAAGCTCAGCCTTAAGAGGACTGTCACGAATTGTTCGTTTCCTGAGAGGACTATCGTCGCCAGCAATCGCACGTGGAGTCTGTCTGAGAGGGGAAATGTTGCTGGTGCTACTCGGCGTTGCTTCTAGGTCCAACCGGTTGATGAGCGACGCAAGGTCATTTGTCACGGCGTCAAGGATGGACAGAACTCCTAGAAGTCACGGCAAATTAATTATGTAGTTGCGAGTGTGCAAACGAAGACCCCACCATCGCCTTCTTGGCTTTCGCAAACAGCCTGAGGCCTTGCCTTACCCAATAGTTGTTCAGACATGGGCCGGGGACGAGCGCGTTTCACAGGAGTCAGGGATGCTTCCGAATGGCCGTCGGCAGTAGCTTCCTCTACCGTGACCATAGGTGGCTGGCGCATAGACCGAGGAGGAGATATCGGCACGGGTCGTTCTATCTGCATCTCTGGGAAAATTTCTGAAATGGGGGTGCGCTTCCTTGCATCGGATGTCTTGCGGGATTCGCGCCTGGTATTCCCCCCCTCCTGTTCTCGCCGGCTCCTTCTCTCCTTCCGCTGCAACTCTTTAGAAGAGCGAATGCACTCCTCGTCCCAGCGAACCGATACGACCGAGCTTGACGAGGAGCGACCCGAACGGCCTGATATCACCGATCCGCCTGAAATTGTGGATGGAGGGCACAGAGACGACCCACTTGATAGGACCGAAGATGGCCGGCCGTTCGCGTTGAGAATGAGATGTGCCGAGTCCACCGACAGACGGTTCGATGCCGGTGGCTGAGCCGCACAGGAAGATGATGCCGTAGAGACTTGACGAACGGTCGACATCCTGAGCGTCGAAGGCAAACCGAGACCAAGCACACTCTGCTTCGTATGTCTGAGAGTTCTGACCGGGCTCTCCTGCTTGACAGTCCGGGGGCTTTCTTGCGCACTCAACGCGCCCGCCTCGAAACTGCTACCCGATGACCGGATCGTCTTCTTCTTCGCTTCTTTCTCTTTTTCTTTTTTCTTCTTTTTCTTACCCTCTCCTTTCTCCTTCGCTTCCTTCTCTTTCTCCTTCGCCTTCGTCTTGCTCGGCGCGGTCGCGCGAGCTGCTTCGTTAATGTCATTATTTGTATTGGTTAATTGTGCCCAACTTGCCATGCGTGCCAGGGACCGCATTGACCGGATGGCGCGGAGCGCGATGGAACCGCTTGCAGGGGGCTCTGGTGCAAGGAGACCATTTGTGGTGCGGGAGGGGTCTGATGGGACAGCGGAGAGCGTGGCTCCCGCCGTCAGCGGAGATGGAGCACGCGATGGGATCGACGTCGGTGAAGGCTGTCGCAGACGTTCCTGACTCGCAGAACTCGACAGCACGATGCCCGAGTCCAACGAATTGAACTGCGCACGCGTGTCGAGGGAATTCAAGGGCTCTGGTGCTGCGAAAAGATCAGTAAGTAATTCAAGACATGCAGAAAACGTGGAGCCTACTCTTAGAACGGACTTGCGATTTCTGGCGTTCGCTCTCCTTTGCCTTTGCCTTCTCCTTCGAGTCTTTGCGCCCCCTTCCGATGCTCCACCACTTCTGATTCTCGTCCCCCTTCACCTTCAGCAAATTCTCCACGGGCGCGGGCTTAGGTTTCTGCTCCTTCGCTGCCGGGATGTTCGTCACCTCGCCCAACGCGCCCCAGGTCATGCCGTCCAGGCCCAGCCGCGACTTCTTCTTCTTCACCACTACGATCTCCCCGATCTCCGGGTCCTCATTGTGGTCCACGTAGATCTCGAACCCGCTCCGCCCCGTGGACGTCGTCCCGCCGATGCGACGCACGACGTCCGACAAGTCTTTGTTCACCCTCTCTTTCGTCTTCCCGCTCCCGAGCAGCCCCAATTTGGACTTCTTCGGGACGAGCCGCTTCCGCGGGGCCTCTGAGTCGGCCCGCGGGGCAAGAGGAGACGATGCGAATGGTGCGACGGCGGAGAAGGACGTGCTCGCATCGGCTGTCATGGACGGGGTAGCGGAGATCAGGCGGATGGTGGGCACGGGCTGTGGAGGTGTAGCTGTCGAAGGCGCGGCGGGCTGCGTGCGAGACAAGAGAGGCAGTGTGCTGCGCATTTCGCGAGTCTTCGTAGCGTGCTCGTCAATATAGACAGCGTGAAACGTCGTTGATAAATCAGAATAAGAGAAATCAAAAAATTTGCGTGAAAAGTCGCGTGAGGTCGTTAATACAGAGTGAAATTTGAAGAAATGCAGTCGTGAAACGTCTTCGTAAAACTTCTGGGGTGATTTGAACGTGTCGTGCAGGCGAACTTGCTCGTAGACTCGTCAGAATCGTTACTTTCAATCTTGATTTGATGCTTTCTCTTCTGTTGGCTACTCACCACTGCGCCCGACGGTCAGCGCGACAGACGAACAGAGACAAGCACACACACCTTGCACTCCCGCAAGTTCACTTTGCCAACCGGACACCTCCACCGCTCCGAGTGATCAGGAAACGAGAACCGAGAGGTTCTTGCCGGCAGATTCACTTTGTGCGTATGCGCTGAGAGGGGCAGAGAGCACGGAAGCGCCGTGCGCCAGGAAGTTCAACATCGAGCAACACGAGGTGTTTGGATCTGTGGGCGCCCTCGGCAACACACCTCCAAATAACGCGTGTCGCGCGTCGCATCTCCCCATCTCGTGATCGCGTCAATCAAGCGCGCGAACACTGGAGATATCGAGGTCTTACCTTTCACGTCGCGCGTGAACAAATTTCCCACCTAGGGAAGACGAGAGCCAGTTTTAATTGACTAACAAGCTGTCTGCTGGCTCGCTATGGTCTGATTCCATAAAATTCCGTGGGAACGACGTTCGGAAGTAAGTGCGAGGTTGCAAAATGTGAGTACTCACTCAGAAATCATGCAAAAGTGCCACCTGAAAGTACGTTATAAATCTGTGATGGCACAGACGCAACCTGCGCCACCCTCCAAATCTTACTTTACAGCGTCGTGACATGTGTCTGTACCGATCGTGGACTAAGTGCACGGTTTGTATAAGATGGAGCGCAAGGGTGTCATCTTGAAGACCCTATCGATGCAGGAATTGCTTTTGGAAGTGAGGAGGTTGGGACAATGTTTATACCTGCACATACCAGCGCACCACGGTTTTGAAGCCTAGCAAGACATAGTTTTATCCGGATAAATTTGGAAAGTTGCTCGTCAGACAAAGGACAGCAAACCTACCTGTTCTTCAAATTTGGTCATTTTTCGTATGTTTGTGTTCACAATTCAGTAGTAAGTGTTGAAGCTTGAAAAGGACTGGCGTTTGAGACTTTGGAGTAAGGAAAGGGCACGGGCACTTATCCGTATATAATGACCGGAACTCCGACAGCCCAAGTTGTGGTCACTCTTTGTGCTGCAGGGACTCGGTTGGAGATTCTGGTGGAAGGCAATAGATGGAAGGAAGAAGAGACTCGCGGTCTCTGAGCTGTACTTTCGCCGCGCAGGTTGTTGACAGGTGACGTGCCAAGTGTCTTGAACTCATACATCTGCGGGAATCTGCTCTATTACTCGACTATATGCGCTACATTAACTTCGCCACATGCGCTGCAACTTCGAACACCAAGCTCCACAACCACAAGTGACAAGGTTCTATAAGTCTTGTTTGTTATCACTGACCGACTGACGTGCCTCGCGTCCTGCACGGCACGTAATGCTCACCTGCCGAAGTTACTAGACGCGTTCGTCCACCGCGTGCGTCTCTGGAACAACGATGTGGGGCAAAAAATGAACATGTTCCAGAAAGGAGCGACCGACGCGCGTATACCCACTTTGTGAGCGACGCATGAAACGCCTCGCGTTCCCACCGAAACCTGCTTATACATAGCGCTTGCCTGCCTAGTACGTGGGAGCACCCCCCCACCACGACGAAGGACCGTACGCCTCTTGCAGACCATTTGCAAGAATGACAATCCGACGTGGAAGACTGAAGGCGATCCAGAAAGGAGCGACCGACACGCATACACCCGCTCTGCTTCATCGTCGAATCGCCCTCCTAGATGAAAGGAAGCCTTGAAGAGACAGGGAAATGCTGAAAGTTGACGCGACATGGTGATAACCCAAGCACTATAGGCTTCAAGACGCGATGCGATGCCGCAGAACAAGCGCCAAATATGAGGAGACAGTCTCCAGTCTGACGCAGACATCAGCCAAAGTCGTTACATCCCGGCACTCAGAAGAACTCCCGATCGCAAGGCGACAGGGATCAGAAATGCAGGGCACCAAGGGATCTGTGAAGAAGGCCAGTCTCTCACCCCTCGAACCAAGCCCCCACTTACGGTCGAGATTTGGGGGAAAGCGCTGTGGTTGTTCTACTACGCATTGATAAAAATCAGTGATCCACTTCCCCATGCATAAACAGAGCAGGGCGCCTACGGGAGAATGCATGCGAATCGTGCACACCGAAAATCCAAAATTCCGCGCAAATACTTGATGTTCAACGCCTGCACCCTTAAAGATAGAGGTACAGTGGCATCCCTTGCGCTCGTAAAAAAGCCTGGAAGGGAGGTAATCCAAAGGTCGAGCGAAGGTCACGCTGATGGTGTAGAATTCAGCTGCCCTCCCTCAGCTCTTCCGCACGATTTCAGCCCGAGGAAGGGTGGAAAAGTGAGGCGATTCGAGCGACGACTCTGAAAGTACAGTTGACCGCACATGAATTCACCACGTTGGCAAGACCTGGGAATGTCATCCCGACTCCTCCAGCTAAGTCGGTGGTCCAGTCAGGATATTTAATATTACACCGAAAAAACCTCAGAAAGCAAATAATTCAAACTTCGAATGAAGACCACGTTGACGACGTAAGACTTGGAGCGCGGCTCTTCGCCACAATTTCTGCGCATGAAAGTCTGGCGAAGTGAGGTGATCCAAAAAAACACTTCAGGTAGACCGCATTTCTCCGCGCCGGTAAGACCTCGGAGAATCAGGCTCCTTCAGAAGTATCGGTGAGTCCATATTCCAGTCAGGTCAATCCGCAGACCGTTCTGCGATACATCCGAGTGGTTCAGCTAAGTAAGCACCACCCACGCGAAGCACCAACTCACTCAAGCTCCTACCGCTCACGCTCGCCAATCAGCGCGTCCCACCAATCATTCCAAGCGGTGCAATCATCCAATGCAAGCCAAGCGTTAAGTGCTCACACAGGAAGAGTAGGTCCCCGCCATGCAATAGAGGATTTACGCACTCTTTACGTCCAGAAAAGCCGAGCCTGAGTAACCGCAACCAAAAACCAGGTGCGGCTGGCGATAGCGCATAGTAACAGATAGTGACAGGTGGGGCGGGGGTACTGGTCCACTGAAATGGAAGGCGTACGGTTGGTAGGATTCCACGCGATTTCATTGTTCATGTCCTTACCGATGGCGAAGGGGAAGACGAAAAGAATGGAAAGCCAATAGCACGCGCGCCTTGTCACGTCGCACGTGTACGCGATGCCCGTATTGGCTCGCGTGTAGCGTTTGATTGCATGGAGAGAGAGCAACGCGGCTCGGCTACCCTGATCTTACGGCCGAGCTGATGTGGTCCATCTTCGACCGGAAGTGAAGATGCTGCCGATTATTTGTTTGCAGAGTCATGGAACCTTCCTGACGGAGACTATAATAGGCGGGCAGAATGTTTGCGTGCTTCCGATTCAAGGGTTGGCTGCCGGAGAGGTACGAATTTGTAGACGGGCTTGATACACCTCCAGACCAAACGTGCCCTTCGCAAACCGAGCGAAGGGAATGCCAGCGTGAAGCAGGGAAATGGTCGCTAGTCAATGTAGGGTTCTGTAATATGACTCACTCTGATGCCCGACGTTCTGGAAGATGCGATGCCCACGCAGACTTTGAATGGCGGGCGCGTGGGCACTGAAACGCACGGGCCACGCGTGAAGCACACGAGATGGTCCAAAGTCCCATCAAAGATGCTTCTCCATTGTGCAGAACCTGATGATTCTGTGTTCTGTGAGACTTGCGGTTCATTGAGCTCGAGTCTCGACGGTAAACACGCGGCTCTGTTCGACCGTTCATAATCAGTACGTGGGCCAGAGGGCCAGGGGAACTCTAAATGCTTAGCTGGGATGTGAAGATTAGCTTCCGCGATGCGTTTAATGGTGTTCCTCCACGGCATTTGCCTCCAAATGATACGAATAAAATTGTGGGCCAATCAACGAGCTCCGCAAAGATTCAATTGACGAATTCGCGCGGGAGAAGGGATCAGCCAGCGCGTAGAGGAAAGACTTTACGTCCAAGAAAGTAGTAGCCTGAGAACGAAGCTGGGAGGGCAGAAGTCTGCTAGGGTCAGCAGGCAGGTGCACGGTGCGACGCGGAACAGCGCAGACAGCGCGTGGAGTCACGGCCACGTGATGAGCGTGACAGAGCTGGTGGGAGAAGGAAGGTTGTGCGGCTTGTGATGGACGTGGCGGATTAGTAGTAGCCTAGTGGCACATGAGCAGCCCAACTGCTGCTGGACCCACCTCGGAGGTTGTAGATGGGGCTCTTACTGCCCTACTTAAGTCTTTCCACGCCTCCTCTCCTCTCCGCTCGTCGGCCTCTTCCCGGCAGACGTCGCCTCTCCTCATATCCACTCTTGCTGCCACTTCACTGTCTGCGGCGCTGTCCTGCTCTCCTGCCAGAGTAGCTCAAACGACGTGATCCACACTTCCCACCGCCATCCGCGGGAGCGATGGTCGACTGGCGCAGCCCCGACGTTATCTATGTTAGCGGCTATGTCTTCTCCGAGGTGTCCGTCTTTACCCTCGGCCTATATTCGTGCGTGCGCTCGTTTTGAGTTTCGCTGTCCTGCTTGCTCTGCTTTCGGGCGGAGTCGATCTCTGACATGAGCCTATCAATGACATGCAGATGGGATTTCATTATGACTCTCCACCACGTGGAATGGCCGCTCGTCACCTGCAAACTCAAGTTCCACTGGGCATACGTTCGTAGCTCATTCCATCATATCCCAAGCGACAGCCCACGATACCCTGCCCCGCCGCAGATACCCTACATCCTCGCCCGACACACCACGCTCGCATTCCTACTTTCCCTGTGCGCCTGCTCTCTTCGCTTGTCCAGCCCACGTCTCCACTGACTGCCCGGCCCGCAGCGTCATCATAACGTGCAGCGCCTCCGCAGATGCGTGTCCCGGTGGGTACACCGTCCGTCCTCACCCGCGCTATCGCTGACGATCGCGACCCAGGCGGCCTCAAAGTCCTCGCCGTGCGTGCTCCCCTGCTCACCGTACGCCCATCCGCTAACATGCGCCGCAGATGCTGGGCAACCTCGCCGTCGCCGGCGCGTCCACCAACCTCTTCATTCGCACGTGCGCCCTCGCCCTCTGCTCACACTCACACACTCAGCTTGTCTTTGCTTTGCAGACGGACGTTGTGGCAGCACAAGTACTGGGTGCAGATCGTCCTCAGCGTCCTCTCCGTCGGCCAGTGGATCGTCGCGTTCACAGGTCCGTGCGGACACACAGCCGACCCGCAGGATGCTGCATCCTGACTCTTCTGCAGTGTCCATGTGGAACATCACCAACGACCTCCCCACCTGCGGACCCGCGAACGCGCACTCGACCGTGGAGGAGATCTTCATCTTCTACGTGTACAGTGCGTCTTTCCTCGCTCATTTTCCCTCGCTCCCGGTCCCTGCACCCCCTCCGCTACCCCACTGACACTGGTGCAGCGGCCTTCTTCGACATGCTCATCCTCGCAATGACCGTCCTCCGGCTCTTCTCCGTCGGTGAGGCGCACGGATCCCCGCTCTGGGTACGACTCTACCGCCAGGGCATCTGGTACTTCGTCACTGCGCTCCTCGTGGGCTTAATCATCCTGGTGCGTCGCTCTCCCCTTACCAAGCGCCCTCGTATTCTCACTCACTTGCGCTGATCCCACAGGTGTTCGCCGGCCTCAACCTGAACCGTACGCCCCTTCCCCATCGACGAGTGGGAGTCCTGATATGTAATATGTGATATATATATTGAATGTCGGCGTCGATGCTCGTAATCGGTGATGCGTGCAGCGGTCATGAACATCATCTTCACCGTCCCAGGTCCGTCTCATCTCACCTCCGTGTGCCGTGCCAACTGAAAACCCCGTTCGCAGGCATCGTCATCAGGTGCGCACGCTCTCCGCCGACTTGTCCACCTTTGCCCTTTTGACGCTCTAGTCCTCGTACCTTCCCCCGGTCCGACCTGTGAACACCCGCCCCGTCCAAAGCGTGATCGCCTCCTCCCGCGCGGTCATCTCCCTGACGAAGCTCAAGGAGGCTGGTTGCACAAAGTACGCCCACCCCCCACCCCCGCTGTAGCGCGGGCGCTGACGCGAACCTCTCCTCCAAACCGCTGCGCAGCGCCGGCACGCACTCGCAGAACGCGACGGCGACGATCTCCATCGGGCGCGTGAATCAGTTCACGACGAACATCGAGCTCAATTCGTGCGTCACCCTTCGCTCTCCTCCCTCCCTACTCGGCCGTGCCCCGCCTCCCACGCGACACGATAGACTGATTGTATTCATTGCTGCAGCTCGCTGTATGACCACCCGCCGGACCTCGAGGCGCAGGCCGTCGGCAAGGCCGTCCTCCTCGCCTCACCCGCACCCGTCACGCTCTCCCCGCCCGACACGTGAGTGCGCGGGGACCGATGATGTCTGCCCATTCCTAGGACCTGTAGTAGGTGGGCGGGCTAGCGAGGGAGCGGGAGGCGACCCATTGCCGCGTACGCGCGGCTCTGATACACGCACCGAAGTCCGGGGAGAGTGAACGCTTGACGTCATCGTTCGTAGACCCGCTCTGTAGAGGCTCTCGCTGCTGTCACCGCTGTCGCTCGTTCTGTCCGTCCGAACGTTGCATCGATGTATCAATATCATTCCTTCATCCATTTTCCTACTGGCGTTACAAGTACGATGAGTTGCAGGTGGGTGGACTGGAAATGTACAGAGTACGGAGACATACGTGCAAGATATACTCAGCCAGAGGCCCTGGTGCACACGCGAAACACCAATGGCGTTCGATATGTACCGTGATCCTCTGCAAGACCTCTGCATGGTCCAACTGGGTGCAGACTCCAGTGTACCTCGAGCTAGCCAACGAGCCTGAGCGGAAGCAAAGTCGCATCAATCACACATCCGCCACCAACACCGACGGCATCAGCAGCACTCGCCGCCTGCCGCTACCGCCTACCCTCTCCCGCAACCAACAAGCTCCCCACAGCATCCGCGCTCTCCTGCAAGCGGCGGTGCCCCTCATACAGCGCCTGTACTGCCGCACCCGTCTCCGCGACAAGCTGCTCCTCCCCGGGTGCGCGCGTAGGGTCCGGCGGCGCGAGAGGCAGCGCGCCCACCCCCGTCTGGCGGAGCACATCCACGAGCGCGAGCAGCGCCTCCTTCAGCGCCTCCAGGTCCGCTGCGTACGCATCAGTCTCGGTGGGTCAATGTGAATAGGTGAGAGGGCGCACCGGAGGTTTGCAGCGGGCTCGTCGAGGGGTGGTATGCCTGTTCCCTGGCAGGCGGTATGGGAAGTCAGATATGGGGTTGCCACAGGTCGAGCAGGACCTAACTTACATCCCGGAGAGAGCACTCCTTGCTAGACCCTGTACGCGTGCGACATGGCCCTGGACTACCTGGATGTTTTGCCTGAACACTTCTGGTGAATTCGGGTCAGGCCCTTGTATCGCACCACCGGGTTGGAAAGGTTGCTGGGGAACAAACAATAAAGCTTGTGAAAACGCATCCGAGAACGGAGTATACACGGTTGCTTGGCCGGGAGGCGCGTATGGTTGAGACAACATCTTGGATTTCACGGCCTGACATCCAAGAGGTCAAAATGAAAGATCTTTCTGTGGTCTGATCGTATGGCCAACGCCGGGATCGAACCGACGACCTTGGCGTTATTAGCACCACGCTCTAACCAACTGAGCTAGCCGGCCATTTTCAATCTTTAGCACGGCCACAAAATATTAAGCATATTAGGAGGCCTCTCGTGCCAAGGACAAATACAAGTTTCCCCGTAGGTATGAAATATTTACGCGAGAGTCAGAAGATGAACATTCTCATCCCTCACTGTGAACAGCAGGAGAAACTGATGACCATCCGCCTTACGTTTGAGGACCGCGTCCCGGATTTGATGTGCATATAGCGTCAACTGCGGAGGGAACGCCGTTGCGATGACCTTCCACGCATCTTCGTCCGCTATCCAGGCGTTGGACTTGGCCATCTCTTCAAACACCGTGAGTGGTATGTCGACCGCGAGCGTCGGGAGGCCGGCGATCGCCGCATTCTTGACCTGCACTCCCATGTCGAACGCTGTGTGGGGAGAAATCAGCACGCAGAATCGTTCATCCGGGCGTTTTCATTACCTCGATCCAGAAACATCTGCTTCGTCTGCTTCCGCTGTTTCTTGGCGTCGCCCGGTAGAACCAGCTGCACGTCGGAGGACCCGGCAGATTCCTTGGTGAGGTTCGGGCTCTGAGTGCCGTCAGCAATCGCGCCGATTCCCGAGATCGAGGCATCGAAGCGCTTCTGCTCCGCGATCTGCTGGTGCAGGAAAGGAACCAGGTCTTGCCGCGAGACTGCTCAGAGTTGCTTCGTGTCACGACCACCTGAGCACAATGGGAATGACACTCACCTTCATACTCGGTCCCTTTCAGGACACTCTTGACCTTGAAAGCAGGTTGATCACGTCTGGCTGACCTTGCTCGTGGAAATACAATGAACCTGCAAGATGTTTAGTGATGGAAGACAAAATGCTAAAGGGAAACACATACAATATCCCTTCTCGTGTGCACACGTCAACGTGTGTCTCATGCTCCGAGTCGGATAAGCTCGATTCGTACATCACATCCGCGCTGATGCCATGCTGCCATAAGAGCGCTGCCACCTCTAGGCGGTCAGAAAGGTACCCTGCCTGGTGAGACACAACGTAGACGTCACAGCGGCGAGGACTCCAGTACCCGAACGAGCGCTGCTCCTTCATCAGAGTCTTGACAGAAGCACTCTGGAACGTAGCCAAAGCCAGAGTGATCTTCTCCAAAGCAATCTGGACCACCACAGCGCAGATTGTATCTGGTTTTGGTTTCGGGGGCGCAAAGCGCGAGATGACATTATCGTATCTAGGCATTTAGTCAATAATGGATATGTCCGTGTTGATGGACACCACTTACCGTCCACCTGCAGCAAGGATGTCTGATTGCTTGTTACGCTTCGCGACCTCAAAACAGACTCCATCTCTGAAGTACGAGCTGCGGTTGCTCATCATGAGTGGGTTGAACAGAATCGGACGGGTGACCCCAGATGCAATGGCGAATTCGATTGTTGTCTTAATTTCTCGGACGTGCGGGTCGAGCAATGCGACTAGTGATGGCGAAACCTTCTCCATTCTCCCCACAAGCGAATCCAGATCTTCGTCTTTCGAACGGTGATGTAGTATAAGTCACTAATGTTATCAATTTACTCGAAAGACACTCACCAATTTCAGTCAACACCTCCAATTCATCTACGATATGTCTCGGAACTCCCTTCCGCAGTAGCATGGAACGTTTCTGCGATTGCGATGACTTCATCTGGTTCAAGACATCGGTCACCAGGGTACGAAGCTCCGCAGAAACGCGCTCCAGGGCGATCTCGAGGACTGGTCAAGCATCAGGCCAAATTCGGGTGTTGCATGACAGTAAATCGCTTACTTTTGGAATGAGATATGTGAATCACATAGCTCTGCGCGAGGTTTGCGAACTTGTTCAGACACTCGCTGACGATGGCGATAGCTTCCGCCGCTGCAGCACTGGGTCCCGTCTCCATATCTGGTGTGATGATGTCAAATACCGCCGTCTTCATCACTCTGGGATGCCCCGCGACCATGCTGGAATCCCGCATAAGTACGTCGACGCCCTCAGAAGGGAGAGAACTGACTTGGGTCGGTAGATATCGCCGATGTGGTACCGTTTGATTCTCCTGATGTTACCACGCGCCGCGAGACGGGCAAAAGGAAGAAGGGCATTATTGGGTAGAGTGACGACCTCGCCATGCCGATCCAAGAACACTGCTCGGTTACGGTCCTCCTCTGGGTTCAACATGGGCATCAGTAGTGGCGGTTCCATGTCCACAGCACCATGCAAGCGGAAAATCTCCACTAAGCGATCGACGACAATCCCGTTCAAGGTAGCGTGTTCCGGCAGTTCAGCCTCTAGGTCATACAAGAAACCACGAGCGGGATTTGCAGGCTGATTGAAGAGAGCTGACAGAACGACTTGCAGATGGGGAGAATCGGTCTTCGCTGAAGAAGCTCGTCAGCAATGAGGTAGAAACTGGAACGTGCATACTCACTCATTTTTCTCAGCGCCCCCGTAAGATATTCATCTTCAAGCCGCGGTGGAAGCAAGGGGCTTTGCGATAACTCAACCGCACTAGGACGATCATTAGGATTGTGCTGAAGAAGCCAAGTGATTACTACAGAAACAATCAATAGCCGTTGCGCTCGAGGTAAAAAAGGACCTGCTTTGACGCTGCCTGGTTCGATACGGCTCCCAGCTAGACGGAAAGAAGATACCGGGTTTCCGCAGATCCTCCAAAACAGCGATACGCTCCGCGCCCGTGGAGAACATGTAGTTCATCTCGAAGAACACGATCTATGGACCGCGTGTTAGCCTCTCCATGTCGTGGCGTAAGCTCAACTTACACCAAGACTATACATGTCCGCTTTCATGTGATTTCGAGGACCACCTCTTGATGATTGTACTTCAGGCGCGATGTAGAGTCTTGTTCCAACATCTGCAAGTGAGACGTTGTGTGAGAGTCGCTCGGAGAAAGTCGACTGAATAAGTTTACCAAGCGTCATGTCTGTATCGTTGTAGATAGTATGGGTAACATCCGAAGGGTCAACCGCTGCAAGACTAGAAGTTGCGAGCCCAAAGTCGCCAACTACAATTCGTCAGCTTGACGTTGTCACAGCAACAAAATCAAGTCACCTTTGCAGTCGCCTTTGCCATCTGAAAGGGCTTGAGTACAGTTTATGTAGCTTGAACCAAAGACACCTCACCGATGAAGATGTTAGTGAGCTTGATGTCACGATGTAGCTGAGAACCAGTATCAGAGATCAATATAAACATGAGCAGGGTCGTTGTAACTCACAATTCCAAGACTCGACATATGGACAAGTGCGTCCACAATCTGTTGGAACAATCGCCAAGCTTCATCCTCAGAAATTCCTTCGGCAATTCGCTAAGCAAGCGAAGTAAATGATTGTATGTTCACAAGTGGAGCAACGATGATAGATACCTCCTTCAGAGTCTGCCGTTCAACAAATTCCTGGGACAATGTCAGCTGCCTCCGTAAAGCGATTGATGAAACAGTTACCATTTGAATATATAACGTCCGAGACATAGCTGGTGGCGTCTGCGGGGTCTCAGGTCTCGAGAGGGGCTCTTTGCGGAACAGGTCACCAAACCCCTCATCGCTACTATCTTCAGTGTCAATATCGTTTTCGTCCACAGAGCCCGACTGGGTGAAATGGATGCTCGGGAACGAATGCCTGCTCTCGGACCCTAGGTCGTCGAAATCAATGTTGAACGGGTCAGCCGATCCGTCGCCCTTTGATTTTGGAACGGAAGTCATCCCGTCGGCAGTTTCAGTGTCCCGGTCAGAGTCAGATGAAGCTGTTGTAGACGTAGGTTCGGATGTCTCCACCCACGTAGTGTAGTAGCGGACGATGAAGCGATGATTGAGACGGCTTAAGGCGTTCACTTCGCGGAATATTCTGTTGTCACTCTGTGTAGCCCGCAGCCGGATCTTCTTCACTGTTACGGAACATCAGATCTATGAAAACGAAAGGGATGTAATACCCCACCTGCGTATACCCTGGAGTCGATCTTATTACGAGCTTTCACGACGGAGCCGAAGGCACCTCGCCCCTGTAGTAAATGATCTCAATAAATATAGGGTGAAAGCCGGGATAATACTAACCAGCAGTTCGAGCTCCTCCCAATCTTCCTTCCACCTACTCGTATGCCTCGTCCTGGGAGGCGGCGCTCTGAAGTAGTCCGTCTCAGGCGAGCCGTTGAACGGGTGGATCATGGGAGTGCGTAGTGAGCCAGGCGTACGTATCGGAGCCGGGATGCGCAGGGGACCGGGAGTGCGCATCGCACCTGCAACGTAGACTATGAGAACGCGCAGATCAAGGTACTGATGGGCCTTACCTGCAATAACCATGGCCGGCGTGCGCGGGTGAGTTACTTCGTACGAACCACCAGCCAGATCTGCAAGGAGACTGAAGCATGATACCGATGTCTTCTTGTTCTGCACGAGCATGGTCGTAGCGTGTTGTTGCAGTGGTATCGAGATGGTCGCTGTATAGATCAAAACCTTAGTGTAGACCTATGTATGCCAAGCCGAGGACGCACAATTACGGAGAGCGGACTGAGGATCCGGGAATCTCTCCATGACGTCCCGGCCCATGAGCATCTGCATGAGCACGATACCAACAGCGTGAATGTCGCGACTTCTTGTATACACAAGCGGGGACTCGAGGGCCTCTTCAGGTAACCTTCAAACATAACGTTAGGCGAATGCAAAACGTGAAGCCTCCATGTTAACTGACCAGCCGTCAGGTATTTGCACTTCGTCTATCTTCGGATCGGCGTTGAAGCCAAACGGGTTCGAGCGATGTAGATCCAACAGTCGGATGTGATATCCGACCTTAAATAGCTTAACCATCTTCGACTGACCCCCTTCTTCACGAGCGGCCAGCCCGATGTACTTCGCGCTTATCCCTAGTTACCGATTCAGAATGCACGGGAGTAGGTGAATTATGAACGATGTACCTCGATGAACTAGATCCTGAGCATGGACAACATGAAGAGCGGACAGAATTTGGCCTAGGTAGTCAATCGCACGGTCCTCCCGCAGCCAATCGCAATCCTCTAGTACGTCTTGCAGCGTCACAGGCGGTCGCTGTTCGGTTAGTATAATCAAACGTGGAGAACCGTGCGAAGTGGGCGTCGTCAGCTTGACTGCGAGTACGGCAAGTAGGTTCTGATGGCGTAGGTTCGTGAGCCGCTGGATTTCACTCTCTAGCTGCTTCAACTTCTTGCGGCCTTGGTCACACGATGAGCACGCTGGTACTGAAGATCAGTAGGATAAGACACACCCTGTGGCGTCGAGTAGTAGGATGAGACAAACGTGATTGAGAGCAGTTCAAGTGGAACTGTCTCATGCTCGTCTTCGCATACTGGATCCGCCTGATACATCGTGCCTAGGCACTCTATTGTACACACTATCAACATTGTGCGGGTGAATGGGCATGAGCAGTGACCACGTACCTTGCCGTGAATGAAATAGCTTAACTACACTGAATTGCAGGCCCTGCCAGAGGATCTGCTGGGGAAACGATTCGGTCGGTGTCTCCTCAACCGAGAACGGCATCTCCGTTGCATCGGACGTGGCCCGTTTGCGCGCTTTCTGAACCCGCTCGCGCTCCAGCTGCTGGCGGTATGCATCCGCCCGTATCTGCTCGTCGAACTCCTGCGCCAGCTGGGCGGCGCGCTCTTCCTCCTGCTCGGCTTCTTCCTCTTCCCGCTGCTTCTTCGCCTGAGGCGCGTGCCAATTGAGGACGAGTTACAATAAATAACGGCAATAAGACTCACCCGTTCCTCTTCAGATGCGCGCTTGTTCATCTCTGTAGCAAGCGAGCCTACGACTTCAACAGGTCGTGCTACATTGTTTGTTATCCAATCTTGTGCGTAAGTGACGATCTATCATGAAAGCCGAGGTGAGACAAGGACAAGCGTTTACGGTTTGGAGATGGATCAATGACAGACTGATATCGAACCAATGAGTTCTAAGCCACATTGCATAAACGACAGCATACAAGTGAAACCAGCCGGAAGAACCTTTGATCTAGACGCTCTTGTTGCTACTCACGACAAGATACGCTGTCACATTAGATCTCCAACATGTGGTTGGCAGAACTTAGGGCCAGCTTAGCGACTCATTGGTTGGGCTACCAATCAGCTACGTCGGAAGACAATGAGAAATTGTCTGCGGACTTAGCCAGAAGAGGAGCAGCGCATGACGTGAGCCATGGTTTGAGACATATTGAGGTACAATTGACAAGGAACGCGGACACTGAATGAGAAGATCTTGTACTTACCTGGAACACCATCTCGGCCCCCTTGTTTCGTAGTGATTCTGCGTGGATGGCGGACGTAAGTTTCGTAGTCTGGTCGGTCTTGAGACCTCGAATAGGTTGTTGTATCGTGAACGTCGGACAGGCAATGACCGGATATGTCTTCGGAAATCTACACCCGTATCAGTCAAGGACGGCAAGAAACGCGGCCGATGAGCACCCACTTGACATGCAAGTGGAAGTAGAGCTGATCTGCATGATCAGGTTCTGGATGGCGAACTTTGATAATAAACTCGGGTAATCTGGGAGCTCCCTGGCATGCGTGAAGGCTGTCAGCAGCCGGCGAAGCCGGAATGAGGCAGACGGACCTTCCAAGCCTTTGGAGGGGGGCATTCAATAAAATCTTCATCGTAGATACTCTGCACAGTATTCACGTTGTAAGTCCGACAACTGTCCGTACAACCTTGGGATAGTTTACCTTGAGCGCAGTGATCTCTAGTTGTTGGCGTTCTTCCTGAGATTCCATGGTATAGACCACTGATACTTGAGAAGGGGAGGGCCCGTCGGACCTCGGCAACTCAAGCCTGCATCGCTCCTCTCTCTGGCTTGAAAGATGATGGAGGCAAAGAGAGTTGAAGGAGTCATGCGCGACCAGCGTGTTTTCCAAGACTGCAATTGACCTCCCGTTATGGATGTCACAGTCACATCACGTGCAATGTGTCACGTTCTGATGATGTCATTCACAGTCTCGACGGTACCGGTATCTGGTAGTACAGAGGTTGAATTACAGACCTCCAAACGCAGTATGGACCTAAGCTATCTCCAGATTCAAGTTGTCTTGGCCTATGCAAAACATATGCAGTCAGCGCGTACATCAATTATCTGCTGAGAGATATCTTACCCTGGCTAGCGAAATAATCCTTCATCAAGTGTCCTTGCCTGCATCTTTCCCACCTTGGTGTTCGAGTTTTTGACCACCAGTAGCATCCGACGTATTCCCTCCACGAGCTGGCAACGGCGGGGGTACCGAAGACGTGGTAGTGCTCGCGTGCTGAGCAGTGGCTGTCTCCGAGCGACTGTTTCCGTAAGACTCAGAGCCCGGGGCCCGTCCCTTCATCTCTGAAATCCCTGCTTCTGTCTTCCGTGCTCCCGCCTCTGTCTCCGGATGAGGTTCTGAACCCGTGTTTGTTGCAGAATCCACAAAGTCCATAGCTCCGCCGCGAAGGCTATCTCCCATCCCTTCTAGTGTTTCCCATGCACCCCTGAGTCCCGATACATTAGTCCTTGCCTACGTCCCAGAAGTCTTTCGTTCTCACTTACCTCACTCTTCTGCCGAGAGAACCTCCACCGTCGCTGCCCGTATTGCTCGACATCGTCTGGTATGCCCCTTGTCAATGTCAATGTCTGATGGTTCTTGTAGACGTGTGTGCTGGAAACCCCGACATGCGCAGAGTATGACGTCACTCTGTCGGGAATACCCGGTTATGTCACGCTTGTTACTCAACGCAAATGGCACAGCGAGATCTCTGATTTTAATGGCCTGAGAGAAAAAGGATTTGTGGACGCGTAACGTGTACTCGGCCCATTTTTTGGACTTATATAAACAAAGTTGTCAGTATGTGTATATTCTCTCTTATGTTCTGTGCTGGGCATACTTATGGAAGGTCGAAGTCTAGTCTGGCAAGCCTCATTAAAGTCTTTTCCACATAATTCGCTCTAGTGAAATCGACTCGGTTGAGCACTGCAAACGTCGTCAAGTAAGCATATGCGTTCTTGATTTCAGTTGCATCTCATCCAATGGAAGTCGATTTCATTATGCAGAGAACCACCTAGAACCACTCAGCGAGGCGAAGCTTCGTCGCTTCTTTCATCTACGTATACATTAGCCAACTATTCTTCTATCAGCAGCCCGAGCGCTGTCAAACGGCAGGCAGGGGAACTTGTATGCGCATCTTCAGCGCGCCCACTTCCCAATTGCCACCAATCGGGAAAGTCCGCCAATACTCGGTTGAGGATCTCGCGAAAGCCCTGCGCTATCTGCGCAACATCTACAACCCAGAGGTCCGTGGAACGCGCCGAGTGGATACAAAGGAGCGGTTGTCTTCACCAGCTGCTCTAGATGGCCATTCATCCTATTTGTCCAGCCAGACTTTCTTGGACGCCATGCGATCGGATGCCTTCGAACGTTCTCACGCGATCAGGTGGTTGACGACAGTGGTGTCGCAGGCATATCATTTTAGTGATTCTTCGGATGCGGATTCCGCCAATGCCGCGGCACAAGAGATCCTACTTCAGGATGCCGCCTCTCTGCTTGCTGTATGCGCTGGCCCTGCGTCCGCCGGTATTCTCTCACGAACTTTCCGCTTCCTCAGCGAAGGTGGAGATATCTCGGTGCAGTTGACGGACATTCCGTTGCAGAACCAAGACTATTCGAGCGTTGGAGCCCAGACATGGGGGGGCTCTTGTCTCCTCGCTGAGATGCTCGCTGCTTCTCCGGAAAAGTTCATTTTACCCATGGTCCGAGACGGCGATATTGCTTACTGGAGAGCCTTGGAACTTGGAGCCGGGACAGGTCTGGCTAGCATTACTCTTGCAAAAATATTAGAGCGTCGTGCAGACAATTTCGACGCACATCCAGCCACTGTTGTCGCATCAGACTTCCACCCCTCCGTATTGGCCAACCTGGAGAATAATATCAAGGCCAACTTGTTGCCACCCGTCCCGAATCACACACGTCTCTCCATCAGCACGCATTTTCTCGATTGGTCTCACTTCATGCAGCACAAGCCACGTACACATCCTTTCGACGAACCGTTCGATCTCATTCTGGGCGCTGACATCGTCTACGAGGTGGAACATGCGAACTGGATCAAAGCCTGTGTCGAGCAGCTGCTCCGGAAACCAGGCCTGGCGGGCACTCAGATACCCAGTGCCCACTTCCATCTTGTGATTCCCCTCCGGCCCACACACCTCCTGGAATGTCGTATGGTTGAGGAAGTTTTCAACTTCGGCGACGCGGAGCGGTCTGACTTGACCCCAAGTGTCCCACATCCTTCGCATTCGCTTTGTATAATGTCGAAGGACATCATTACGTGTGAAGCGCACGGAGACGTCAGAGCGCGCGGCGATGCGAGGGCGGCGGAGGTAGAGTACGTCCACTACGTTATCGGATGGTGTGTGATTGGCAGTCAGATATGCATGTAGATGCTGAATATTGAATGGACGGATAACCGCTGTAAACGTTGCCCCGTTATCACGGGTGGCTGTAACGGCAAGATGATTTTGGAGTTTCGCTGGACATGTATGCTCACGCATAGATTGTTTAGAACAGAAAATCCGTGCACGATACAGTCTTTGTGCAAAATGTCTCCCCAGTCAAATCACTAAACCAAGTTTTCCAAATTATCCTGGTTCATAGTGAAATTTATGCTACAGGATGAATACAAGTCGGATTTGATCACCCGGGAGGTCACGGGCTTCGCCTTAGTACCTCGACGTCAACTATTGTAGCCCATCGGGGCTAAGTTGGGAGTGCCCGGTGCTCTTCCTGTTGTTGGGCACGTTGCATCAAGTGCCGCTGAGGCCTCCCGCCATTACTGCTCAATGTTTCTAAGGCTTTCGATGTCGCACGGAATGGTGGTCACCCGTGGGAGACAGTTTATGTATAATCTGTAGTGTACATGTGTATTTATTACATCGTTGCTGTTGTTTAGGAAACTGCCAGAGAGTTCTGTGCGACAAGCGTCGGGCTGGCCCGAGTGTCCTGCTCGACGGTATGTGCAAGGTCAGATACTTTGGTAATTTGCCGAGGGTTTCTCGGCTATCGCCGAGGGGGGGACTTTCTCGCGGGAGATGCCGAAGGCTTGGAGCGGAGTTGTAAAGGTACAATCTCTGGATCCAACCCTGCGTCAACACCGACTTCAAGCCGCCCTCAAGACCATCAACGGACAATGGTGAGCCATCTTGCGCCCCGGATACGCCCTACGATGCATTTGGAACTCTTCATGTGTGGAAACTCTGGGTGATCGCTTCGTACGACACTGGATGGTGCGGCAGATTTTTGGATGACCTGCTGTCTCAATCTAACTTCCTATCACAGTCGTACCCCAGAATATCTACTTCAGCAATTGGACTTCTAGTCCAAGCTTCTTGCGGAGCCGTCTAACGACGCGCCATGATGCAACATGGAAGTTTTGCTGGGCTCGCACTCATCTCGAGTGCGAGCGTTAGAGCTCCGAGTGCATCGCGATGGCATGGCTCTTGTTTGCCCCAGATCGCTAATGCCTCGTCTCAATGACCAGCCCAAGGCTACTAAAGGATCCGGCAAGAAGCCTGCCCCTGCCCCCTATGGCGCCAGCAAGGCTACCAAAACCGTTAAGAACCCGTTGTTTGAAGCTCGTCCCAAGAACTTCGGTATTGGTATATATTAAGTTTCTTACTTGCTAATTGTCGTCTTTAACATTGCCTGCAACAGGTCAGGATATTCAGCACAAGACTGACTTGACTCGCTTCGTCAAGTGGCCTGCTTACGTCCGTCTGCAGCGACAGAAGGTCATCCTGAACCAGCGCCTAAAGGTGCCTCCTGCCATCGCTCAGTTCTCCCACACTCTCGACAAGAACACTGCAACTCAGCTGTTCAAGCTTTTGAACAAGTACGCATAACCTTTTGATTGCATCATTGTCGTTAAGCAATCCCACAGGTACCGCCCGGAGACGAAGCAGGAGAAGAAGGCTCGTCTTGAGGCTACCGCTAAGGCGACTGCCGAGGAGAAGGAGGCTCAGGCCAAGGTCAGTACAGTCTCACCTAGAGGCATCAGCCATTGCTGAACTGCTGCATTGAAGGACTCGAAGAAGCCCCTTTTCGTCAAGTACGGCCTGAACCACTGTATTGCCCTTGTTGAGGCCAAGAAGGCCTCGCTAGTTGTCATCGCTCACGATGTTGACCCCATTGAGCTTGTTGTTTTCCTCCCTGCTCTCTGCCGTAAGATGGGTGTGCCATACGTCATTGTGAAGGGCAAGGCCCGTCTTGGTACAGTTGTCCACAAGAAAACCGCTGCTGTCGTTACGCTTCAGGATGTTAAGAGCGAGGATCAGCGCGAGCTTGCTACTCTTGTGAGCGCCGCCAAGGCAAACTTGTGCGTGCTTTCCCTTATTATAGGTTGATTATCGGTTGATGTCGATGTTCCGCTCGTAGCTCGGACAAGTTCGAGGAGCAGCGCCGCCAATGGGGTGGAGGTATCCGTGGCAACAAGTCCACTCAGATGCTCCGCAAGCGTGCCAAGGCCGCTGGCCAGACCCTCAGCGCCACCAATGCTGCGAAGCTGTGAGGGTCCATCCCGGTGGTGCTGCGTGGGTTGTGCGGTTGGGTTGTACGTCTGTCGGCCGTCAAAAGACGATAGCTTCGTCCATGCTATGCGGTTGCTTCATGCGCTAGTTAGTAGTTACTGATATTCTACTCATGCCAATATGCATATGTTGCCAATGGCACGTCGTGGTGTGCCAGCTATTGCCCACGACTGCGGTTACTAGCACATGTACGATTATTGTCCTTGATATGCATGCGTTGGGCTGGCAAATGAGAAGGAACCGCTGAACACTGGGCTCACGTCGGAGTGAGACAAATGATGAGGTCAATGAATCCATAGGACCGTGGATTTGTAGGACAGGGATACTGGTCCTCACGGAACGTTACAATAACATGTGGGCATGCGAATCCCTCGGCAACTCTCCCGATCTTGAAATATAACACCTTGCCGTGCCCTCTATCCTAGTTATGAAACCGTTTGACCTTCTCGTGGCCTACGGCTCAGAGCTGCCTCAGCTGGTCAATCACACCACCCATAGTGCCCTGATTCCAATGCCCACCCCATCCCTGCCTCCGCTCGACGCGGCGGGTACGTGGAGTAGCAGGCGGAGCTAAGTGCCCATTCTTCCTCGAGGCCGTTGATGCGCTCTTCACCTGTGCGTACGGACCAACATCCGGGAAGCCGAGGGCGTACGCGCCCGACGTGTGTGGGCGGAAGCTGCTCTTGACCCAGTACGGGACCTTGGGCGACTTCACCTGCTCGAGCGTCGGCGAGACCGGCGGGGACGGGAGCGGGCAGGTGGGCGCAGGGAAGGGCGGGAAGTGGAAGTCGAGCGGACGCGTCCCGAAACGCGTGCGGAACTCGGCCATAAGTTTCGCGTCTGCGCCGAGGATCGACTGCTTGGCGCTCATGATGGAACAAGCACGCTTGCGAGGGCTATTCAGGGCCGCAAGGGCAGCTACATCAGCAGCGCTATCAACGCCGAAGCTGGCAGTGTCGGAGTAGACGCTCGGCGAGAAGTATGATGCACGCGTGACGGCGGAGGAGGGACTCTGTACTGCGAGCGAGTTCATCTGTATCGAGAAACGGCTCCCGCTCCCCGCTTCAGCTTGGGAACTCCCTAATGCAGCGAAGCTGTGAAAGTCACCGACGGACCGGCTGCGACGCCGAGACATGGATAAGCCCCTGCTAACTGGTCTTGAGCGAGTGGTGTTATCAGGATCCCCTACCTCAGCGCGTACGCTGATGTATTCCTGGTCCTCGTACCTTGTGCGAGGCAGATGGCTGTCATCCTTGGCTCCCATGCGATATAAGTCGAGATACGAAGAAATCTTCTCTACCTTCTCGCTGACTTGTCCCAAGGACGGGTAGATGAACTCCGGGGGAAAAATATCGTCCTTGCAGCGGGCAAGCTTGTCGAGCTTCTCAAGTTTCTCAAGCTTCCTCTGCTCAATCTTCTGCTCCGTGATGGGCGAAAAGGGACTGAACGGAGAGACCGCGGGCAAGGGAGAGAAACGAGACGTTGGCGGGCCTCTATCGTGCGGCATCGCCCCGTTCAAAAGAACTCACTTGGCATGAATTTGAACTAGACTCACCCAATCACATTGTATCGGAACGGCGACAACGGAGATGCTTCGTTGCGTCTGGGCTGGGGTAGATTGAGAGCTGCTGGAATATGAGCTCGGCGCAGGATGTTGTGAGAGGGGCGCGAGCCCATCACGGGCTGTGCAGAGCGATCTGCGAGCCTGTAGCGTACAACTGGTGATTTGACCATTTCTTCTTGCACGGATGCTCTGGAGGTCACCGAATGGATAAACGCAGCGGGTGAACGGGGAAGGATAAATGACGGCTTGCGCCTGACAGCGCTCGCATCTAAGGAGCCCAGGGGCGTCGGTGTCACGGGAGAGAATGCGCTGGCCGAAGGGGAGATCACGTCGAGAGTGGGAGTGGTCCCGAGGACTTTCCCCACCTTCTGCGTAGATCTGAGGAGCCGCAAGCGCTGCTCTGGCTCGAGCTTGAGCAGCGCTGGAGACAGCGGCGTCACATTTCGGCCAATCAAATCCGCGGTCCTATTCAACATTGCCATGAAGACGTAGGTGTCGACTAACGAGCTGTCAGTAGCGACCGGAAACAGTTGGAATCAGCACGAAAGCGAAGAAAGCAAAACAAGTGGGCCAGCCACTGTGGTGAGATTAGGAGCGGAAGGGTATGGTACAGGAAGGTAGTCAAGACCTGTCCAGACGGGCTGAGCAGAGGCAGAGCAGGCTTATATTGCGCCCACGTCAAGGGCCTCCATCTGCACTGCTTCATCGTCCTGCCAATCGAGATTCCATCAACACCAATTCCCGAAATAGGACGCCGAAAACTAGCGGAAAATCATTCTCCTTGCTATCGGCTCGCGTCCTTCTCATATGTGGAGACTGCAGCAAGGCAAGCAAGAGTTCTACTATAACAATTTTTTTCTGGACAGGCAGAGGACCAGCAATCGATCTGGGTGCGCAAATTAGGTATTTAGGTAACCCTTTCTCCGTAGGTTATCCATTGATCTGCAACAGCTTTCCCACAGTGAACGTCCCATCAGCGCCGACACCGACATAGCATGTTTCGTTACTGGCGAGTTGCCATGCGCATCTGTGAAAAAGCCGCGCGGAGGGGTAAAAGAGGCGATACTTTCTTTTCTGCTTGTGTGCGAGCGACCCACGCGCATCGAAGACCTGACCGACCAACCAGGCGTCGTATCAGTGAGCTCGGGCCTCATCCCACTGGCTGCGCGTCCCAATCAATGCATATGCACATCAGTCGTCTGTCAATCACGTTGTACAGTGTAGATGAAAGCGCATGCTTACCCGTCCCTAGTACCAATGAGCGCCCAGAGCCGTAGTCAAATTACTTAGACCTTACTCCAGCGCGGCGTCAAATATGCATCTCACTGAAGTCCTGTGGAGCATCTTAGTTCAACAGCTGGAGTAGGGCTGAGGCGCTGATGCGTATCGCGTTGGACGATTTGCCAGGGAGCATCAGTGTTCTTGTCCTAGCGGCAGCGAGGACTTCTGAAGTGAGCATTGCACAATCAACTAGACCATCAGTTAGTAGTCAACGTCTAGAGGCAATACCTCACTCGAACATAGGAAATATATCGTTGCATCAGTCGATGCCAATCGCCGGCCAGACAATGGAGTAAAGGTAATATTGACGTGTGACATAAGGACTTCGAATTTGATGTCGTACATGTAACATAATGTGCATCCGCTCGTGCTTATGCGCACGACAAGGTTGAGATGCCTGAGATGGGAGAAATCAGCATTCGAGATCGGCGCTCAACAAGTAGGACATCGCCTTCTATTTAGGGCTAGTTCTTGAAGCAGATTGATGCACATGAACGTCCAGGCACGATCGTTAAGAAAAATAATGACCAAGGTGCGCACAAGTCGAGCAGTCCGGTGGACGCATTTGAAGCTTGAGAGTGGCTCAACGACAGCAGCGAACCTTCGCCGAATTTCACCTCGAATGGAAGGACGTCGGCCCTCCAAAGTTCGAAGTCGTATCCAGCTTGCACAATACATGAATCAAACCTAAATCGAGGAGTCGGTCGATACATGTCGAGCCTGCAGATTGGCTGCAAATCCCCAGACGGTGACACCAACGGACGCATGGGAGGAGGAACGTTCGAAGTGCTTGATGACCTGGCAAATCGTCCATTTCCGCATTCGCAGCGGAATGCAAATGCACGGCTTCATCTGGGGAATAGTTGTCTCGCAGAGAGCATCTGAGCCTTCGAAACTTAGCTTGTATGAATGGTGCATGCGTGATAACTGTAGGGAGATGACCTGTAGTGACAGCTGTCGTACCGTAACCCAACGTTACAATCAGCGCAGCTGCGTCACGACAGCAATGCGTGCGGTGCAAAAGATCTGGGAGAGCGTACGCACCATTTCGCTTTAGCAACGCCTCCTCACACTCGGTTTGGGGAATCCGTCCTCTTCGATACACTTGAACGCATTTTCCTTCGAAGAGAGTCCCCTGATGCGGCATTCTTCCCACGTCTGCGAGCCAGCAGCAACGGCTCCAAACTTGTCCTTCGGTCTTCCGATCCGTAGAGGTAGGAAAACCCAATCCACTGAAACTCTTGTAGAAACATCCGCCAATTCGAGTCTGGTATGGATTCCATGCTCATCACCAGGAACAATTCCTGAGGTCAAAGTCTGAAAATGATGTCCGTGTTCCAACAACCCATGTAGTCGCAGAAAAACTACAGAAGAGAGATATCCAAACGGTTGCGAGAAGGTAGGGTAGACACGGACCTCAGCGCTCCATTCTGGAAAACAATGCAGAACAAAACAGGCGCACCAGACTCGAATAAAATCCAAATAGATGTGCAATCGCTAAATCTCCGGAAGTAACTAGTAGGTAGAAAATTTACCCTCAGTGCTCTGGTCTGCAAGACGTTGAAGTTGAGGGGCCATACGCAGACCATTCAAATTTCGCTTGGACATGGCTTGTAATCTTGCTCTCTACAGACCGGACAAGAGCTATCTCACGTAAAGTCAAACTTCAACTTATGTGGATACCTCGACTGCCGAGTTAGATGCGGACAAGAATGTCTGTGGCTCTGAGACCTGCCTCTTATGGCGGCCGTTACTGGACAAAAATGAAATCTCGGGTGTCAGGACCTTGTTTTGTACTTATGCATGGGTGTTCATTGAGCACGTGACCTTGCATGCACATTCACCTCATGCAAGGGGTATGCACCGGCAGATTCCGAGACACAGGGTAGGGGGGGGGGGGGGCTCCGAGGTCCTTAACTGAGAATTATTTTTACTTATGAAATGGGCGGCAGGAGGTAAGTCAGGGTCTCCTGCAGTAAAACCATACACTCAGTAGCTGAAAGGCACCTTTGATGATGGTCTACGGAGTGTTTGCGCAACTTGCAGGAGTGGGCTGCTCGGAGGTGGCGGCGGGCACGGGCGCTACCAGATGTGATGTCGGGTCACAACGATGACTAACAAGGTGACCTGCATCACGTAAGCCTAGGATTACCATCTCTATATGGCAGGTGCCTTCTATATATGGACCGTGGGAAGTTCCCACGGGGGGGAGGGGGTCCTGGGGGGGCTTAACCGGATTTTCTGACCCTGTGTCTAGAATCCGATTTATGCATGCCCCTTGACCTCATGCATTGTGCATGCACTCTGCAACATATGTGTTGTGCATTGTCATCTGTTCGTGCATGCATTGCTGTGCATTGGTGCACAGCTTTGATCTCGTTGCCAGTAGTTGATGATGCATGCATTGTCCTGCACTCCTCTGCATAATACAATCATCTCACTTTGGTAGCTTAACTCCATCAGCAGCAGTCGACATGTTAGACTCAATAGTGGTAAAAATCAAAAGAGTCTCTGTACTCTCTTCTCTGGCACACTATGGATGCAGCACCATGCATTTGATGCCTACAGTGCCTACAGTGCATGTTAGAAATTGCGCTTAGTTCAATTAGGAAGGTAATAAGATGTGTCGGGGCGCATGATTATGCATCCTAAAATAGATTTCTGTTTATATACAGTTCACGCTCCACTTATATAATCAAATTTCCTTTTTTATTTTTCTTTGTAATCATACTCTCGGCTTGTCTGCCTGGGCACTCCCATAATTCTGGAGCTCCAGAATTATGGTCGCTCTGCTTTCCCAATAGTGCTCAATGTGAATGAGGATGCACATGGTGAACATGCCAATTGGCACGTCTACCAAGGTGCATCCTGATTACTCCATGCTTCTTGATAGGGACCAGGAATGCATACTATTGATGACCCGGATGTGCCATAATATGGCACTTCTGGTCCCGCAGCACGACATCTTGCTCGATTGTCTGCGGCATCTCAGATAATGTTTCTATAGTATACAGAGTACTGTGCACCAATTTTTTGGATTTTTTATAGCTGTATTGGACACCTTGGAGAGATGCCGAGGTGTGGCACCAGCCAAGTACAGTCTTGCAATCCCGAATTTCTTGGGATCCAAGTGTGCCATCTTTGCTTCCCAAACTTTTACAGTATTAAATTAGGGTATGTATGACTCTCTGTCTATAATTTCGAGGGAATTAGACAGGAGGATCAAACCACAGAAAAAAATATGGCACTTCTGGGTCATATGGCATATCCGGGTCACTGATAGTACCTGTGCATGCATGCACAATGCACAACTGTGAGCAGCAATGCACACATGATATATGATGCAGAGTTATGCACACCTATGAATGCCAATGAATGGCGATGAATGAGCGTGAATCTCGATGATGCACGGTGAATGCCGATGCAAACCCAAACATTTCATTTTTGTCCAATAACGGCCGCCATAGCCTCTTGCTTCCTGTCGTCACGCTCACTAGCATCATCACGTGACTACGCGTCGCGTCGCGTCACGCTCGTTCGGTTCACGATCACCCTAGTTCACGAGCTTAGTTGCTGACGGTGTCGTGATGCACGAAGTCCGGAATCAAGATCGTTGATGAGCACGAGCACAAGATCGAAGAGTATGCGTTCTGCTAGTTCACAAGCTGTGTCACAGCAAAGCCATTCAGTAACGGTAACGAAAAGCTAGAAAAGACGGAGTTGTTGAGTTAGAAATAGTGGCCACAGGCCGTGAAACTCACTATTGGAACAACATCGAAGTCTGCCGGCCCGCGCCTCGAGGCTCCCCGTCATCAAAGCAATTCTCCAACTGCACGCACGACTTCATCCAACCCCTGCATCAGCACTGATTCGCGCCGATCCCGAAGTAAGAAGTCATCATAACAATGTTTGATGCGCTGTTTCACAAATTCGAGTGGAGGGGTGAGATCGGCAGAAGCAATCTTCCACATTGAAGATGTCTGAGTCAAAGTGCCAAACAAATTTGAGCTAGACGGTGATAGGCTAGAAAGGATGGTCGCTGACCTCAGGACTTGGATGGCCAGTCGAGGCCCTCAGCGCGTGCAGCACCATGCGCCAGAATGTCATCCAACTGCTCCATAGCGTGTAAACGGTCCATGAGCTCTTCACGTGTCCTAAAGATGAGTACCTACTTCCATCCCGCATCTTTCTCGACGACGTCCTGCACGATGCGGATCCACTCGCGCTCCGGTGCATCGTCTTCCTCATCTCTAACTGCGTTATGCTCGAGGAGTTCGCGAACGTCTTCGAGCGCATGTTCTACTTCAGTCACTTTGGCACACATAGAAGTGTAGAGCGATGGCAGATTGACCGAATTGCACCAGTTGTGATTGATGGAGATACAGTCCGTCAGATTCTCTACCTGAAAGGAAGGTCAGCAGAGCGCCCGAACGATACGAAAGCCATATGACGGACCTGATGATACCAGCCGCTTGGCCTGTCAAAGTGTAGAAATACGAGTTGATCTATCTGGTTTGGAGGCCATGTAACTCACACGAAGATGGTTTCACCACCGTTCTGCTCAATTACGATTGGATGCGCTTGGGAAAAATGCGGAAAGACATCCTTGTCGACGTCTCGAACATCATACGCCGTTTCCATATGCTCCTCGCCTCCTTTCCGGAGTAGATAGGGTGTCTGTCCCGGCGGAAAAAGCCACCAGCGTTTGCGACCACAAACATTCGTAGACCAGGAGTACGACGCGTACACGTCGCGATGGAGCGGTGTGAATGTACCGGCCGCACCGACGTAAACGAAACGGAAGTCATCCTCCGTACAGGCGGAATAGTACGAATTCATCCAGTCGTCCTGGAAAACCTCCGGGATGGTGTAGAACGTCTGCAGGGAAGTTTCGCAATTTTCGGCTGCATGCATTCGGTGGAGGGTTCTGGCGAGGTGCCAGTCCTTTACGTACAGCGAGGTTCCATTCCCGCACTTCCATAGATCGACCACCTCGCGGAAGGGCATCATCTCTCGCTTCTGGTCGCTGAACTCGCGAGTAGAGCAATCGGCTACGATAACTTCACAGTCACCGTACTCGCGCGACAGGTAGTCCCAGTCAATACGTGTTCGAGCCGTACTCTTGGAACCTGCCTGCAAACCGGAGGCCGCGGATAACGAGTATTCCCTGTCACGAATAACCCACACTCGAAGCGCTTTCCATGACGATACCAGGGAAGGGCCTATGATCACAGGTCTATTCGGAAGGAGGTAGGCGTTGAGAAAATCGCGGTAAGTCGGAGGATCCAGTAGGTAGTCACAGCTGCTGTCGCCGCACATTTCCTGGATGTTTGGACTAGTTAGAACATAGCATGTTAGAAAATTAAATAACCCTATCTGACAGAACTATTCCTCCATCTGTGTAGATGTATTCAGAAAACGACAGCACGTTGACAGAACGTGCCAGTGACTGGAGGGAAAAATCGAAAGTTGTGTGACTGATCTAGATCTCAATCTGGGTGACCTGCCGGCATCTGCCGGCACTCCTGGCAACAGATCACCAAACGGTTCACTTTCGAACTGGCAGAGTATGCCCAAGGCGTTGTACCTCTCTCTCTGGTATGTCTAGTATGTTAGGTGTGACGATAGGTAGGATGTGAACAACGTCGCACATTCACCGAGCCATGACAAGGTTATTAGGGAATTTTACACCCAGTTCTAGGTCGGTGCAAAATCCAAGAATTGTATAAGTGCATCTCTGGATGAACACTCTCTGCTATCTCCTACCCAGTTCTTCTAGCTCTTGGATGATATGCTACGCGAAACGGACCGAATAGTCGAGATGTCTTAGCCTCCACAAGTCATTCCATTTCAGCGTCAGCATCCGAGTCGGAACACTCTGAGGTGCTTCTCTTACAGTGTTCAAGTCACCTTACTGGATACTGACAGTTGACCCTTGACCATGTGGACTAATGCCTTTTCCCTCCAGGATTAGACCGGGTCATGTTCGCCGATACTTGGGATTCCATGTCGAAGCGCTTGATGAGTTATCTATCTTCACGCGCTTTCTACTATATTTTCTGCTTCCGGGGTGTTGAGTAAAATGTCGCGCTTACTTGTTCACCGATGGATTATAAAAGTCTGGGTGATGTCTCTATCCTCGCCACCCCACGACATTTCTCTGCAGGGCACCCTCTGAAGACTCATAACCGGTCAATATTCGCTGTTTGTTCGCTATGTGTTCCTGCGCTCAACATTGCATTTTTTACAGCTGCGCTCTGTTCACGTTGAACTCAAGACGATGACTTCTCTCCAACTGCTGAAGTTACCCCTTCTCTGCACGGCCGCGACGTGCTCCCAAATCGCATTTACTGCGCCGAACCCGCCCGCCAAGGCTGAAGAGGTGAAGAAATTTGGCAGAAAAGATCCCGGATCATACATCGGCAGGTTACTGTTGAGTACGATGAAGGTGAGGCTTTCGCTAATGATTCGTAATTTTCCGGTTGAGCTCGCATCTGCCATGTCACCAGCTACTGGTGTGGTTCGCAACGTTGTGCGAGATCGCTGTTGTGATAGCTAGCCACTTTCCTCACCCACTCTCCGTGCAAGTTTTATCAGTTCTTGTTTCGGCGCCCCCTTCTTTCATTTCCAACGTACGCGTCACCGCTTCATCTCTTCTTGGTTGGACCCTCGTCTGTGCTGGTGCACTCCTCCGCGTTCAATGCTTCCGCACCCTTGGCCGTTTCTTCACCTTCGAACTCTCTGTGAAGGCTGAACACAAGCTGGTGATGAACGGGCCTTACGCAGTCGTGCGCCATCCCAGCTATGCTGGCACACTCATGGTCGCGTCAGGCAACCTCCTCTACTTTTTTGGCGCTGGGTCGTGGTTCGCCGAATGTGGCGTATGGAGCACGATGATGGGAAAGATCTTGGCTTTGATATTGATCATCGGCTTTGGTTTCCCCTTCGTGTCGGTACCTTTGAGGATCAAGAAGGAGGATGCGGTGTTCAGAAAGGAGTTCGGGGTGCAGTGGGAGGAGTGGGCGAAGAGAACGCCGTATAGAGTGCTACCGTTTGTTTTCTAATCTTGGCGTAGCGTCTGCGCTGCTCAGCCACCCGTCCGGCTAGTCACTTGCGCTTTTTGCACATACAATGTTCATTCCTCGCAATTGGTCTTCCTCGTGTCTCTCAACACGGCTAGCAAAGCTCTTCGTTACTTTACAGCCGCATAAGCCTTGAGTGCAAGGCCGGGCGGTGGCTGGGCGTCCATCGTGACAATGCGTTACATTTTGCTCTTGACTTGTCACGGTCCGAAGACGTCGTGCAGCTTGAATTTGTTGCTAGCTTACACCTCTATCTCGATTCTAATGTCGCTCGCCTGTATCTTCCACCACGCCTTCCGAACTTGTCAATATTTGCCCGCAGGTAACTTGGACTTTGCAAAACATCGACCGACCACTACCCATGCCACGCTTTGCAATCTGAGTCGGACAATTCAATAGTCCACAGGCACCTAGCGACCGTGAGATGACAAAACGCTTGCGCCTGCCCACGCTTACTATCGTTACCCCAGTACTGCAATCTGGTCTAGTTATGCAATTTCGCCGTTTTGCCGCATTTTGCTGCACTAAAAATCACAAAAAAATATGCAATAGATGTGCACAGTCCCAAATACCTTGGCTGTGCAACTTGGGAGTCAAACTCGGAGGGGAAGAGTGCGAAGTTTCTGAATTGCAAGTTTGGAGGACTTAGGCGTGACAGTGAAATGTGCCATTTAAAACTCCGACTAGAGGGAGAACAAGGGAACGGCACTTCGGCAAGCGTGACGATCTGTGACCGATTCGGCGCTCTTGCGTGCAAATCAGTCTCTTCACTGCGTTCGGTCTTGGAGTCGCACAACATCAGGAAAAAAATTGGCAGTCACACAGAAGGTAGCTTATATGTTGTATATTTGATCCAAAGAGGTTCGAAGGAAAACGGGCTCGATTTGAAGGAACGGTGACAGAGATGCAATCGCAATTGCATTACTGGGGTAACGATAGTACAACCAAGGACAAAAGAACGGCTTTGACGGTGGCGGATCTCAGATCGCACCTCCGCTTATAGCAACCACATCGTGCGTAAGAGTGTGTCTAGTATTTATACCAGGCCAACACAAGCGATGAAACTTGCTGATTTTCCCCCTTACTTGTCTCTATCCCCCGTCTCGCATGCACGTCTCGCATGCACGCGCAACAAAATCGTATGGGAATTCGAAGGATCATGGATGCCGGTTCTTCCACTGGCCACGGTCTTCCCGCGATCCTTCAGATAATGAGCAGTGGCGTCTTGCCAACCAGTAGCGATATGGTCCAGGCCGGAGCTCTAGCTGTAGGTCCCCATGTTTTGTTTATACCCTGAAGAAACTGATCGCACGCACATGCAGGTCGGTCGTCAACTGCAAACACCAGGACCTTACCCCTCACTGTTGCAGTCGCAGATACCCTTGACGGCAGCTCAATACCTGGCCGCCAACCTCGCCCATTTCCAATGTGCTCCTTCGTATCTCACACCGGTGGGTCGATGTACATTGGCTAACGTTTACCTTGAGTATCTCTTCAATGTGTATGGGTCTACCACGAATCAAATCGTAAACGATATGCTTGCATTTTTCCACGAATTGGAACGTGTGAGCGCTTGCGGAGGAACATACACGGAGCAACCGGATGTCCAATTTGACGTTAGGTACGTACCCCTCTCGTGGATCAACCCTCCCCTGTTAATGGCTGGTCTGCCAGCAACTTTTGCATCCATACTGTCATCATCCCAGTTATGTATTTCATCAACGAGTACCTGAGACTACGGTACGATGAGTGTCTCGTCCCCGGTCAGAACAGACAACTAGTAGAGTGTCAATATCGTTCGCCACAGGGCGGTAATAGTAAGCGCTTGAGGTGTCACACTTTCGTCCATTCAATCTAACGAGTCACTCTGTAGTTTCGAAAGATAAGAAAGTATTCGTCATGCAGTTTTCTGGCATAATGGGGCAGAAATCCCTGGTATTGTTTATGCAGAAGGCACGTTATTGAGAGGTCTATTGAATTGGTCTGACCTTTTGTGCAGCCCTACGGGACAATGTCCACGACTCGGAGGGAATGGGATTGCTTCGGCCGGGATGCAGAAACTGATTCTTATAGGGGTCAAGCGTTCGAGAATGTACGCGCAACTATTTCTGAACTGGAAGAGTGAGTAGCCTCTCACATGTGTTCTTGGCTTTTTCCTCACTTTGTATCACTCTTTTCAGCCTCGGACTTGGGCGCGACACGTGTTATGCCATGGTCTCCGATTCGCTTCGGTATGCGGCAATTATCTACTACCCACAGGCGACTGGAGGAACGAGCACATGCAAAATATATGTCTCAGGCCACACTCGTAGCCCTGACACCCGCAGCCTATATCAACAATTTGATGGTAAGGACCTTGCCCCCCGGCAGACACTTGCGTTTCTTTGCTGGGAGTCTTTGCACAACTTCTGGAATCGCGGCATACGATCCTAGCTTGCTTCGGCCTAGTCGGCGTTGTGGCTGTTATCTTGTTCTGATCTAATGTTGGTCTCTGGCTTCCCCAGTACCTCACGCTTTATTGTCGATCCCGCTGTCAACGTTCGGTACCTGCTCGATTCCCCTGACGACAAATGCCTTGTATCGTGCCTAATGTATGTTGAAACGTTGAGACTGTATGCTTATGATTGTAAACATTTGGCCCCTTTGATTCTTGGTGGAACCCAAATCATCCAAAGCACCCCTTGTGCACAGCAAAAACTTGCCTATCTTCGACCTCAACACCAACAGCGAAAGCCGACTTTGCTTGCAAGCTCTGTGAAGATGTCCAGCCACCTTTATCTGCCGCGCAGGTGCGGATTACACAATCTTTAAAGTCGTTTTACCGTCGGAGCCCTACCTACACTTAGACGAAGTTGGCAGAAAACTGACTCAACCACATCCAAATAGTACTGAGCTATGCTTCGCCGTGGGACCAAAAAACCAAGCGGAGCAAGCTTTTCGAAGCGCGGCACGTTGACTGACAGCGCCACAATTGGTCAAAGGCAGAGCGGATTGTGTGGCTCAAGTATTTCCAAGTATGATTGACAAAGCGGAGCGAGATGGATCTTGTTGTTAAGTGGCTCTTTGCTTACGCTCTGTTTGGCTCGAAGGTGGTGCCATCTGCTTATAAACTCAACGCCTTTGCTCCCGTCCCATCTTCTCCATATACTTCAACTTCTTCGACTTCAAAGCCATCCGCCTTTCAAACCGACAATGGAGCATAGACCAACTGCGGTGGCTACATTCGACTCGTCAAGATTGCCGTCGCGCACAGAATGCATGGCAGAACTGGAGGCCTCTGTGGCCCTCAGTTTCCGTGTTGTTGCCGCTGGACATGGCGCTTCTCTCGCCGTCATCGATCGCTTCTTTACCCCGGAGGCCGCAAGTGGCGGACAGGCTTCACGATTGCCCGGGCCTCTGTACCAGCTGATCCGGGTTATGCGGATGTTTGGAGACCCGGAGCGGCTGGATGCATTCCTCGAGGAGCGCCAGAATCAAGCTATAGATAACACTCGGGGTTTCGGCCAGCCGGACCAAGCTGTCGACCCTCAGGGTCAAGCTGCTCAGACTCGAAGTGTCCTCCCTTGGGATCCGATTGTCTGTCCTGATGAGAATGTCGACGAATCTCTGGATGTATTCGTCAACCAGGCTGGCGATGCCCCTTTCGACTCTCAGGACCAGGCTGTTGAACCTGAGACGCCACTTGTCGATCCTTACTACGCGTCGAGTGCCATCTCAAGCTCCGATGCCGATACTCTCGTTGACCCAGATGATTCCGTTGCCGACCCTCAGAATCTGAATCAAGTCACTTGGCCTCAGGATCGTCAGGACCAGGCTGTTGAACCTGAGACGCCACTTGTCGATCCTTACTATGCGTCGAGTGCCATCTCAAGCTCCGATGCCGATGCCGATGCTCTCGTTGACCCAGATGATTCCGTTGCCGACCCTCAGAATCTGAATCAAGTCACTTGGCCTCAGGATCGTCAGGACGAGGATGACAGTTTTTATTACGAGTTGTTCCGTCCGGACCCTCCGAATCAATATGCCGGCCCTTCGTACCAACCTAGGGGCTATCAGTATCTGGGTTTTTACCCTCAATATCCCCTGCAGCAAGTTGCCCACCATTCGGATAGTTCGGATAGTGGAAGTACAGACCCTCAAAGTCCAGATATCGAGCCTTCGGATGAAGTTCTGTTACCGCAATTCTTCAAACACATGCAAGCTCTACCGCCGAAGGATGGTAGCGTTTGGGACGCTCATTCCAAGTTCGTGCAGGTGGTCAAATCGTGCGAAAACGCAAAGACCATACTGACCCGCAACAATGCACCGGACCAGTCGGAGCCCACGATCCAGTAAGCTGTGTCGCTCTCTTTGTTATGACTTGATGCTGAATCTGTAGCCAGACAACGCTGCGTTTCCGAGGTCATCGTGCCAGCTATGACTGCGCTCAACAGCATGTCTGCGGTTAAGTTTATTGCTGCTCTTGACAACGAGCGATCCACAAACAGCTGTGAGTTTCTTCTACCTCTCGGCCATTGGGACGCTCTGATATTGTCTCTGCAGCTTTGATTTGGTCGGTGTCGTTGAATTATGAAACACTGGTGTACGTAGAAATTAAGGTGAGCTTCCCGATGCAGTGGTGACCTCGCTCAGCTGATCAACTACATTTTCATAGCGTAATATGAGCATGGCGTGGGAGCGATTCCTCGACGACAATGAGAAGAAGCAAGGAAGTGCTTTGGAGGAACAGGCATTACCGAAGGAAACGACGACCATGCAAAAGATCCTTGCAAGGTATGTTCACCGCATCACACAAGTACAGCATATCACTTACATCATATGTAGTCAGCGTGGCTCTCCGGTATACTCCGTGATTACCGACTCATTCCTCTTGGCTTCTATGGCGTGGACGCGGCAGTCTTCGGATCCCACGAAGTGGGCCTCTTCTGAAGTTCATGTTTCGCAGTGCGGACGGAGCATGAATCCTCTCGACTGTGACAACCGACGATCCGCGGATGCAGACTCTGATTACCGTACACCCCGCGCGATGTTTGCCTTCGTATGCTGGGCTGCGTGGCAAGGCTATAGGGAGCGCGGAACCTGACCAATAATTATGAGCCGAAGATGAATTGCTATTTTTGAGGTTAGTCCGGCGTTATCGAAGTTATTTAATATTCCATGTGTATTGGTCTGGTAATCCAATGTTATGCCATAAGGTCGCGTCTGAATCTCGTGAGCGGATCTGGGGCGAATCGTAGACGTAAGGCAGTGGCTGTGTAGAAGCTATCGGCCTTGGATCCTAACAAATGTAAACAAGAACTCAGCTCGTCCAGTCGGCTTCCCGGGACTATTCTCGGGCCGGAGGGCTGCCGACTCACCCCAAAGGATACAGCTCGCTCAAAAATCGTCTTTCTCAGCATTTGTCGTTCGACGACCTCCTGGGCTGGCTGCTTTATATTCTCGTTCTCGTATATAACCTTGCATTTTCCTCTAGACCACTTCTCCGCCACTTTAGACCGTTCCTTCATCTCGAAAGCGTCTTCCGACTTCTGATCCTAACATACCGAAAACTCTGAACAGAATGTTGGCTGCAAGAGCTCTTGGGCGCCGCGCCGCCGCGTACGTTCGCCCTTCCCGACATACTCCAAATCGGTCATTGTCGACCTCCACCGACCCGTCCTCCTCATCATCCTCCTCGTCGTTCAGCTGGTCGTCCGCTTTCCGCTACCTACGCAACATCTCCACCATCTCTACGCTCGCGGTGACTTCCTACACCGTCGGCTCGCTGTACCCGCCCACACTTGCGACATACGTATCTCCGCGGACCGCACCGCCCCCACCACACCCCGAGGACCCGTCATACATCGCGTACGCCTCCGCACTCGAGGATACTCTGCAGAACCTGCCCAAATTGAATGACCTGCGCACGCGCGAGGATGCGGACGAGTGGTACGAGACGCGGCCATACGTGAACGTCCCCGAGGAGCGCCGCGTGAACAGCCTCACCGCAGGCGCGCTCTGGGGGCCGGGCAAGTTCGCGCTGCCGCCGCTGGTACGTTGCCGGAAGGACAACAGAGAGAGCTGGAACTTCGTCCACGTCGGCAGGGGCGTGTGTGGGCATGAGGGGATCGTACATGGCGGGCTTCTGGCGACGCTGCTCGATGAGGGTCTCGGTCGGATGGTGAGTGCTCTGTGCTGGCTTTTCGTTGCGTGTCGGTGCTGATGCTGGAGATGCGAAGGCGTTGTTGAACCTGCCGGAGAAGATGGGCGTGACGGCGTATCTCAATCTCTCATATCGCGCGCCTACACGGGCAGACCAGGCGAGTATCTCTTGCAAGTGTTTCACGATTGGTTTCTCACATGTCTAGCAGTTTGTCGTGGTTAAGACACATCTGATTGAAGCCAAGGGGCGCAAGTCCAAGGTCCGAGGCAGGATCGAAGACATGGACGGCAACGTCCTCGTCGAAGCAGAGTAAGCGCTATACTTTTCCTCACCGTATCTTGATTCAAACGTTTGCCAGGGCGCTCTTCATCCAACCCAAGTACGCAAAGATTCTCAACACGCAGCAGATGCGCGATATGCTCAGCGAGCCAAGCGACTCGCCGAATACGCTCACGGAGGCCACGGTCGCGCCCGTAGCCGTTGCGCTCTCCACCGCGCGGCCGGAGGCACAGGCTTAGTTCCCTGTATTCCGGTGTTACTCTCCTTTGTTGTGCCTCAGATTTTGCGTGTGGACAAGGACACCGTTGGGCGCTTGCAGACCGCAGCTGAGTGTAGATTTTTGTGGTTGGATATATCCGTAGATGCGTCGCGACTCGTACACTATGATTCTGAACACGACGGGGTTATGTTGGTATCTTCTTTGCCAACGATTGTACTGATTTTGCTGCCTACCTAGAGCACATAATTATTACTTGATGGAACGCTCGATCGTAGACGAGATACTGGCAGATCGTAGATCCCGCTTTTACATATGACGTCGACGCAGAAGCAGCTGAAGGTGTCGCATGAGTGCTCTTGTAATCGAGAAAGTGCTGCTGCAGCGATCCACCAGAATTGCATGTGACACGCAGCGGATACATATGGAAGACATGTGCTAGATCGGTAGCAAAAGGTTCTTACTGCCAAGATGCGCCACTCCTCGGGCATCCCTAGGTAATCCTTCGGTAGACGACTTCGTTAACGATCAGTACTAGTACCAGCCGAAACCAAAACGCCAAAAGTTTATCTATTTCCATGTATTCCTCTGACTCACAGATGTAGACACCATGCACGCCAGTGTATGTCCCGGACCGTTGTTTACTTGAAAGTCAGGCTTGCGTCATATCTACGACGTCGCTTGCAATGTCCGCAGCGGCATCTGCTGTTCAGTCGTATTCTTCGTCATCAGCCACCTCTTCATCTTCCGCAAAACACAAAGTGAGATCCAGGGTTTCTCCCATGCTTTCAACGAATTTTGGAGCGATTCGTCTGTCGGACTGGGGGGAGGGAGCGAAAGACAGACGGGTACTGTTCGAACCATTCTCGTCGCGATGATCTACCTGGCGGATAGTCAGTAGGAAACGGGACACGGTGATATTGCTGAGTCTACCCAAACAGACCAGTCAGCGGGGCGCAAGTGAAACTGCGGGCGGACTGACGCTGTTTCGAAGTACGGAAGGTTGATATTCGGCTAAAAGACACGACTCAGTCTTTCTGCCGGAGATTTACAGGGAGGTGCGGAGAGACTCACCTCGGCAAACCAGAACGCCACAAACACAACGTTCAGAATGAGCGACAAGCTGTGCAGAACATCAGCATGGAGGGTCGTACATGCAGTAGATAGCATGCGCACGTGAAGTGGAGGGTACCTTGGCAAACGGCAGACGTCAACACTGTTATTGGGTGGGTTCCATCGGGTGCGCTTACCGTATTGAAGGAGGAAGGAGGTCAACGGCACCTTCACCTGATCCGCACCATACGCAAGCTTGTAGGTCCGAGCCCAAGTGACAGTCAACGCGATGATATCAACGACGATAGTGCAACTGCGGGTCATGATGAAGACTGGTCCAAGGTCGTCAATCTGTAAGAAGTTGACGAACATGTTGCAAGAGTACTTACGCCTTTTCGTTGTATGAGTGATACGTGGGGGAACGTGCAGCGCAGAGATACTGACCCTACAAACACATTCTCTGGTAGATCATATTGAATGCCGCAACGACCGACTGAAGAGCCGTGCCATACGTCTATGTCTAGAGTCTGTACATAACAATTAATACGATAGCCCAAATCGAGGAGAAGTGGAGACAGACTATGTTTGTTGCCACAACCGCCAATCCCAATACGAACACAAGAAGCGCAAGTCGCCAGTCGCGCCAGACGGCATATACTCGAAGAGCCGAGAACACTGGAAGTGAGCTAAGTCAGGCAGGGTATAAATGAGTACCTGATGAGCGTATGTACTGACATGCCCATACAATGAGTAGTAGAAGGTAGATTCCGGCGTACAGATACCACGTGGATTCCGCTCTGCAAAGCCAGTGGTATTAGACAACCGTATTTCTATTCGTAAAGAAGTCAGGACCTTTTCATAGGCTGGGCAGCGGAAGAGTTATTTTAGGAGTAGAGACAGATGAACCTGGAGAACGACATACAGCGCAAGCCCAATAGGGCAAAAATATCAGTGAGAGCATAGCATACCCAGATCCAAACCAGCGGTTCAAATAGAAAATCAACGCAGGGGGGGTGATCTTTCTGTGCCACATAAACTTCACTTCTTGGGATAACGTGATGGCATGGTCGTATATGATAAGTGCTGCAGGCCTGCCGTTAGCAGGATTCGTCATCTACTTAATCGCGCACTTACCGGCCGTTGCTCCCATGCAATAGGCGTCAACGGTTCTGCGAAATATCAGCACTCGGGTATATATAAGAGAGTATAGAGAGACTAGCCTCTGATATAAAACCGTGATGTTCTCTTGGTTGGAGCTTTGAGTCAGCATAATGAGCGCAAATGACTTAGGGTCCGGTAGCTCCCACTTCCTATAAGTATCCCCCTTCATGCTGTGTTGACACTGGCATTCTCCGATGCTGCAGCTTCCCTATATCCGCCAGGATGTAACGACGAAAATTTGAGGGCTTTCGTGCCTTCCTAATCGATGGTCCTTGTGGTTGGCTCTTCAAAGTCAGGGAGTCGTGAGCTCAGAACCGACTTTGATACGAAATAGTGACACGTTGCCTGAGGATCGCAGCCGACTTGTTGAAAGGCGGTGAGTCTCCTGGTACCGGTGAGGGATGATGGCTGAGCGCTCGGCACTGGCATGGACTGTGGTCTTCTGTCAAATGCAACGCGGTGTATGGTGGATAACCATGTGGGCGCTTGTTCATCGATGCTTCTGGCCGGAGAAGACGAACCACAAATATGCACTGCCAGCAACGGAGACTATACGTACCGCAGATAACGGCATGCGCCGTTAATTACTCTCGCCGATAAGGACCACCCTTCATTCGATGCTGTCACTCATTTCCTTGTTCCTTCAGTCATCGCATGCTGCAGTCGCAGCGGTGCTGTGCGAGATGTTTTTATTATTTCTGGCTCTGACATGCCATGACAGACATCCGTAGGTGCTGGGTGCACAGTGGCATGTGGCATAGCGGCAGGTCTGCGCGAAACACTCGATGACACGGGAGCCCATTAAACGATCAACTTACTGCATTGCTTGGTGCAGAATGTCGTGTCATTTCTTGCACACACTTTTCCCAGTACTGCTGCATAGCGGCACAGCCATTTTGCCTAGCCAACGAAATTCCCGAGGTGCTGGATATTCCGTCCTAGAAATCGATGTCTCAATCCGGCATGGTTCCTGGCTCCCTGAAGGGCGAAATCAGTGGTTCATCAGGCAGCAGTTTCTGAAAAAATCGCTGGGATGCACCTGAGAGATGCCACGCAGCAGAGCATATAAAGCGCGGCCACATCTGTCCAGGATGTGCGAGAACGCTGAATGAGATGAAAGGAGAGGCGGAGCTATTAACACCGAACGCAAGGAGCACGTTCCTGCAGTGTCGAGCGCAACACTATCCTCGTATCTCACTCTGCGGATCTGCGGATCCAGACGATGAGAGACACGAAGAGCAAAGGGGCCTGAGGACCTCGACATACACAAGTCAATGTTCCCTACTATGACTCGACAGGTAAGACGACGACCATGAAATGTTTTGGCCAACACGTATTGCACTAAGAGTAAGCCTGGCGAGGTCACTTCTTGCAGAATCACCTGGTTCTCAGATTCAAGTCATTAGTAAGTAAGAAGTAGTACAGATATTCGCGACCATTGACGGGTTTCTCGATATCGACGCCGTGTATGCCCACGTCGATGTTGAATAGACGCGTGGAGACTGAGAATAGGGTTAGGGCCTGCGGTCCGAATTGTCCGCTGCTAGAGACTCGCAGTGGGTATCGCATAGTGGGACTCTCGCTATAGTGGTAGGTCACCTAGGACCTAGCTGAGTTTCAAAACCTAGACCTAGCGGCGCGGGCGGGCCCGACACAGGGGACACGGTCACTGGCGCGAGAGTGACGCGCGTCACTCGAACGCGTCGCTGAGCACTGCTTCGTTCTCGATATTTTCCCTCCGTCTCACTATCAGAATCTGAGCAGAGCCACTATGGACGACAATGATCCTGCAAAGAGAAAACGAGGGCGCCCAAAAGGCTCGAAGAACAAGCCTGATGCCAAGAATGTTGGGCGACCCCGCAAGGATGGCCGGCCGACCCAGCAACGGCGCGTGCACATCTCCGGGAACGTTGTACCAGGTGCGGGACAAATTTCCTGCAGTTTCGTTCGCACTCAGTGTCTTGAACCAGCAACTGGCTCGAGTCTGAGCCGTTCAGTGTCAATATCCGGAAGCAGAGCTAGCAGTGCCAGTAAGTATCATTTGTTGTCGACTAATTTATTGCTCATATCTGCCTCATTTTAGCCCACAGCAGTACTCCGGGTAGCATGACTGTGGATCCCACTTCACGGGAGGCCATTTCCATGCTGCAAGGTGTCCTCTCGCCGGCCGTGCCCACTGCGCTTGCCGCGCCCGCTATGCCCACTGCGCTCGCTATGCCCACCGCACTCGCTACGCCTGCCGTGCTCACCACGCCCGCCGCTCTCCCCACGCCCGCCATTCTCACCACACCTGCCACCCTCTCCACACCTACCACACTTGCGACGCTCGCCACGTTTGCTGCTGGTAACCCCTCGATTCCCGTTGAAAATGGCACCATTAGTAGCCCATCAATTGTCGCTGAAAATGGTGCCGCCCGAAACCCACCGCTTCCCGCTGACAACGGTGCAGCTAGGGACCTGTCACTTCCCGTGGAAAATCGCGCCGCTGAAAATTCCGCAGAGGAACGGCATCGCTTGCAGGACTCTCCAAATCCCCCACAGACAGATGGTGAGTATGCCGTTGTATGTTCCTGATGTCTCCGTTCATTGAGATAATGTAGGATTCAATTTCTCATACCGCGTACCCGAAATGATGTCTGCATCAAACTCACATCAAGCATCTGAAACGATGCACACATCACGCTCTGAAGACAGAACTGCAATGACCGGGCTACGACGGCGGCCCTTGAGAAGCACTCGTGATGGTGCAGACTGTAACTGCGAGCTATTAGGTCAGTAATTAACGTCGTGCTGCGGTCCAAGTTGTCTTACTCGTGATTCTCACATAGTTGACAATCCCTATGGATCTGACCTGTCGGCCAATGCCGACGAGTTCATACGAGCGTCAGGTAACAGTGACGCGGACAATGAGGACGATGGTAATGATGACGAGATGGATAGGGAATTTCAGCCTGTGGGCGATGATGATGAGGACGACAGCGAAGGAGATGCTGAGGGCGAGGCAACACTACCAACAAGCAGTAGCAATGGTTCGATGGGCAAGAAAAGCCGTTCCAGCATGCCGTTATGGCTTGCGGATGAATACAAGAAAGTACGGTCGAAGTTAGCAAAAGAGATCAAAAGTACAACGGCAGGAAAATCTACCATTGGTCGACCGTCCTGCTATTCTCTGGGAAGCTTCTACGAAGCTCCGTCCAACCTCTTCCTCCACACCCTATCTCGATTTCAAATAGATCCTGCAGCCTTCTATCGTCCAATCTTCTTCATCTGGCTTCCTCACTGTCTGCTTGGAGATCGCATACCCTGTCCTTCATGCCTTTCCGCAGGCCGCCTCACGCAACAGAACCAAACTATCTTTTTGCAGTCACATGGGTTCGTTGACAAGCCTCGGCGAGTTGTCGATGTCGACCACTGCGAGTATATCATAGGGCATCGCTACCGCTGCGGGTCTTGTAGTCATACATATCGCAGCTGGAGTCCAGCAATTTTAGCAGTCCTGCCTAAGGCCCTTGCTGCACAGTTCACATTCCATCTCACCTATCACAGTGGTCTTTCAAGCACTCTTGTTTCTTTGCTACGAGAGTCCTTTCGCTCGGGAATGGGTGCTGAAGTCTTCGCACGAATGATACAATCCCTGCATTATCACCGATATGACAAGCTTCATTTGCAATTCCTTGAATTGATTAAGGATCGTAAAGATGGCACACAAGGCAATTTCTTCACGAAGGTTTCTCCATTCAGTTTGTTCGGTGATCGCAGCGGCTATGCAGGTTTTGTCCCAACTGCATCATACTTTCGCCAGTTCTATGATTGCCTTATCGAGTCATGGGCCCCTGAGATGGAGCAACGCATATCACTGTTGTCAGCTCGGGTTCTCTCTGTGGATCATAGCTTCAAGGTGTGTCTTTGTCACAGTGTATGTCTTGAGGATATGTCTGATCATGATTTCAGGTGACAAAACGATTAGCACGCATCAATGGCACCCCTGTTTTTAGCGCACTTCATTCCACGGTGAACGAGTATGGGGAGATACGAGCCATGATACTCACGCCCACCAAAGCACATGATCAGATCATGCCAATTCTCTCCGAAATTCCCAATTCTCTGCAAGAGTTTGGACATGAACCCACTGAGAGCATCTATACTGACAATGTCCGTGCAGACAAGAGAGAGCTAGAACGGGCTTTTCCTTCTCTGCTTCATAATATTACTCCAGTTCCTGTCTACTCAAACTTGGAAACTGTGGCTCTTCCTCCAAACTGGTCGGTGATCCATCTTACAAGCACACATCAAGTAAACACGCGGTTCAATGTGATCATGAACCATCGGCTGAGTGGTAGCTCTGTGACAGTGGGCTTTGACATGGAATGGCCTGTCAACATCTCTGCAGGAACTCGTGGACCTGTTGCACTGATTCAGATTGCGTATCAAAAGTCGGTGTATTTGATTAAGGTACGCCTGTTTGTTGTTAGCAAGAATGCATAATAATGTTGGGAATTGATTTTTCAGACACTTCCCTATGTTCAAGATGGTGTCTTGCATCTACCACAGTCACTCTTGACCTTTCTGCGCTCACCTCTATACACAAAAGTCGGTGTGAACATCTCTGCTGATTTCAAGAAATTACAGGCCGATTGTGGCTTTTCTGCAGAAGATACTCCATTCAGTGGCCAAATTGAACTAGGTGCAATGGCAGTTGAACGACGAGTCGCAAGGCGTAAAAATACCAGTCTAGTCGATCTTGTAGCGACTCTCCTCCGTCGTTCACTTCCGAAGGATGCTACTGTACGTGTCAGTCCCCATTGGGGTGATGCAGAGCTACACCCAGACTTCATCAAATATGCCGCATTGGATGCATACACGACGTGGGAGGTGTACTCACATCTGAGTAATATGGGAGTTCCGCAATTTGTCACCTCTGACACACCTGGAGGGACCCCTGCTACGTTGTTCTCGCCGGATGGCAAAGAAGTTGCCTCAGGCATCATAACGCTGGATCGTGTCAATAAGCTCCATGGCATCGAGGTGACGAAAAGCCGGGTCACATTGACTATTTCCGCTATCCATGTGCCTGCATACCTGCATCCAGCCGCCCTCTGCCCCGGTCAGAAGGCAACTGCGCTCTCAGCACTGGGCGCACTTCCATTCTCGATTGTTGCATATGCCAGACAGGTTCGAACATCAGAATCCCTCGCACCCGGAAGAGAAGCACCTGCAAGTTCAAGTGTGCAAGGACAGCCTGCATCGCAAGACTACTTATTCACAACGACAGAGATAACAAGGCATGATCCAGGCCCTGTAATTGAGAGCAGTATTTTGGATGACCTGGATGATTCGGAGCAGCCAGATACTGTTGACGGTGATATCATGCCATCGCAAACTGTCGAAGAGTCTGTCCGGGATCCTGTGGCAGAGGCCGCCTTACGTGAACTGCTCCTTCAATATGAGGATCCCGACATATCCAGCCAAGATGCTGTTCGCTCACGAGTCCTAGGTGATATCTGGCACTTACATGATCAATTTCCAATCTCGCAGCATCACGGCTTGCATCGACCTTTCGCACGTGCATTGAGTGCAGCGATTTTCATTCCGAATGCCGAGGACAAGGTCGCGGTTGAAGCGATACTCGGAAAACTGGGAGTTTCTTACAACTCCAAGATTCTGTCAAAGCCACACTGGGTTTTGCATAGGATTCGGCGTCATATACCACCACCAGAGGTTTTGCTCCCTCGGGTCACTGCCGTAATCAAGACGTATGGACCGCTCAAAGATTCAACGACAAACCTTCCATTATTCAACGAGAAGGCCTGGGATATTGCCAAAAATGTCCTAGAGAACATCCGTCAAGGATATTACTCGGACCCACCTGGGGTGCAACTGTATTACAAAGTCGGAGTTGACAAATGCGGCCTCAACCTGTACCGATGTTGTCGTGGTACCAATGATGTCGAAGGTGGTGTCCATCAAAATCTGATACGCCGCTTTACTTCGTTCAATATCTCACCCCGTCATGCCGTAAATTCACTCCTGGACTACGTTGTGACCCATGACATGCAGGTATGTGTCTGCTCTGACCCTCAAGCTCAGGAGGTCGACAATAACTATGTTGCAGGTTGGGACAATGAATCGGTCAGGCAGTAGTTATATTGGCCATTTTGACATACCTCTGAAAAACCAGGTTGCGAGCATGCTCGACATCTTATCGTCAAGTGATGTCTTTGATGCTGATGTCAAAAGGTTGCGTGGCGGCTGGCTCAATGGAAACGACTATGCGCGTGTGAACGAGGTATTCGGAATTATGCGTTTCGACAATGCCACTCAAATTCGACTGCAAATGGAGGATTCGGACACACCATATGCACGGGCGCAACCGCCTCGACATCATTACTTGAGCAAGCGTCAAGGAACACAGTTTGCAGTGCTCCCTGTCCATACGCGAGAAGAGCGCGACCTGTTTCGGCTCTTTGTCGACTCGTTGCCACTGTTCAAGACGCCAGGTCAGCCGAATTGGGATGTCGCTGCTGCCGTGTGGTCAAATCACGCAGATGGGCGCAAAATATTCTACAAGGTAAGCTGATTGGTATGTACCATAAAATGCATCAATCACCGGACTTTCGCAGCTCCCAGAACATATCAAGTCCTACTACAAGACCTGGAATGAACACTGCAATGAGAACAACTCCGTTGCACTGAATATTGCAGCCTGTGCCCGTATCCGTGCCCTGGTGCATCCTCAGCCGGGTAGTGCCCCATCTATTCCTGCAGCCACACCCCTCACACTCGAAGATGCACTAAAAGCTTCACCCACAGTCAATCACGAAGATTACGAGCTCAACCCTTGGACAATTGACAAGATACTCGCTGAGCATCGGACCTACCAGTCTGCTGTGCAATATCGGTATGCATTCTCTCAGGCTCCCACTGACTCGGCAAACTCCTCCACTGGCACCAAGCGCCCCGCCGAAAACTGCGGATCGAGTAGCTCAAAGCGCCGGCGAACGTTGGGTTCCGACACAGCGAATACTCCGGCTTCCACTGCTCAGTCCGATGCAGGACCTTCGCGGCCAAGAGCAGAGCGCCACTGCAAGTATTGTCACAGCACGGAGTGCAAAGGTCGCTGGCAAGTGAAGTTCTGCCCTCTTCGGGCTCGGGATCTGGCCAGAGCACAGGTGAGTACCAATCGAAGAATACCAATCCCTGCTCAGCTGTACTAATGGTTGTCTCTGCAACAGCAGGAGCACGAACTACAAGAGCATGAAGGGCAAAGACAGAGTCAACCAGATCACGACACAGATCTCGGGCATGAAGAACGCGGCGCCGGGACGATGTGATATGCGAGACAGGTGGTTTGTCGGATTGCGGCTCATAGTAGTCAAAGAGCATAACTAACGGCATGTACAGCTACGGCGGACGAAGACTTTCAAAGCACGATGCGTGCGAGGACCAGAACAGCGACAGAGAGGTGGGATGAATGGGCAATTGCGGACGTTGTGACCCCATTAGCGGAAATGGTTCGTCCATTTCTGTGTTTTCTGACAGGGGAGCCGTGTGCACATCGGAGAAGCATAGTGTATCTTTGCCTCTTTCCACATCCTTTCTTCCATACGAGTATATTTGAGTACTCCCTCCTCCCCTTCGAATTAATTTCATTTAATTTTGATTTAATATTTCGTACCCTACCACTATAGCTAGAGTCCCCGCATAGTAGCTCACAGATTGAACATGCTTCACTGCTGAAAACGTTCCACGGCTGAAACCACTACATCGGCGAAAAGAAACTTACTCTGGTCTGATGTGATCTGAGCTCTAAGCTTTCAAGGACTCACACTTTAAGCTTTGGCTTTTTGTTCGCAGATCGAGGATTCAGAGTCATTTTCTCATCGCGCTGAACAAAGTTACGAGCCTATATTGGGCCCCTGCCGGGTGCGTGCGTACCCCTTCAAATTGGATCCTTTAGAGCTGAACAAGTGCGAGAGGCTGAGCGCACTAATGGGCCTTGTAGTCTTCGTGGGCATGTGCATTTCTTTTGCCGCTCCCTATATTGGTTGTGCTGTACTCGTCTCTCGCACTGCCAGGAATCTGCGTTCCTCCTTTCAGCTCTGCACCCTTTTCTTTCACGTCCAATCCCTCCCATTTGTGGACGCTGAGCGCGTGACAAACGGGAGATGGTGTTGTGTCAGGCCCTCCTTGCTGTCCATCGTTGGAGCGCAGGTGAGTGACGGCAGTTCCCTATACCAACACGATCGGAATCATCGAGGCTTGGCACAGAAGAGGATCGTGAACAGGAGATACACAGACGAGGAGGCGCTGACTTTCTCTTTGCAGTCTATCTGTTGGAGGCTTCGGGATGACCTTATTAGGCAATCCGGAGCATCCAGGTAGTCGGGCGATATTCCCCGATATCTTATTCAGCATCGAAGGATACAGTAGCTACGAGAACTATGTGGTATGTTCTGGACTAGTCTACTGGTGTAGTATATAAGGAGGGACCTCTTGCAGGTCCCAGAAATTATATCTCTTCCCCAATCACTCACTCGGAAGAATTCATATCAGCTGCGCTAATAGGTTATGAGCCCCGCTAGCTTATAGCTTATACTTTACCAGCTTCTACTTACTTGTTACACACTCTGACTATCGGTAGTTACAATGTCGAGTACTACCGAATCTCGTGACAGCCTGTCGTCCTTGTTCCGAATCGAGCAACTTCGCGATGACAACTGGCTCCCATGGAAGCGCCGTACTATGGCGATCTTGAGGGAGCGCGGTGTCTTGAAATATGTCAATGAAACATCGGAGAAGCTGAAGCCGGCAAATGCAACAACACCAACGGCAGGAGAAACGGCGGTGATCACGAAATGGGTTGAGGGCGATCAAAAAGCCCAGACCGTTATCGAGCTGCTGTTGAGCGACTCGCAGATGATACACATTGCGGATGCTACAACGGCTGCGGAGATGTGGAACCAATTGAAGTTAGTAAAGGAGGCGAGTGGACAACTGGGGATAATGGCGTACCGAAGGAAATTCTATCGCACAGTTGCCACGGAAGGCAGCAATATCGCAGCGCATATCACGGAGCTCCGCCGGACACAGGAGCAGCTACACATGATGGGTAGCAAGGTGTCGGATGATGAATTTCGAGCGATCCTGATCACATCATTACCGGAGTCTTGGGACCAGTTCACATCTGCGTACCTGGGTGCAACAAGCCAGAAGGACAAGTTGCCGACATCACATGAATTGATAGCCATCTTGCTCGAAGAATACCGGCGCCAGCGAGAGAAAGGCGGTGCCGATGAGTCTGTGCTGGCAGCGCGCGGGCGGTGGACCCAGCCGAAGAATACCGCACAGGGCGGAACAGACAGGAAGTCCGACGCGGAGTGCTGGAATTGCCACAAGCGTGGACACACTCAACATGAGTGTTGGTCGAAAGGCGGCGGCAAGGCGGGTCAGGGACTGCGAAGTAAAAAAGGAGGCCATGCGCAGGTGCACACGAACCAGGCACAGTCAACAAATGATGTGCTGCAAGATGTTGCATTCCGCACAGATGAGGCAATCGGTATTGGGCAGCAATTTAGTAGTCAGTTCTCATGTTACGACTGGCTAGCTGACTCGGGAATGACGTCGCACGTTACGAACCTTCGTGATGCAATAACGGACTTCATGCCGCTTGAAGCCTCATCGATCACCGGCATTGGTGACCAGAGCATACGCGCACTTGGGCGCGGCACTGTGAAAGTCAATAGCAGGATAGGCGGCAAGACTTTTACCTTCTGTCTGAAGGATGTGTTATACGCACCAAAAGCAACGAATAACTTGGTGTCGCTCACACGTTTGGATGAGGCGGGCGGACATTTTGATGGTGGTGATGGAGGGATAACACTACGGGAGAGTGGCGGCCACGCCATCGCTGAAGGCCGGAAAATCGGCCGTTTGTACTTGCTCTATATGCGGGCCAAGATCGCGACGCCGATGAACGAACGCGCGAATGTTGCACACGAAGATAATGACTCGTGGGAGTCGTGGCACCGAAGATACGGACATCTGGGTATCACTGGATTAGAATGGCTATACAAGGAGAAGATGGTAGAAGGACTTACCATTGACGAAAACTCAATGCCGCTCACGCAGTGCGAAGCCTGCGTACAAGCTAAGCAGGCGCGTCGTGCATACCCGAAGGAGGCGGAGGACCGCTCCCAGATGCCAGGCGAGTTGACGCATAGTGACGTCTGGGGCCCTGCACGTGTAGTATCGATCGCCGGATCGCATTACTACATATCGTTCACGGACAACTGCATGCGGAGGTGCCAAGTCCTGTTCATGAAACATAAAAGTGAGGCTTTTGAAAAATTGAAAGAATAACTCACCTTTATTGAACGACGCTTCGGGCACCTGCCGAAGATCGTGCGTGTTGACAACGGGTCCGAGTACATCAATAAAAACCTGAAAGGGTGGTGCCGTGAGAAAGGAATTGAGCTGCAAACAACAGCGCTGTACTCACCTTCGCAGAATGGTGTAGCCGAGCAATTTAACCGAACCTTGCTCGAGCTTGCACGCGCGATGTTGATCACGAAGAATCTTCCAAGCTTTCTCTGGGCGGAAGCTGTTGCATATGCAGCATACCTGCGAAATCGAGCGCCGATGAAGGCACTGCATGGGAGAACCCCGGAAGAGGCGTGGACAGGCAATAAACCCAATGTTGCACACCTACGAGAATTCGGATCAGATGTCTGGATTCTGACGGAAGGTCAGAACCTCTCAAAACTCGAGCCAAAGTCGAAGAAGCACACCTTCGTGGGTTTTGCTGATGGCCTGAAGGCCGTACGCTACTACGATGCGGGTGCACGCTCGATCCGAGTCTCGCGAAATTTTGTGTTTGCAGATGCCCCGAAACCAGTGAGTAACGTCCCTGTACACCAGTTTAATGATGGGGACAGGCTGCCGCTCGAGGGGGAGTCAGGGGGAGCTGTCAAGCAGCAGCCTCCCACATCTGCATCAAAACCAGCATCAGTACCTGTCAAAGCTGATCAGTCTAACAAGAAACACGATGGAAACCACATTACGGAGGAAGACTTACCTCCCGAGATGCAGGAAAACATGCGAGAGCGACCGACATTCTTGCCTGCACCCCCAAAGATCCCTCTTCATTGTACGACCCGCGCCATGCAGGATCACGACTATCGAAAGATGGATAACCCCCGTGCACAGCCCGCGAAGTCACGCGAGCCGCCGGGAGTGCCGAAAGAGAACGCACTGGGTGAAAGTGCGAAAGTCGCTGTGACGCCCGAAGAATTTGAAGAGATCGCGCAGGCGCTGTATGCGACAGCGCTGGCATCGGGCGACAGAACGGCGAGTGCAGGAGATGAACCGCGAAGCCTCACGGAGGCCCAAGCCTCTCCGGAATGGTCAGAATGGGAAAAGGCTGTAAAAGCGGAATATGATCAGTTGCAGGGCATGGGGACTTGGGAGCTACAAGACTTACCAAAAGATCGAAATGCTGTGGGCTGCAAGTGGGTCTTCCAGAGGAAAACCAACAAGGAGGGTCAGGTTGTCAAGTACAAAGCCAGATTGGTGGCACAGGGGTACTCACAGATCCCAGGGATGGATTTCCTTGAAACCTTTGCCCCTGTAGTTCGTCTTGAGTCCATCAGGGCCATCCTAGCATTAGCAGTAGTTAATAACTGGGAAATAGGCCAGATGGATGTCAAGGGAGCTTACCTGAATGGAGACCTCCAGGAGGAGATCTACATGTGACAGCCGGAAGGCTTTGATGATGGAAGTGGACGCGTTTGTCGACTCCACAAGACGCTCTACGGACTAAAGCAGTCCGGGTGCGAATGGAACCGCAAGCTGCATCGCGAGCTGACAGAGCTCGGGTACAAGCGGCTGGAGGCGGATCCATGTGTATACCTGCGGGAGCGAAAGGAAGGAGAAGTTCAGATTATCACGGTATGGGTAGACGACTTACTGTTATTCACCAACTCTCCGAAGCTCATGGAGGAGCTCAAGCGCGACCTGCAGGACCTCTTCGAAGTCACGGACCTTGGTGAGCCGCAGAAAATTGTTGGGATTGAAATTGAGCGAGATAGGGAAGTGGGAACACTTCAAATCTTGCAACAGCACTACATCGAGAGCATTCTCAAGTGATACCACCTTGAGAATGCCAATGCTGTAGGGATGCCGCTCGATCCGAACGTGGTGCTCACGGTAGAGGACGAGAATGAGGAGGCAGATGACCGTTTGGCGGGAGGTTATGCGTCGATGGTGGGATCGCTGATGTACGCAGCAGTGGGAACAAGGCCAGATATTTCCTACGCTGTACAGATGCTGAGCAAATACACAGCGTGCCCACGACCTGTCCATTGGACAGCAGCAAAACGCGTTCTACGGTACCTCGCAGGAACACGTGACTTGCACATCACGTACACGCGACGCGATTCAGACGCGCCGAACGGAAATATAATAGGAGGATATACGGACGCGGATTATGCATCAGACCATGACCGAAAATCAGTCTCAGGTCATGTCTTTTACTCGGGAGGAGGAGCCGTAGCATGGAGTTCGAAGAAACAAACAACAACGGCAACATCCTCGACAGAAGCCGAGTATACAGCACTCGCGCACGCGACACGTCAAGCAATATGGCTGCGAAACTTACTGGCAGAACTCAGGTTTGCACAAGAAGAACCCACAGAAATTTATTGTGATAACCAGGCAGCGATCGCAATAGCACGCGACCCGCAGTATCACGTGCGGTCAAAGCACTTTGATGTGCAGAATCATTTCGTGCGTGAAAAGGTGGAAAATGGCATTATTTAATTGTGCTACTGTCCTACAGATGAGATGGTAGCAGATGTATTTACTAAGGCCCTACCCAGGCCTAAGCACCAAAAGTTCACATTGGAACTTGGGATGCTTCCAGCTTGAGGGGGAGTGTTGGAGGCTTCGGGATGACCTTATTAGGCAATCCGGAGCATCCAGGTAGTCGGGCGATATTCCCCGATATCTTATTCAGCATCGAAGGATACAGTAGCTACGAGAACTATGTGGTATGTTCTGGACTAGTCTACTGGTGTAGTATATAAGGAGGGACCTCTTGCAGGTCCCAGAAATTATATCTCTTCCCCAATCACTCACTCGGAAGAATTCATATCAGCTGCGTTAATACTATCCAAGTGCGTGGATCGCATTTTGCCTTCTGGGAGCAGTGTTTAGATCCCAACCATCTCGTGGTGTTCAGGTGAGTCGCACCGGCATCGCTACTGCGGTGATCGTACTTCAACAATGTGTGTTCCATTCCGTCAAGATTTCAATTCATGGTAGTTATCAGTTGGAACGAAGGAAAAACAGTGTTCGCGATATGTAGCGCTCGCCCTGTGGCGGTTCCTTGGGCGCTCAACGAGCTCAGCGAATTTTATTCGGCTTTCTCCGCTTTCAGTTCGTCGTAAGCCTGTCCGATCTGCAGGGATAGAAGGAGATCCGCCCTTTGGTGGGGTCGTCCGTCGTTCCGGAACCATCATTACCTTTGAGGTGAGGCTGTCCCAGAGTCTTCTCTTCAGTATATGTAACGAGAACTCAACAATTACTGCTACGTTGATTGTGTTCGATGTGATTCCTCCCAGTGGACTAGTGATCTGTGTCATCGTGCTTCCTGCCAACACCCCAGTATCTCCAACCCCCCCGCTTCAACCTTTGAAGTCTCAGAGTTGTTCACTGTCCTTCACGGGAGCCTGAAATCTTCATTTCCTCGAATATCGTATTTTCGCTGCAGTGGTCTGGTGCGAGATCTTTGTTCCGGTTCTGACCTGCCTTCATGGACAGTTGTAGATGCTGGGTGCTAAAAATATCTAAGTCATTGAGGCAGTACTGGGGGATGGGAGGCAAGATGTATTCTTGTTCAACCTGTGCAGATGCCTAGAGGTTTGTTGATTGTGTTTGATTTTAGTGAAGTTGTCTGAACGAGTGTTTGGATTCGAACAGAAATACTGCCTCCTTCACTGAACAGTGTATTATTTTCGTTAGAGTGCAGGGCTGCATCAGTGAAAGCTCTCATATACCAGTGCCCTAAACAGTCTTCACAACTTATCAAAGTTGTGATGATGTATGCAGAAGACAACCGCAGTGGGCAGTTAACATGGCGACGTAAGAGCGACCACATCTACTTGTCTGAATGCCACATTCCGCTCGCACCGTGAAAAAAATCTTGCTGCAATCCTCATCAACTGATGTTCCCTCCACCTTCACGAATGTCATTAAGAGATAACAGCGAAGCAGAGCTGGTCCAACTGGCGAATCAGGTGTTCGTGTCTTGACGTACTTGTGTCGTGGTGCTTGTTCGCTAATAGGTTCATACTTATCAGCTTAGTGGGCAACTACTGCAGTATAGCAGCTGCAGGTGAGTTTCTATTGAAATTTTGACCCGAAGCTAATGGAAATGCTTATTAGCTTTGCTTTTTTTCGAGTATGCAATAACCCTTACTGATAAAATTGACTACATACGGAGACGCAAAAAAAACGGAGTCATGGCCTTGTTTATTTCCAACGGTTTTCTTGGATTAGTATTGGCATTCAACATGGCGATGGGGGTACCTCCGTGGAGTACAAAGCGAGTAAGTGCCACGGTTGTATCTGATGCCTCTTACATTGTGACTGATGCTCGTCGGACCACCGCCTACTCAGAGGTTCGGTTCTTTATTCAATAGAAAGTAGAGACCGGCTCATTGTGTGGCAGTTGTGATGCCACAATGCTGTTACTGGAAGTTTGTCAAGCATTGCTTTTCATTGAATGGGCCGGTAAGTTAATATGTGTCTCAATGGTGATTTGACATCCATAGGCATCATCACTCTTCAGTGTTCTCTGCTCTTCGGGTATATGCAATAGGAGGTCAGGCATGGCTCCCTGCTGCAGTAGTTTTCATACTGAGTGTGGTGCCTTTCGCAACCAATCTGGTATTGTCGATCGCACTGGATGAAGGTCGCATGCACTAACTTTCGATGTTTCAGTATGTGAATATCACATCCTCATATTTTGTCGCCATTGTTCCTGGCTTTGGCCCTGTCTGTGTGGAGTTTCCAAATATAGTGCGACCTGGGATGTAGGTATTCCCTTGTCCTGCTCAGTCTTCTGCTGACAGGCAGGCAGATGTATGAGTCTTACTCCTCTTATACAATGAATTCTCGCCTTCACAGCTTACTGTATCTCTCAACAGTCTACCTTGCAACACGAATCAGTGTCATTGTGGCAGATGTCATTGTCCTCATGGTAACATGGATGAAGACCTACGAAATCAAGAGATATGCAAACTCAGCTCACGTGGAGGCTCCCTTGGCAACTCTCTTGCTACGAGACGGTTAGTGCATATACTGTTCACTCAACTCTTCCTCAGTTTCGAGCTCATCCTTCTGTTAATTCCTAAGGCACTTTGTACTTTATGTGAGTATGGCGCGTGACAACCGTTCAAGCTGACAATACATTACAGGTTACTTCTCATGCTGAACCTCTCACTCATGCTGTCAAACTACTACGGTGTGCGTTCTGCCACTGTTACATTTTACTGGCTTACCCCTGACATGTGTTCTCAACCCAGGTCTACGAGTACCTGCCCTACTTCATCGACCTGTTCGCTCATCAATTTTCATGTACCGGAACTCACTTACGCTCACACAACCTCGCAGATTCATGTGTATAATTGTATCTCGTTTCCTCTTGAACCTGCGCGAGACGGACAACGTGCAAAACCATGTTGCTTCTAACCCCTCCTTCGTGTGCACTCATGCGCGGAGCTTGCAATTGGCCTCAAGGATAGTCGGGAACATGGGCGCATCACTAAGTCACGGTTCTCCCTCCCAAGTTGATGACCTGTACGGGTTGGACCTTCCAGGAAATGGCCTTGACATCTCAGAAGGTGGAGGGGCTACTGGTGGGGAGGTGGTTACAGGAGAGATCGAGCTCGTTGAGGTTTAGGCGGTGTCTTCGCAGCCTCTTGGGATGAAAGTTGAGGATGTTGTTCTTGTATGAGTAAGTGTCGATTGTTCTTTATTGTCGTGTTTGTTACTTAAGCTGCCGTTGATATCTAATGCAGACATTTTAATGGCGGATTGCTATTTTCGACATTGTAGGTGTGCAGCTGACATCCTTATTGCATTGAAATTCTCGACTGGATCGTTCACATGTATACGATGAGTATCAAGATCGCCATTTCATCATAATTGGATGCAATGAATTTGGTATCTGATATGCAAATACACGTATATAAACAGACCCGTCAGTGGATCCCTGTCTGCCCCGCAGTGCCAGGTGTCGAAAGCTATCCTGAAAGACGGCCGTGAGATATGCACCACTATGCATCGTATTGTCAGATTATATCGATCAGTGCCTACAACTTTAACTAAATGAGGGCAATACAAAGCCAATTTCTCCTGCACATTTGCTGCCGATCTTCCGTGATGGCCTTTGTCGCAAGCTCCAGCATGTGCGGTGAGCATGATGGATGCATTTATTCTTCGTCTGTGCAGATGCACGGAATATCTGAGACACGTTGGCCTACGACGTTTCCCAAGGCCGAGAACAGAGGAGCTTTGTCGACATACCGCTTGCTCTTCGGCTGCCTCCCATGTGGATGCACTAACCTGCCCATACCATCAGAAAGTAGAATCCTTGCCGTAAATAATACAGAGATTCCTGCCTGCGATAGTGCTCCTGTCAGATACTGTCATTTACTCTTACCGAAATTTGGACCTTTTAAGATGCTTTAATGGCCAGTTCACGTCAGAAACGGGTGTGGAGAAGTGCGGAGGGAACCCACAGTGTAACTCCAATACAGTGAGAACAACAGCGATGCGAGTGCTTATCCAATGCCAGCCAACCGGTTCATGTGGAAGAGCAATATAGGTGCTGTTATCTTACTGTGCTAAATGACCTTCACCTCCTGGGAGAAGGTGACAACGTGGTCGTAAAATATGAGAGCTGTGGCTATCAGTATCCTCTACGCACCTCAACGAGCACTCACCAGCAGTTGCTCCCAAGCAGTAACCGTCCACGATTCTGACAACATATCGATACTTCAATCAAAGCAAGTAAGTACAACAGGGTCACGAACCCCAGGGCAATAATGAATGAATCTTGGTTGGAGATTATTGACAACATTGGGACAAATGGGCAAGGTGTCTTCTGGGCGGTTCATGTTAATTTAGTAGCCTACCTATACCTGGTCGTAACTTCTCTTATTGATGTTCTCTGACTTCACAGTATACAAGTGTTGGATCCAGCTCCGAAACCTTTCGGATAAGTCGAGGCTTATCATGACTATTCGTTCGTAGCTCCATGTGGTGGCGGCTAGTCTGAGGTCTACTTTGCGCACCACGGCGTATGCAAGCTCAGAACAAGCGGGGGATGTCAAAAAAGACGGTATCACAGAAGAAGAGCTTCTTAGCATCAGCAGCTGACAGAGGCAATACAGGCGAAGTAGAGAGACGCACCAATGGGGAAAGTGACGGCATGAACTTGTATAGAGTGCAGAAGTGGGAGATATTTCGGGGCATATCCCATTCAGATACAGACCGCACAGTCAAAGAAACGCACGGAGAAGGTATTGGAATTACCGCAAATCGCACAAGGTGTTGCTGTACAGCATTGTCAGGTAAGTGACATTTTTTAATTGCATGATATCGTTTAAGTGGACAAATTCAAGATGAAGATACAGTACTGGACTTTTTAGAATGTCTGTCCAGATACAAGTCACAAGCGGTGGTCGGCGAAGCCATGTGAGAGTAACTTATATTCGTTGAGAAAAAGCGGGCGCGCTGGCCCGAATACACTGTGTGACAAATGGTGAGCATCACCGTACAGGGTATTAACTCGTGCAAGCTCCCGCACAACATCATGGGGTTGCGTCAGGAGTCACATCGCTACGTTATGGCTCAGAGCCATTAACAGTAGACCAGTAGCGTAGCAGAATATCCTTGCTGTACCAGGAGACGGCGACGCGACGTAATGCATACGACGTCGAAGAATACGAATATGGATATCCGTCCGGCAGGTACCCAATAAGATAGACCCATCCCATACATGACTACATCACATGATCTATTTTGTCACGCTTGGGTGGAGAACAGCACCAAACGTTAAATACCTTGGGATAGAGACCACTCAGAGAAAATGTGTTTCCTGAGATCTCTTGTAAGACTTGCTATAAACAATTCTCAGGAAGCAAATTTTTTACTTTGTGGCTGGTTAAGCTTGTATTTTGCAATCTTCAATGCAGTCTCACCCAAATTAGCAGCGGACGGCGGGTGCTTGTTAGTCACGGTATTGCATTTTGGCAGGGAGCACGTGATATGTCACGCGTGACAGACGTAGTCATGTATGGGATGGGTCTATCTTATCATAAAAGGAATTGGACTTCTCCATTAATATGAGGCGGAGCACTGTCGCCCGGACGGGCCCTGCCGACTCGAAGATAGAGCATGCATGTCAAATAATATCGCAGACAGCCGATGGGGTAATATAAGCAGCCAAATCAGAAAGCAGCAGATACAATTACAAAGCATGAGCCTGCGACGACGTGACTCAGTCAGAACGTTAGGAACGTCAACAAAAAGTTGAGAAGAGGATTGAAGGAGGATCCTCCCGGCGTAGTCTCCCGAAGGCAGATGGTAGACACTCTGCTTCAACCTCGTACCTCGGATGATCCCGGCGCGCCAATGGGCGCTCCACTGTACCGAGCGCTTGAGCGCTCGTCACAGCCGCGCGTTTCAACTTGAACTTGTTCGCATAAGGCCGCGGTCATCCATCCGACAGCGTTGCTATCAAGAAGTAGTCACCAAGTTCCGGCAAGATATCGCGGGTGCCTTCAGTGCATTGTCTGAATCGCGTTCTAGCTCTGTCGAAGTGCCTCCTGCAGTTTGTACTCTTGCGTCCTAAGCTGGTGTTGCAGACTCAAGCCTGAAAGTAGTTGACCACTGTGATACTTCTTGTCTGGAGTATAACAGAATAGGCATGGTCTTGTAACTGAGGAGGTATGTACGCTGTTCAGTAGACTCGCGATCAGACGTGCGTCGCTGTCTTTGGGTCACAAGCCATCTTCCGACTTCCTACGCCTGAAGATGATATGATTGCGACCCTAATGCACATCTATCAAGTTTTCTTCCCATTTATAACATTTGTCACTATCTGAACATGCATCTTTATGATCGCTCAGCTTCCCAGTGCACGTCGTCGTTGTCACAATGGGGACGATGTTTGCTACAAATACGTGTCGCGCGAGGCTTCCATGATGCAACTATATAGTGTGCTGATGTGCTATCTTAGGGGCTTTCGGTGCCAGGCAATTTCGCGAATGTCTGACATGTCTAAGTCCGTTGGCCCATTTTGCTTTGCCATTTTCCTGTCTTGTGCAGCCATCCGCCAGCTTTGATTGTCAACTTAGCCTCGTTGTGGTCCTGCTCCTATCAAAGTTATTGATTTATTCGCATCACGTCTGAACCCCTTGGCAATAGAACATCAAACCAGTACCATTTCTCGAGTACTGTTTGGATAGGTGGCCACCATGTCAACATTGCTACCCTTCCACAAAAACATCCTCGAGCAGATCCATGATCCATCCTCCAGCGATCTACTCCTGCTCGCACGCGGACTCGGCCTGCGCCGCATCATCTGCAAGCTGCTACAAATATATGACTCCCCTAACAATTTGGTCATTCTCGTGAATGCTACTCCCGAAGAGGAGGCTGCTATAGGAGAGGAATTAGGTACCATGGGATGCAGGAAGCCAGGGCTACGAGTTGTTGGTTTCGAAACCAACAAGAAGGAAAGGTCGGTCGGTCTTGGTGATCTTGTGTATCATGACCTCATTGCCAGCGGCAGACAGGACTTGTATAAGAAGGGCGGTCTGTTCTCAGTAACATCACAAATCTTTTCGGTCGACATGCTGTCGTCCGATATACCAACGCACCTCATCACTGGAATCCTCATTCTGCATGCTGAGAAGTAAGCACTACTTCCAGTATATGTATGACGTCTTCTCTGATAATGACAAGGGTCGCCCCCGAAGGCAGCGAAGCCTTCATTGTTCGCCTGTATCGCGAAAGAAACCAGAACGGATTTATTAAAGCATTTTCTGACCAACCTGAACACATCACCAGCGGAATATGGCCGTTGCGAACCATCGTCAAGCAGTTGCAGCTTCGTTCGATTCATATTTATCCAAGGTGTGTTGCGAATCCCCCACAGAAGAAAGCAGTCTTGACGGACGAAACGATGCTAGGTTCCACGTGGATGTGAAGGAATCTCTCGATTTAAAACGACCAGACCTGGTGGAGCTTCACCAAAGCATGACTGAATCGATGCAAGAAATACACGTCGCAATCATGATGTGTATGACGACGACCCTCTCGGAGCTCAAGCGAGCGAACACCTCAGTGAGTGCCTTTGCTAACCACGTTGGAGTGTTGTTTGCTCAGTCTTGCACTTAGTTGGACTTGGACGATCTGAATATCGACAATGCGTACTTCAGATCGTTTGACCTGATTGTGCGTAGGATTCTCGACACCGTATGGCACAAAGTCGGACCCAGAACGAAGCAGTTGGTCGGCGATTTAGCCGTTCTACGGCGGCTCCTCAAGTAGGTGCATCTTATCGCGCGTTCCAACCCTACGAGGTTAACATCTACGAGGTTAACGTGGCGTTTACAGCTACCTGCTAACGTACGATGCGCTCGCATTCCATGCCTACCTCGAGACCATTGTTGCTTCAAACACCACTACCGAGTCTGGTGCGGCAAGACAAAACCAATCCCCGTGGCTCATGACAGATGCTGCGCACACGATCTTTCAATACGCGAAGCGCCGGTGCTACACTCAGAGCGTAGTGAAGGAGAAGCCGACGGAAGCTCGTGCTCCTGCGACAGTAGACGTTGATGAAGACGAAGAAGCTTGGGCGGTACTGGATGAGTTTGAGCAGGGTTCGTCTGCGGCGAAACAGCCTATAAACGTACCTGATACGCCACAGCGTCCAAGCTGGCTTCCTGAGGGAATGACCCCGGTGCTGGAGGAGTTACCCAAGTGGAACCTGCTGGCAGACGTATTGCAAGAGATCGAAGAAGAGATGATGCGGCTTGACTCTCGTCTAACATCTCGTGAGCACCTTTACAGCGCATTCGTCTTTTCCATTGTTCATCACTCTGCCACAGTTTCTCCTGGTACGAATACTGTTCTAGTCATGACGTCATCGTTGCGAACATGCACAATTCTGACTGAATTTTTGTCTACGATGGATCCGACTGCGTCTCGCGGTTCGAAGGGGAGAAAGATGATGGAGGACAAATTGCGCTCGTACCTATGGTGGAAAGGGAAGCTCAGCGAACAGAAACAGGACCCAAAGGCTCAGTTCACGCTCAAAAAGGACCAGCAGGGTAGCGATATTGGCCTCAGCGAAGCTCTGAAGCGGAAGGACAAGGAGAAACGAGAGAGAGCTGCGAATCGCAGACGTGTAAGGGGTGGTGCTCATACTGCGTCGTCGTCGAGAGAAAATACTGCAGCACAAGTTGACGCGGAAGTCGAGTTGATTGGCGAGGTCAGCATGAAAGAGGAAGCGAACACTATTGCTAATTTGTGAGTGTCTTTTTAGGTCCAGGTTCTGGACTAACGTGGATCTGCAGCCTCGCAACTCAGGGCGTCCAAGCTCCAGAAGGTCATTTGGCAGAGGATATCACTCTCATTGACTTCGATAGCGATTTTGATGTAAACTATGGACTAGTGGAGCCGCAGCAAACTGTGCTGGTGCGAGCGTACTCGGATGACTCAGACGACCAGGTGCTCTCCGAAATCAAGCCGCGTTTCATTGTCATGTTCGAGCCGAACCTCGAATTCATACGCCGCATTGAGGTGAGGTCCATGAAAATTATCGTTATTCTCTCTTCTTACGGATTCTTCTCCTATAGATATACAGAAACTCGAATCCTGGCTTGGGTGTCCGGGTCTACTTCATGATGTATCGGCTGAGCTGTGAAGAGGCGAAGTACTTGACTGGATTACGGAGAGAGAAAGAGTCCTTTGAGCGTCTTATAAAAGAACGCGCGGTACGTCTGCTATCTCACAGTCTTGCGGGTGCTGATATCCGTCACGATATGCAGACTATGCTCATGCCGATTCTGGAAGAACGCAGAGGCACTGCAGCTGCGGAATCTATCATAAGGACAATCAGCACGAGATTAGCAGGAGGTCGAAAGGATGTTACTGCGGAGCCGCCCCGGGTACGTTGTTATTCTTTAGCACAACTCAACAGCCTCGATGACGTCTCGCAGGTAATTGTGGATATGCGAGAGTTCCGCTCTAGCCTGCCTTCGCTTCTGCATGCGGCCGAGCTTGTGGTCATTCCAGTCACACTGACGGTCGGCGATTACATCCTAACGCCCGACATCTGCGTAGAGCGCAAGAGTATACCAGATCTAGTATCAAGTTTCAATAGTGGGAGATTGTACGTCCACTTTTACTGCCGTCTCGATCACCCCTGATGTGAAGTTCCAGATACACACAATGCGAGTTAATGTCTGTACATTACAAGCAGCCCATTCTCCTGATCGAGTTCGAAGAATATAAGTCGTTCTCACTCGAGGTACGAGCTCCTCATTTATTAGGTCTTCCCCTTGGCTCAAGTGCCACAGGCTATCGCAGAGGTGAAATCCTACGCAAAGGCACCTAACAAATATGCGTCCAAAAGTGGGCCTAAAACCAAAGGAGGTGCCATATCCGAGAACGAAACAGTCGCATCATCCACCATCCAGTCCAAGATTGTCCTGCTCACGCTCACCTTTCCGAGAGTGCGTATCATCTGGTCATCTTCGCCATATGCGACCGCAGAAGTCTTCAAAGACCTCAAAGCTAACAACCCCGAGCCCGATCCTGCCAAAGCCATCGTCATCGGCGCCGAAGAAGACGGCGACGCGGGGACTGGCGTTAACACCGCTGCAGAGGAGCTCTTGCGGACATTCCCCGGCATTACGGCAAAAAACCTCAAGCATGTGATGAACAGCGTCTCGAGCGTCCGGGAGCTGTGTGAGCTCGATTTACCTGCCGTACAAGAGATTTTAGGTGTTGAACCGGGTAAAGCTTGTTGGGATTTTATGCATCGTGGGGAACGGAAACGTTGAGACTTCAACGTTTCAACATGTAAGGTAGTAGTGTACATCACAGATTACATAATGTTCGAACCGGAGGATAGAAAAGTAGGTTACGCGCATTGTAGTACTGTACATGTACAGAGCCAAGACTGCGAGCCAGAGTGTGCGATCCAGAGAAGAATTTCGCCGATAAATGCGGCTGAGAAACGCAGCACACGCTCGTAAACGCAAAAAGAAATCGATGCCAAAGTTTGTTCACACTTCATCGCCACCAACCCAGCGCCACGGCTACTTCACGATTTGCTTTCCCGATCTCAACTGCATTCCCGAAGCTCTGTTGACCCCTCCCGCACGCGCGCCGTGACGAGTAAAGGTAGCAGTGACCGAGCCGGTTTCAGGACCGGAAACTGAACCTGCAAGGCCAGCTGCCGTAGGAGACGCCGACGGTCCAGGGACAATATTACTTACTCCCTGCCGCGCCGGGATGCCATCGCGGAGAGGCTGCAGAGCCTTGGGACGAGGGCCATCCGAATTAGCTCCCTTCCCGGAACGCATCTTCTTCTTTGCCTTTGTGCTCTTCCGGCCGCCGGGGGCATCGGGAGCACGCGATTCATGTACTGCAGCAGTGGGGAGATGGGCTGATGCAAGAGTCGGTGTGCCCTGCGCATTACCAGGGTCAGACGGAAGCGCATCGCCGCCCTGTGCAATACTGTCTGTGGCTTCTGGTATGGGCTTATTGTGCCTCGTCGATTTTCTCGCCCGCGGACGAGCTGCAACTTTCTTTCCTCTGGTCGCTTTCTTCTGGTTCGTCTTCTCAGCTCCCGCGTTTAAGGTTGTTTGATTTGCCGTAGTATCCACCGACTCAGGAGCAGGTAAGCCCACTGTGAATTGCGATTAGGATCAATGTCGGAGAACAAGATCGAGAGAGCTCACCATTAGACACGCCTATGTTGGTCATGACCGAAGTCTGAAATGGAAGGATGTAGTCAAACTTCATCTCTGATGATTGAAGTGAGGACAGCAGTCAGTTCAGCTCAGGACGGAAAAGATGAGTCGACTGAACTGATTTCGAACGCGAAGTCGGCAACTGTGAGGGAGGAGCTACCGCCCGCTTTCTGCCTCCTGACCGCCTCTTCGCAGCACCTCTCCATAAAGGACGCATGTACCTTGCAGAAAATATCAGACATGGTGGCTAACAGCTGCTCACGTAGGTAAGGAATTCTGTTCAGAATGGCCACCAAATGACTGTCGGAAGACTGCTGACCTTAGGTACCCCGACGTCCATGTTCCGCAGCTTGAAGCGCGTACGAAGATACTTCTCAGCCAAAGTCTTCTGTTCAGCCCACTGCGGATCCGAAGGACGCTTCGCAGTGGGGAGACCCTTGATCAACTCGGACAAGACGTCTCTACCCAGCTGTTTCAGCGCCCAATATTTCATTTGTCGACATTATTTGTAAGTGTGCAGATTTGACTGGGATGTCGATATGCTCACCTCAAATTCGATCGTTTCTGGCGTCGGAGTAGTCGTTTGTTCGTTTGCGTATCGCTCCAGGAGGGGAACGGTCAGGCTCTCCCACACTTCCGCATTCTAGCAGATGAGTGGATTAGGTGAGCATATCGTCAGATGCTACGAGGGGGAAAACTGAAGTACAACAGAATCCCGACTGTCGCCGCTGACAGTGACGTTCTCTGCACCCAGGTCAGTCGCTCGGCCCTTCGCCTTGTCATTTCGTTCCACTTGTGCGCCAGAACCTCCGACATGAGATTCATCCTCTTTATTATACTCCTCAGGCCATCCGTTCCAGGTGAGCAGCTTCGGATCAATGCACTGTTGTGCGCTTTGGGAGGAAACCTCAGCAGCCTGGGGAACAGTATAAAAGATTGGTGAGAACGACATCTGGGTAGCCATCTTAGAGGTAACCTGGCCGGGTAAGGAATAGCCCGTCTCCTCGAACCTATCCGCTGAAGACGGGATATTAAGATAATGTTCGATGAAACCTGGATAACCGTCAATCGAACTGGACACCTGCACGTTAATGTCCTCGGTAGACATGACCCTTATCTAGCAAGGGAAGGTGTGTAGTCAGGAACGTCTCTGTCGTCGTGAAAAGCTGGCGAGCGCTGCGGATGGCAGGAGTGTGTGAGCTTTGCGAAGGGCTTGGGAAGCAAAAGGGAGGCGTACAGCTGCCTAAATACTGCCGCTGTGAACCGCTCCAGCCACTGAGGCCCATAGCAGGTCTTCATTGTCGATGGTAATATCCGGATGCTAGTGCATCGGTGACGATTCGACGTTCATCGATTATGCCACTGAAGAAAATGGTGTGTGCTGCACGGGCCTGCCCCACGCAATTCCCTGTCGGTCAATGAGATCATGTCAGATCCTTTAAAAAATCGACGGATACATACAACACACATGTTACATACCGTTAAAATTTGCAAACCATATTCTCTGCTCACCAAAACAGCCGTCATGATGGTAGTTCAGCGGCATCGGATAGAATCTCAGTGAGCGCCCTATGACGCAGCGAGACGTCCCAAAGAAAGGCTACATTGTCCGCTGCGATGCCTGTCGTTTTATAATCACTATTGCGATGGAGACGCAGAACTAATTTTCGGCAAAGCTACAAAGTGGCAGCCACGCAAACAAGATGATGGTGGGCGATTCAGAAGTACAACGAGAGTGATGTTTGTCGCATTGCAGCCGATCATGGAGTGCTCCAGGGTGCCCGCCACAGCGAACAAACAGTGGTCAACGAAGGCGGTTTGTTCCGCAGTTGCATGTAACACTGCTCTGCTACCAACATCCATTGCGACAGCCTTCGACTGAAGGGAGAGTGGGAAGGCCTTGCGCTCCACTTCAGCGCCAGCTTTGACGGTGAGTATTGTACTTAGTTGATAGACCCTCGATTTAGTCCGCAGGAGTTGCCGAATTGGGCAGGTATTGTGCTGGCCACTCTATTGTTTCTCGGGATGGTAACGGATACAACAATTGCTCAGGCCCACCTTCGGCTCCGCACCGCCATCTCCCTCAGTGAGCGTGTGTTCCGCAGAACAAGAGGTATTTTATGTGACCCCGCGCTTTTGTTTCTTACATATAACAGAAACCTCCTCACTCCCGACCTTACGGATCCTGACTTTCCCGCGTACTGTGTGCGCGTCCTACCTCACTACTTTAACGACTTCATCCTCTAATTCTAAATCATCTTCGACACTTTCGATATGGCCACGCCAAAGACCTTTTCATATTCTGACGTCCTCCCGCCTACTTCGAACATGCTCGACACTTACCAGCGTGCCCGTCTCGTACGTTCCGCTAGGAAACTTGGCGCCGTGCTCGGTAGTACGCCAAAACTCATTGAGGTTGAAGCCAACCCTCAGCCGATTCCTATAACATTACTTCCCATCGGACGCATCCCTCCTACTAGTCGTTCGGCCACGCCACAGTTCATCCCGTCTCGTAAAGACACACCATCTCCCATTCCTATCACCCCCGACTTGATTTATTCCTCGGCATCCTCCAACTCCTCCATGGCCTCGCTCGTTCTCCCTCGCGGAAGTACCGATTCTGAGCGCTCCATTGATTATGTGCCACACGAGCCTCTTGTGCGTCCGTCAAAGCATACACGCTCACGTTCGAAGCCCCTTCCGAAGCCGTTAATCCTTCGGCTCAACGCCGTTCCTACTTGCCCGTCTGACCCGCGCTTGCGCGTCACCCCCGCCACCCCTCTCTCTCCTAAGGTCTCGCCACCTACCACTCCCGTTCCCGTGAGCGTGGCAGAGACCCGCCGGCGGAAGATGGCGAAACTACAACGCACATTTGGCGAGAACATCCCGGTTGATGCCGTGTTTCCCTCTGCACAGCCCTACGAGCGCTCCGCATTGCTCAACGTACCGGGCACGCAGCCATATTCGAACCCGAAGTCCAAGGATCGTAGGCAGAGGAGCATGTCTGTCGACGGCGCGATTGCTCCGCAGAGCGTGCGACGGTCATCCAGGGTTTGGATCACTGGGAGCAAAGGGTGGACGGGCGAGTGGAACCGGAAGGACATCCGCGAGGTGCAGGACCAGCTGCGTACGCTGAAGCTGTGAAAGCACATCATAATGCACAGGCTGGGTTGCATGGGTACGGTTACTTGCTCATATCTTTATCATCGTGAGGGCGTCGTTTGATCACGACTTGGATACTTTTCAAATATCGTTCTCCTGCCATCTTTATTCGACCGCGATGGACGTGCAATTGGCTGTATTCATATCTGTAGAACGTATTACCTAAAATTCTCCCTAATGAAGTAGTTGATCGTTTCCTGGACCACTTCTGGTTGATTATTGAGCGCCAGCGGAAGAAACGAATTCGAAGGACATGTTCACTTTTTGTGATACCTTTCGGCTCATATTTTAGGCAACCCTACATGCGTATTTATGGTCGCAGGTGCCAGGGCCGCACTGTGGCTCTCCCTGCGTCTTGACCTCCATTTTACAGAATCATCCGGCATCCCAATAAGATTGTTCAGTGTGAGCCTTACCCCGATTGTGCGACCCATATCTTTGTTCCAGCCAGGAAAGCTTCTTGCCGCTTTACCGTGCAGCAGTCTCGCTGATCAGAGCCAGTGGCAAGTAAGTTTCATCTCCTGAATCGTGTGTCAGGTTGTTAACCTCAGGCATATTAGAAGTTTGCTAGGAATATTTCGACCACAAACAGCATGGAGGATGTTCCGCCGTCAGAAATGCCACAGCTTCCACAGCTTCCTATGGATGCCAAAGAGTCGGAGTCAGATATTCAAACATCTGTCTCTAAAGTCGTTGTTGTATCCCCGGTGGCATATATAAACCGAATTCCCAACGAATTACTAAGACACACCTTCGAGGTTGGTTTTCTCGCTATCGACGCTGGACATTGGACGTTCACCAGAAGCGTCGCATCTATATGTACATTATGGAGGGACATCGCACTGGATATGTCCCTGCTGTGGACAAAGGTGCCCCCGCTGACTTTGGACAGCCCTCTCTCGCCCGATACCCTCGATATCTGGCTTCCTCATGCTCGCCACCGCACGCTGGACTTCGATCTCTTCGCAGAGGGATTTAACGAGGATGCAATTCAGGCCGTCATAGGCGCACTTACTTCCCACGCGAATCGTTGGAGATCGATGGAAATCTATACGAACAGATTTAGTGCCATGATCAAGGTGTCGGCGAGTTTACCGTCACATGCCGGCAACTTGGAGCAGCTGATCTTGAACTGCGGTGCTCACGATGACTTACATGACCCGGAGATCATCAGGCGGGACAACGATGTTTTGAGGATGAAAGCGCCAAGACTGCGAAATCTGTATCTTGAAGATTTTCCCTGCGTTCCATTCGGTTTCCTCTTCCACCGTTATTTCCCCAAGCTGGAGAGACTTGACCTCGTGGGTAGTTCCTTGGACTCGTTGATGATTCCTGGCAACGACCCATATGCTCGCCGGCCTAGTGTTCTGATGAAGACCCTCACGGCCCTGCCGCATCTGCGATACCTTCGAATCGCTTCGCTGTCTCTTCACGGCATATACGAGGCCACCCCGGAGACCGATCGAGCGATCCTACCGGCGCTGCAGGAAGTCGAATTCAAGGATGCGCACCTGGAGCACACAATAACGGTCTTAGAAGCCATGGAGGCACCTCAACTGAGGTTCATGTCCTGCATCTATCCACGGTCTGATGATGACTTCGACGATGAGAGCCCCATCATGCACGACCACTTGCACCATTTCCCTCGATTCCGGATGCTCAAGGTGATACCTGACAGGACGTTCACCGTCAATGAGTACCTGTCCCGCTTCGTCGGTGACTTAGAAACAGTGGACTTCATCTGTGGTATGGATTGCCTAGATGAGAAAATTGCCGACCTGATCAACCTCGCTGGCAGCGGGGAATTTGGGGATGACTGGTCAGGATACTTCCCCCGACTCATCGGTCTGGACATCCACAAGCATGCCTTCGGCGTTACTGCTGCTACCCTGCGAAAAATTGTCAATGAACGCCTTGGAGCGAGGTACTTCAGTTCTTTCGTGTCTGGAGCGGGAACAGATGGCGACCATCAACCACCTACAGCGCTCGAAGAAATCCATGTATGCACTTCTACGCAGATATCAGCAGCAGATCGCTCCTGGTTCGCAGAGAGCACCGAGGTGAAATGTTTCTCGTGGTCCGATTCTGCGTCGTGCTTGGCGGAGGAGCAGTATGAGGATGGCCGTAACCATGAAGATGGCTGGCTGAGATTGACTTTCGCAGTTAGCTACCTATTCAATTTCAGTGTGCGCATTGATCCTTTGTAACTGTTGTACGCAGGACTGGTAACAGAGAGAATTGTGGGATGAATGCCAGTGCACGTGCACCGTGTTGTTGTCGCTTATTTATTTCGCATCGCGTCCCGCACAGCCACCCGGCTCCGAAATTCTTCAACATCGACTTCATTTCCTCGTGTCGAACGTTCGCAACCCGTTAGTCGCGTAGGCGAAGTTTAAAGCTGCAAGGTCTGTGCTGGTTCAACTATTTCCACGGTGTTTGTTGTCCGAGGTTAACACTTTGTGTGGTCGAACTAGAACAATAAGTCGAACAACAGTACCATGTCGTCGATGACGCATCATACGATTCAGCAGAAGGCTACATGCGATGCAGACGTGGATCTACTGAGCCAAAATGTAGACGCGTTGAATACTGCCATCGACGCACGAGCCAAGGAAATCTCCATCTTAAATGATCTTCAGACCGGCCTGATATCCCACCGCGATCGCCTATCTTCCCAGACTGCACCGATCCGAGTTCTTCCTGAGGACGTTCTGCGCATAATTTTCGAGGCTGGGTTTACCGACGGACGGAATAGACGGAGCGATTGTCCGTTACGGCATAGCATGACGTTCTCAATCCGTGTCGCATCAGTGTGCAAGATGTGGAGAGACATTGCGGTCCACACTTCGCTGTTGTGGACTGCTATATTCGTCTACTTAGACCGTGAACGCTCCATTCTCGGTCTTCGTTCGCTCGTGCAGCGAGCACAAAGCCGGAAGATTGACATTGCCATAGAGGAACCCTTCGAGGACTGCCCGCTCGAGCCATGGATTTTGGCGTCCGGTGTTGTACTATTGCTGGTCTAATACATCGACTCGTGGAAATCCATGTACATTGATACTTGGACTCCGCGTACCATGCAGACGATCACATCACTCTGGAACGGCACTGCAGAATCTCTGGAGGAGCTGTCGGTGCTTTGCCAAACCGAACCACGCAAGACTTTTGATCTGAACTTGGCTGCGCCCAAGTTACGGCGCATAGTCCTTGTAGAAGCCGCGTATCTTCCTTACCGCATGAACTTGGCATATCATTTCCCTGCTCTGGAGCGGATTGTCCTGGAAGGGTTTGCTCTGGAATCGCTCATGGGGCCTGACCAGCAGTGTAAGGACGTTATAGACCTGCTGGTGCCACTACCACATCTCCGGAGCCTGGATCTGCGTTTTCTACAACATGGGACAGCGATTCCTCCGCAATATCAGTTCGATCGAGTGTTGCTGGCCGATTTGGAATCAATATCCTTTAAATTTCTGCATCCAGACGATGTCTCTGAATTCATGTCGGTGTTTTACGCCCCACGTTTGGCATCCATGCATTACACGATGCCTAACACGGAGGACCCTTACCGGATCCCTCTCGTATTTGATCATACCCGCTATTTTCCCCAGCTCCACACTCTCATTGTCGAATGTGACCACAGGAACGAGCTTAAAGTCGACTCATCCTTCGCTCTTTTCCTCCACGGTTTCAACCACGTCGAATTTGTTGACTTTACTAGTGGCGAATTTGCCAGCCTCGTCGGACTAGCGGGAGGATCTGTGTCGATGGGAGACTGGTCAGCTAGCACCTCTCCACCGGTATCCTTGGAGATTCAATACACCCCTGTCACTGGCGTTATTGTCAAATCACTCCGCCAAGTAATCGAGACACGTCGTGTTGCAAGCCTCCCGGATCCCACTGATCCCGAGATGGAATTGGCACCCGCGTTAGAAGAACTCCATGTTTGCACACAAGAGAGGATCTCGGACGAAGATCGCAGCTGGTTCGAGGAGAATATACGAACATTTACGTGGTTGGAAACGGGGTCGAACAAGGAGAAGGCTGGGGAGAATTGGACTCCTGGATCTGGCTGGATGCGGATGACCTTTGCTCCTTGTGAAGATCTACATTTTCGACTTGTGCAATGACGTGGCACACTCGCTCATTTCGGCTCATCCATTATGGGGGATTATGCTATGGTACTCCTCAGGGTGTAGCGGTAGGTGCAACGAATTATTTAATCTATGCAAGAATTTGTACGGCTTATCGTGCGGACTAATTCTACGTTAGTCGATCCTAAATATGCACGGCGGTCAGGTATGCTGCGACACGATTCCGTGTCAACCTCGCCACGATCAACTCGAGGATCTGGGTTTTTCTTTCTGCTGCTGATTATGTCTGTACGGCACATTCTCCGCGGTCCTCTGTGTTTCGTGACAGCACTGGTGATCCGCATTGGCCAGGGTGACCGAGAGAGCCTCATACCAATTAGGTACGGCCTGGTCCGCGAGCAGAAATAGGCCGATCCACGGCGGCGACGGGACAGCACGCCCGCGATCCTCAAGCCATGCCCCAATCAGCGGGAGGGGCACCTCCATCTCACGGAGGGCGCGCACGATCCTGTGCGCCATATCAGCAAATGCAAACGCGCGGCAAGCGCGGTGACGCACCCGCCGATGTCGTTGATGAGCATGACGATCTCGACCCCGCGGTCGGTGCTGCACACGCGCACGGGGCCCGCGAGGTTGAAGTCGACGAAGACGACGCTCTGGGCGGCGTCTGGCGGGGCAAGGATCATATTCCGCTTGTCGACGTCGCCCTGGAGCACGCCGCATAGCGTGAGGCTGTGCAGGCACGCGGCCATCGCGTCTGCCTGCGCGCGGTCAGTGCGGGGCGCGAACGCGTATGGGGAGCGACGTACGAGCGGCCAGACGAGCGCCGGTGGCGCGTCACGCAGGCATACGCTGCGCATAGGCTCGCCCGGGACGAGCTCCATCGCGTGCGCGTACGCGAGCTCGCCGTACGGGAGCCGGAGCTGCGTGGGCACGGATTATCAGCCTGCTTTGGAGCGAGAGGAACGCGAAACGCACGCAGTAGAAGCCGTACGACCACGGGACTTCCTTCCCTGCACGGCGTCAAGGGAGAGTCTGGTCAGCACGTGGGGGGACGCACCTTGGAGAGCGCGCATGCATGCGTACGCACGTGCTTCAGCGCGGGCCTGCTTCCCGCTGAACGGCCAGAAGCCCTGATCGAGCCCGCGGTCGGGGGCGAATTGCCATGGGGGCCCCAGCGCGCTTTCTACGAAGAGCTTGAGAACAGTAGGGGCGCCGAGGGTCTCTGTTGACGAAGTTACGCGCGGAGAAGCGGGGGACGCGTGGATTGTGCCCTGCCAGACCTGGGAGGAGGCGGGGATGCCGGTGTTGATGGGATGGGTGAGCGTGATCGTGATAATTGAGTGGGGGTTGGCGAATGCGCTGTCAAGGACGGCTGCTGGAACGGGGCGGCGGTCGGCGGGGGGAGGCGTGTCGGACCAAGGGAAGTTGAACGCGTGCCAGCGCGCGACGACCTCGACCGGATATGGTTTGTCGCCTAGAAGGTATTCTCTAGAGGCCTCCCCGTGGCGATGTCGTTTGTCAAGATACGCGTTGAGTGCGACATCGTCATGTGGGTCGTCCCACGCGAAGAACGTGTCGTTGGGAAGGTCGAAGGAGGTTATATCTGGGAAGTCATCAATGTTGGGGATATCGGAGGGCGCTGCCATGGTATAAAGGTATCCAGAGAAGATATCGTTCCACGCTCGACCTTGAAGTAAATTATCAGTTTTGCGAATTCGTCTTGCCTGAGAGTCAAAGATATAATTCTGCCCGCCAGCCTTCGCCTGTTCATGCTGGGAAAGGATGCCCAGGCGCATGTAGCATTCCGGGCTCTATTCGCTGAGAGGGATTATTATTCTGCAAATTTTCGTATACTCCAATCGACTTCTCCGACGGCCAGAGCGACCAACAGTCGCCACTGGCGGTGAAAAGGCAGTACAACCAGCGGAGAAAAATCATCCAACAGACGTGCCAGAAGGTGCCAAATTATTGGACAAAAGACTTGGAAAGAACCGACTGAGGGACTGGAAGTTCGATGGAACTAGTTAGATAATCAGTTCTGCAGAACTCACTGGGTAGCTGCACAAATTCGCCACCATTAGGACATTATTTGAGAGCTGAATGCACATGCAAGTTGTCGACTATGTTCGAACTATACACTTTCGATGTTCATGCCAGTGCGCCAGGCGGTCGATACTTACGCGACATTGCTGACGTCCGCCGCCAAGCAGAAATCTGAAATCTGATGGTATTTGCGCATGTTTGGCAAAAGCCTCTCGGCCACGTGATAGTGACGCGCTCTGACAAGCTCGCGGTCAACGCAACTTGAATGTGGAGACACCTCGAAGCCTGTCCCTCGTCACGCCAAGTCGAAGGTACACGTGCACCAGGGAGGCACTCGAATGACTATCGCTGGTGGGGCAGAGAGGTGAGGCTAGTTGTGGCACGGAAGAATTAATGGTGACATCAGTGCAGTTGGAGTAGGTGCCCCAATGCACCCGTTCGCTCAAGAGAATATCGGACATGACGTCGGCAAGCGCCATGACGCACCCGCCCTCTTATAAGGCCGCCGCACCGCTCCCCGCTGCCTTCAACTTTCACCCCCTTCTTTCTCGCTACCACCATGTCCCTCCCTCAGGCCACCAAAGACATCAGCGAGCACCCCGCCGCCAACAGCGTCGTCGACCCCGTCGACAAGGGTGCCAAAGCCGCGGACGTCGACCGCAAACTCCTCTTCTTCGGCGTCGTCTCGGCCTTCCGCGAGTCCCGCATGCCCTCCAACCCCCAGATCGACGCCGCCCTCCAGTACGCCCTCGCCCACTCCCCCATCGACACAGCCTCTCTTTCCCCCGACGGCCAAAAGCTCATCCAGGACTCGCGCGACATCATCGAGACTGCCCGCCTCATCGTCCAGGAGAAGAACGCGGATGAACTCTTCCAGAATTTCGTCTGGCACACCCGAGACATCGACCTCAGCGGCGCCAAGAAGGACCCCAGCGAGGTCGTTCCGGTCGACCAGGAGAAGGCACGCTCTGATGGCCAGCAAGCCGTCCAGCATCTCCGCACACTCCTGTCCCTCATCCTCACCAACTCAGAAGTCCGCAAGCTTCTGTCTGACTTCAGCGTCATCGGACGCGATCTCCTCGCACGCGGCGCGAGCAAGCTCGCTGATAAGGCGCGTCCGGACGAGGAGCGTCTCCGTCAGGTGGACGAAGCTGCTCCGCGGGACCAGTTCATCACAGAGGGCGGGCGTGCGGCAGGCCTGAACGAGACACCGGTAGGTATATGCGCCCGAAATTCGTCATCCTGCACTTTGTTGACCTTTATATTCACCAGGTTCTTGAAGCACGCATCCCAGGAACAGACACCACAGTGTCTCAGCACCCACGCGATGAGCTCGGCCAGGGCGCGATGGTCAAGCAGGGTGACGGTGAACTGAAGACTGGTGCACAGGCCATGGACGAGACACAGCAGCGCGCAGGCGAGATGGCAGATCGCGCCAAGGTAGCGCGTCTCCGTGCATGATTACATGGGCTATAACTCATTCCCGTCTTCTGCAGAACGAAGTTCAGCTCCAGCGCGACGAATTTAGCGACAGTGTCGGCGGCGACGCCGTCCCGGAAGATCAAACGGACGCCGAGGCGAAGAAACAAGGCTTCATGGGTAAAATGCGCGGTCTGCGTGTACGTTCCGTCGTTCCTCTGTAGCATCTGGTCCAATGTTCATAATCTCGATGTACAGGATAATCTTACGGATCGCATCCCGCAAGAAAACAAGGATAAAGCGAACGACCAATATGACCGTGCGAAGCAGTTCCTCAGCGAAGAATACTTCCCAGAGGAACGTAGAGACCAGTTTATTTACCGTGGAAAGAAGGTGAGTACCGCTTTTTCACCTCTGTGGGAAATCGAATGGCGCATGTATGCGTGTGCCTCGCTTTTTTGGCGCATACATTCGCTTGTCCATGACGGTGCATATATGCGCCGAATTTCCCCACTCCTCTTTCCTCTTGTATACTCAGTGAAGTCAGTGCTAAATGGGCTGGTAGGTTATCATTGAGTGCCAGAAGCACAAGGACTACCAGGCATCCATCCAATGGCTTCTCAATTTCTTGGAAGAATACGCGTCGCACGGCAAGACGATTGCAGAGCACGGTGCGTACAGCTTACTAGAGATACTTTGGAAGGCTCATCACTTGTTCACAGGCAAAGACTCCCAGGAGAAGGCGACATCAGATCCAGCACTGCAGCAGGCAATAGGCGAGCTGCGCACTCTGCTTGAGCGATTCGCGAACGGCATGAGCCTGAGTGTCATTGGTGACGCGATGCAGGAACTATGGAACGACGCACAGAAGGATCGGGAACTGCGTGAGTGGTTCCAGAGTGTGGATAAATACACGCGCAAGGTATTGCTCGACGCGGGCTTCGTGCTCGAGCCACGGTGCAACGAAGAGGCAAATCGGCTGTGTGAGAGCGGCCGCCAATTCTACGATGAGAAGTATAAGGGTCATTTCGATAACTTGTTCTCGAGCACTGGGGATTGGTTCCGTGCTCTGGGCGACGATCCCTTAAACAAGAGGTATGTGCTAGGGACTGGCCTTCGTCTTGAACTCTGGATTGACTATTTTATAGGTTCGGCGAGGATTGGGCCCGGTTGACGAAAGATTTGCTATTCGACAGCGAAGGAAGCCTCAAGTTTAAGCCGGAGCTGTGGATGGATATCCGCAAGGTTATCCTCCCAGGTATCATTGACCACGTACGTTCCGCCTCCATGACTCCTTCGGCGGCTAAACGTTCTTTCGCAGGTTGGCTACCTCCCTATCCCTCGCATCGAATACACGGATGACTCGCTCGACCTCGTAGTTGAAAATCTCGCATTAAAGGGACGCAATCTCTTCCCCAACATCGTTAGCATAGAGGCACACAACTTCCTCAAGTTTAGCCCTTATGATGCTATTCAGTGCGTTTCTTCGTCTTGGTCCTAATGCAGCAGGAGTTGAGCGTGTCACAGGGACGAGAGCCATCACGAGTTTACTCTGACGTTTGGCCAGATTCAAGCGGACATGCGCGACGTCGCATTCTACTTCAAGAAGAAGACCGGAATCAAGTTGTCGGACTCGGGACTTGCTGACGTCCTCCTTGGCGGCGAGGGTCTTACCGTTACGGCACACGTCACGTCGGCGGGTAAGGACAAGTCGTCCGTGTTCAAGGTGAAGAACGTGCACGTGAAGGTGGCAACTCTCAAGTTCTCGATCCGCGACTCGAAACACGACATCTTGTACAAGACACTACGACCACTTGCGACGGGCTTGGTGAAGAAGCAGTTGCAGAAGGCGATCGCGGATGCGGTTACTACGGGTCTGGAATACGTCGATGGACAGCTCGTCGGCGTACGCGACCGCATGGCGGAGGCGAAGGCGAGCGAAGATAAGAGTCGGACGCAGGTGTTGCAAGAGGTGTGTTTTTCCTTCTTATGTCATGAGCCCCTTTTGGCGTGGTTCGATGATGCATGCATGTAGATGTTCAAGCGCAACAAAGAGGAGGCACAAAGTGTGAAGAGCAAGACGGATGATAAGAACGCGCACTTCAAGATCGTGTCCCGCCGTGACTCCGCGATCATTCCGAATGCGGGCCACCCGTCCGGCTGGGTGAATCGCACGCAAGAGCGCGAGGATGCTGCTGTGAAGGGCGATGCATGGCGCAGCAAAGCGTAAGTGTTCTCAGCTATCTGCCCCCTTGGCTGTCTCACAGATGGATCCACATAGGTTCGACATTGTGTAGATGGGCGTGGTAATGCCATTAGGGGCTACGGTAATTTGGTCGATACACGGTTTACGTTCAACTCTCATATCCCGTAAAGTAGTGTGTTGTAGCATACGATGTGGAGAATTACTAGTTCTGTAAGTTTTCTAGTAATCGACATCGTTTCTTGTACAATATCCGCGGGTGCGCCACAGACGCGTCGGAATCACGTGGACGTGTATCAAGCCTTCCTGAATCCGTCGCCTTCCCCTACTTTTGTTCTCTCTCCATCTATACTACATCCATATATTCAATTAGGCTTATTTCGAGTGATATACGCTGGAACTCATTACACACCAGCCGTACCGACTCCTCTGCGCCGTCGTCAAAGAGGGTGTCGTCAATGACTCCGACCTGTATACCATTGAGCTGGCATCCTCCAAGGACTACATTGCGCACTTACGCTACGAGCTCGGCGAGAAAACGTTTCTTGCGCGGAATATCCGTGAATGCGACCTGAAATTATGGAAGGCCCCGCATGGGCCCGCTATAGGGACCCGGGATCCTCGCCTCTTAGACAAAATCGCCTATGGCGTACCGTTTGTACATTTATTGTTATCAGCAAGACGTACCAGCGCAGCATAGCGTGTAGTCAGCATATCATGGAAACAACATATCCTAAATTGAATAATTGTACTTATATAATGACCTCGGATTTTGCGGTGTACATGCAGTATTTGCACTTGTTAGGATCCAAAGGCGTCGGCCCCTCGCATCCGTTGCACCCTTCAAGCCTGGCGGCATTCATGCACCTGCGCTGCGTAATATTTCGGACATCATACAACCCACGATCATTTCTAACTGGTGCAAAATATCTATGTGCATGCCTGCGCGGATGATGCGATCAAGCGTAGAAGTGGCCTCGGTGACGTGCTGGGATGCTCCTCAGTAAACACCTGTTTGCAGCTGTTCGGTGCTCGTTTACTCTCTCCCTCTCCGTCATGCTATATCCTCCCTTGTCTGTCATTCACCCTTCCTCATCCGCTCCCTGTCGCCGCATCTGCAGTGCTCGCTGTCACCATCGCCATGCTCGCCCTCGTCCTAGGCCGTCGCTGGACTACGTGCGGAAATATATTTCTTGTCCTCGAGGGGATCCGTGCTAGGGTCAACCCAGAGGTGAATTCAAACTCTGTGCAGACTGATAAGTAAAGGACACTGGTGAGGGTACTATGCCAGGACTTGATCACTCACCACAGATAATGTCACAACGGGGCGAACACAGTTACTCGGTGTCAAGGACATGCGGTGTGACGCAATGCACTCCAGGTTTGATATTCAGACATCTGGTGAGCAAAGTCAACCTTGCCATACTCCCCATTTCTGCATCCCGCGACCTTGCCTGCGCAAATGGTGCCGCTCTTCAGGATGTCAGCCTCCCTGTCCTGCCACCCGTCTCGCACCGTCTGTCATCGATATCACATGGTCTTGGAAGAATGAATGACGTACCTGCATCGGGCCCGCAGACAAGACTCGATTTTTTGATGTCTGGCGAGTGAGGCCAGGGGGTGGTGCCGATGCACTCATCTTGTCGCCGCGGTGCTGTCAGTGTTCTGCGTTGGCCACTCGTGTTAGACATACAATACATTTGGACCACCAGGGATCGACGGCGACCACTCGTGGCCGTGGCCCTCGGCCAGCCCCGCGGTGGAAACTGTTTATTTCTATGTCCGACGACCACGTTGGTCACTCGCTCGGCGTAGTACATTCAATGACGAGGTAGTAGCCCACTTTGTAACGTTCTCCGTGAATGCTATGTCCGGAACAATTTTCTCGCCATCCGCACCAACCGCGTTAGTGATCTCAAATGCAGCGAGTATGTTTGTCATCGCGAGCCATGCCGTGCTTTCAGCGAGATGATGCCCTGGCCAAACCCTGCACATGTCCGAGTAAGCATCATCCACATCCGCTCAACCGATTCTGTGAATAAGCATGGAGAACTCACCGTCGACCAAACCCAAATGCTGTGTTGAAATGTGTCTCCCCATATCCAGCCGGTTCAGGTAAGAACCTGTCGGGATAAAACCTGTCCGGATCGCGGTAGACCTTCTCGTCTCGATTGATTGCCCTGCGATGTGAGAGTCAACCGTGCTGCATCACTCTTTCAAAACAAAGTGCCTACGTGACATTAGGAATCACGAGCAATCCCTTCAGTATGAACATGCCGTCGTATATGTCGTCTTGAATCGTGCGATGAGCAATGCCTGCAGGAACGAGCGTCAGGACTGCGGTACGCCAAGCTCGGCCTGAGCTCATCGATGCTGACCGAGTGGAAAGACAGGATGCTACCTACGCAATGTCAGCATCCATTTCGCCGTGCCAGAGGTAGGTACTACTTACCGTGAAACCTCCTGCAAGACACATTCTAGATATGGTAGGTCTGCGCGGTCGCTGAAGTCCGGGAGCCTTTCAGAGCCGACAATGTGGTCAATCTCCTCGCGCGCCTTCCGTTGGGCGTCAGGGAAGAGTAGCATTGCGTAAACGAACGTGAGGAGGTTGGACCACGTCTATCACTTATGTCAATATGTAAGGGATCTCGTGAGTACTAAGACCGACCGTGTCAAAGCCGCCTAACAGACAGAAGACGTGACAAAGTACTGTGCATAGTGAGTGCTAAGCGTACCTATGAGTAGCATAGCCGCAGTTGTTTTGATATATTGGACGTTCTCGTCACTGAGGTCCCCTGCTTGACTACACCGCTATAGATGAGAAGAGGTGTACGACCGCCGAGCTATCCCAGCATTCTGAAAGCTTGTCAATATGTGGCGAAACGGACAATGACCAGAAAGCACCATCTGCGCCCGTACAGCGTCGAATGGAACGTCGTACATCCTTGAGACTGCAGGGCACCACTTTCTAACAGCCGCACTGAACGACGAACATCCGGAAATCCAGGGCGGGATATGACGCACTGTCAATTTAATCATTACAGATAACATGCAACGGGATGAGGACATTGGCCTACGAAGTGGGAATAGATCGAGCAGAGACGTCCCCGCAGCCCCAGCTTCCACCGCATGTGTTGCGTCCTCACCGATCTTAATGTATTCGTCATCGTTGGAGAGCACCTGGTGGCCGTACGTGAGGTCCATGATAATCCCCGCAGCAAGTCTGAAATTTGACCTAAATCCGTGGAACTTGAGATAAGTAACAGATACAATACCGTTCGATGGCCAATCCAGAATTCTCAGATGATGTCAGTATGTTCTTGAGCATCAATCCCACTTCTCGTAGTTGCATGTCCTGATGGGCGACGCAGCATTTGGCTAACGGATGTTCTTGCAACATCCGCCTCTGCCGCCGCCACTGCGCGCCGTATCGCAACAGCACTGTCACACTTCCCAATCCCATCCTGGTCAAATCGTTAGTAAGAGCACAGCGTGTGGCTGATCTGTTGAATTGAGCATTGGGCACAATCTGTCGGATCCAAGGACGTACGGCTCATCTACGATGAGGTAGGACAGATTCCAGAATGGGTGGTGCTGTCAGGAAGGGGCGCGAGTACGAACTATTGTTCTCAGCCTATCCGTAGACGTGTTATTATCATTGTCATTATTTGTTAAATGAACGTACGGATACGTCCCAGTGCTCCATAACTCTGATGAGCTCCTGGAAGTCGCCCTTCACCGCGAGATCAGCCAAGGTAGGGAACAGCAGTTCGTACAGATCCTTCTGCTGTTCCGGCGCAGCCACAGTTTGTGGTGTGGGCTCTGCTACCTGTGAAGGCTCTTCTACCTGCACGGTCGATGGCTCTGTGCTTGGCGGTGCTGGTGCTGATGGTGGTGAAACAGAACTCCAGGCGGCATCTTCAATTTCTGCAGCAGTGGTCAGGGGAGCTGCAGGAGGTCCTGTCTTTTTGCGGGGCTTGATACAACAGGCATTGAAAACAATAATAGTCCACCGACTGCAGATCGCAGGTAGGGAGCACAAGGCAAGCGCCCACAGAACGATTTGGCCGTTATTGAATCACCCCAGATTTTGTGTGTGAACAGCCAGTGCAGGGCCGCATACATGCCACAGAGAGGGCCCACAGTGCAATGTGCATCCTGCTGCCATTAGCACTACGAGTGACCAATACATGGCCAGTGGAAGAGGAAGGGGTAAGGGATCGCCACCTGTGTCCGCCGTCCGCGTCGCGGCTCGAAGGCGGGATCCTTGACTGGGCTGCCCATATATGGAAACAGTCCCTCTTGTTTTCTGGAGCTCCAGAATTTCGCACCTCTAGTCATCGTAAACAGATGCGCATTTCATGGTTTGAATTTTATACATGCATTGTACAACACTATGGTACTAGTCAATATCCCATGGGTTGTCCTTCGTCTCCAGGAGGTCATCGGAGAGTTGCAGGTACGGATTTTTGTGTTCTGACCCACGCGCCATGAACACTGCTTCCCAGTCCTTTTCGTGTATACCATCATTCACTCCCGCAGCAGTAGCTGGGTCGGCATCATTACTGTGGTCTACGTCCAAGGGGGCTCCAGGAGCATTGATGCCCTCAACTGCAGGTGAGTTCGCTCTCGATGATGCGTTATCGTCAGACCCATTGACAAGTAGTTCTTCGACTGTCGGCGATGTGAGTCTGAGTCTGCTCGACAGCAAATATGAATAGAATCGTACCCATAGCAGGTGGTGGGCTGTTGCCCGATTCAGCAGCAGCCAAGATCTCCTTGACGGTGGGTAGTGTCTCTGAGTCTGAGAGTTCGATAACGGCTGACGCCGGTTGAGACCATTCATTAGTCTACATATCTTTTGCACCATCAACACATACCATTGTGATGGGTCTCTGTGGCACTGGGTACCATTTTCCCCTTTCCCTTCAGATTTTGCGGCAGGAACTCGGACTCGGAGGGACCTACAGAAGATGCATCATCATCCGAAGCATCCACCGCTGGTGCGATCCAATTATTGGTGTAAACTGAATGAGGTATTTCAACTTTTGATGCTGGAGTGCATGCACAGCACCTTCGTGAGTATGCGCAATACACTTGTGTGTTGTGACACTCACCTATGTATAATTTGCGCTCGGTCCATTTGCGCCCATTTCCACCCTTATATTCATTCAGGACTTCACCATCAACAGGTGTATCATCAACGATAGCAAGGGAATTTGCAGATGGCCGCTCGCAGAGGACCCAAGGTACGTCATCCTTGTCTACCTTAGTGCGCATGTATTCAAATGCCTCAGGCAGAAGTTGAGCAAACCACATATTGATGCGCTTCACATTCCACCCAGTCCGGAACTCAAGTGATGCATCCTTGTGTGAGCATGCAAGGCCATACTTGACGAAGCGAGCAATCTGAGGATGTGTAGGACCCCGCGCTGTGTTTAGGTTACCGTCCTCATCCTAAAAGAACTTGTGAGCACAATGTACCATGTATTAGTGGCGTGCAAACCATGCCATCGGGCAGGAGAATGACATGCCCGATCTTGATGATTTTGCCTTGACTCGTATCTGTCGCCTTGATACCCTTTATATGGTCATGAGTCTTGGCACTTTCATATGAAATGCACGCTCACTTTGGCTTTTTTAGAGGGGCCTGCGGTCATGGTGTCTATAGGTTGGCGCTTGAGACCAGAGTTAGTCTCTTTCACGGCGTCCTCAACCGAGACCTGGATGGCTGCAGTGGATGACGATGCAGCTGTACGGATTCTGGATCCAGGTAGGCTTGCAACACCTGACCTATTCTTCAGTCCATCAAGAAGTGCAGCAATTGTTGGCGGTCCCTCGGAGCGCTGCTCTGATCCATCGGGATGAGCCGTCTTGATGTGCTTACACTGACGGCACAACTGTGGGTCATTTGGCCCGACGTCGGCATCATCAATGCCATCATAGCGCTGACAGTAGCAGTCGGGATGTGCGCATTTGGCCATCTGTGGAACAAGGCTCTGTCGAACTGGCTTTGGAAGGAGAGTAAGAGAAAATTTCAAGGACACATCCGACCCTTCCAAGTGAGTACATTCTTGTCACGTGCATTCAGCAACACACCCGTGTCGAATGCTATAGGATCTCTTGACGTCTACTCAGTATAATTTGGTACATATTGAAGTGGGTATATTTGGAGTAGTCTGACTATATAGCTCTTGGGAACACAAGCATGCACTATACCAAGCCTATCCATCGCAAAAAAGGAGAGATATGATTCATTTAGTCGCAATGAAATACAAATATAACAAAGTTATTTGGGCGACAGTCCAACCTGTTAAGAGGTCAGAGCTGAGCAGGACGTCGGGACGAACAACACATACCAAAAATGGAAGTGCACCTTTGACAAGATCACTCCTGCTCTGTGAGCCTTGTCATGATCTCAACCGCCTGTGCCCATAGGACAGCCCGAGGAAGCCATACAACAGATGGGAGTGCAATGACAAGACCCTTCTTTTTGCGCCCCATGCGGATGACCTCTTCTTCTGGATATACACCATCTTGCCACTCTGTGGGAGTAACACCGTATCCATCAGGAATGATGTCCTGTGCGCGCACAGCATCCAAGAGTTGCCAGAATAGTGCTAGAGATTGAGGATCTGGGAAGGGATTCCGGTGAGTAGCGACCTTGATAGGCTTATGACGAATGTTTCGCTCCTGATCATTTGCAATGCGGTTCTCCAGCATCTCTATCATACGATCTTCGTTCTCGTTCTCGTTCTCACCCAACTCCAGATCAGAATCATCAGAATCAGAATCATCCTCAGGATGTCCAGCACCAGTCTGTCCCCTTCTTCGGTTTTGCACTCGGCCTGACACGCCATAGTACTGACTCAGAACGTCAGGATGAATCTTGTCGAGTGGGTCATCGGCATACACCCCATTGGTTGTTTGCCCGAGAAGCCGTAGGTCCTAATACATGTTAGTTTAATCTGTCTTTGCACAGTATATTTACTCACAAGAGGACTCTGGTTCTTTGTCCCAGGACCTGAGATCGGATGGTGATTCCACTCATTTTTGAAATCTTCACAGTCGCATTTAATCATATCAAGAAATAAGAGGTGCAGCAAACCAAGGTGATAGGGATTGTTCTTGTCCAATAGATGCATATGTTCTAGTCTTGCAAAGAATGCACGCCAACGCCGTACGAACTGTGTTCCGACATCAACCCATAGGCGTTCAATACGAGAGTTATGAGTTGATCTGGGTATAAAGTCTGAGTCGTGAACTGTTGTACATTGATGAGACTTACGATCCCCACATAAACGAGGCACGATTGGGTCCTTGATGCATGATCATCCAGACTGACACCTTGACATTTTCACCCCCACGATCCCCACGCACGCGAGACGGTGTTCCGAACTTCTGAATTGCATCAAGGAACACATCAAGAACAGTGGCAGCTTTGTTATTCGAGCTGGCATCAAGGCCGGTCACCTGCCAAAGTAATGTGAGTTCATCGCCTTCAATATCTACGTGTAGCTACTGCTCTGACACTTACTACACGGTCATACCCATCGATAAACCCATGGATGACAATTCCATATCGAATTAGCTTGTGATGGCCATCACAATGCCAGAGATAGTTTGGGCGAGGGACACTGTACCGGCGTCGTGAAATTCTGTTGTGTCGGCGCAGAATTTGCCCTAGACCATCGACTCGGTGCAAGGACTCCTGCACACGTTTTCGCTGTACTCGCAGACCATGTCGGCAAAGGAAACCAACCACATATCGCAGACCTGAGTTCGGTTTGTTTGTTTTGTAAACCTTGAGCAATAAATCCAGTTGCTCTTCCGACATCTCATGGAATCGGCGCTGCACCCCCAATGCCTTCATGTGATTGCGAACAATGTGCCGGTGAACTCCCAAGGCTGACGACAGCACTTTTAGTGAAATTCGTCTGTGAGGAGACAGCGCCTCAAGCAAGTACGCTGGATCAATGATTTTACGAGGACGACCACGTTTTTTGGTGTGTAATTCAGTAACTGGTGATGGATGGAGGATCCTGCTGTGTTCTCTGCTCGATGACAATAGATATCAGAAAGTCCGAAAACTGATGCCTGGCTCATAGGTACGCACATGCCCCCTGCAGCTTCTGCCGCATTATTCAGCGTCTGAATCAGATCATTTACTCTCTCTGCAGCTAATTGGATCCATTCTGCAGAGAGGCCTTCATGGCTGAGTGCATTGAGGATCGGCGTACAAACTGTATTGACAGTTTCAGCCAGGAGGCGTAGGCGGATAGGGTCTCCATCCTCCTGACGAGCCACTGTACAAGCATGGTCATACTGCTCCTGGAGAAGTCGGTGAGCTGATTGAATATTTGGCCCCCAATTTAAGCCTTCTTCAGCAGGTGGAAGAATAGGAAATGCAAACAGCGGCATGATATACTATGAGGCTGCGACAGGGTACCATGGGTGAGGCCGTTCACCAAATTCAGTCTCGATCACTTCCGGATTGGACACTCCTCCGCCACTCAATCCTTTGTCACGGCTAGTAGTTCTACCTGTGCCCACTACATGTGCGATATGAGCACTGCCTCAGGCGACATTTTGCCATCCACAGCACTCACACACCATCTCGACTACTACTTTCCAGATGGTACTGTGCATTTTGTCGTGAGTAATTGCCGACCGCTCACCGCAGCTAAGGAATAACTTACCATGACGTGGCAGGTTGGCAGACAGATTTACTGCCTTTACGCCGGGCTCCTGCACCGGAAAGCAAAGTTCTTTGAAGATTTGCTCAGCATGCCCCCGCTGCAAGCCAGAGGTGGCGAAACTGGTGCTGACCTTGAGGATGGATCCTGTGATCACCGAGCCATACGGTTAGATCGATATCGTCCTATGACCAACACAGAATTCGATAGCCTACTGTCGTTGATATTCCCAATGTAAGTGATTAGAAGTTCATTGCATTAGTCCATGTTCTAAACAACAACAGTCACGAAAAAGAGGGGCCACCTACGATGCAATGTCTGGTAGACGTTGTGCGACACAGCGCATTTTTCCAGATGGATCAAATTCAGAGAGTTGCACAGCAGGCCCTCGACCAGCATCCGGACTTCCCTGCACCCCTCCGCCTCCACTTAGCTCGAACCTGCTTCATCCCAGAGTGGATCTTGCCCGCGACACGTCAGCTGGTCACTATGGCCTTCACTGATCTCACTCGAGATAATGCCGAGCTCATCGGCATCAATGCATTTTATCTGGTTGTGCATGCCAGAGCGCGAATTGATCATCTCCGTAGGACGTGCGCACTCCGCCCGCCAAATCCCGTCCATCATACGACATGGTGCAAAGGGGAGGGGTCCTGTGAACGTGCCTGGAAAGATGCATGGTTTGGTGCATGGGACAGACCTAGCATCGCGACCCTCCTCATACATCCTGATCGCTACGTATCTGGCTCGAATATCCTCACGAAGCTGGAGTACATGAATACTGGCGACATGGATATTTCATGTCACAACCTCAGTGTCGCGAAGGTGATTGCTGGAGGGGATCCAGCGAGATGTGCATTCACTGCGTTTTTGCCCTTATGTCTGGGTGCAAGATACCCCCATGGATACGTGGTATAACTAGGACCTGGGCTACGCCGCATAGTTCTGCATATCAACCCCCAAGCTGGGTTACCAAGCTTCAAGTGTATCTTTCACTGTGCGATCCCCTGTAGTGAACAAGGTGATACGTTGGCTATGCCGCGCAGCACGTAGTCACTAGCAGTCTAGAAGCTACAGCATACACTTCCTAGGCTACAAGAAATATCAAACTTCAGCTATATTGGCGATGCTCCATGGCTACCATCAACAACACCCGTCTATTCCATTATATACTAATAGTAGATACTCCTGATGTGCTCACATCCCCTACTGCATACCTAATCACACCTGCAACAGAATAGACTTTGCATGTCGATCTTCCGATGGGGTTTGCGACGCAGTCTGTTTCTCACATACCTGTCACGAGAGGTGTCAATGGAGCATCCCAACTTTGGACAAACACAAGAATTGTAGAGCACATCGCATGTTCAGCCATGACCCGAGAGACCAAGAGCATGCAGAGACCATGTCATGGAGATAGAAGGCAACGCAGCACTCCTCGCTCTTAAGGTGACGGCGACGGCACGCCAGAAATATGTTTAGACAGCGGTCAACGGGCCAGTGAATCTGTGGATGGAAGGGCGCGGAACCAGCACGTAGTGTACGCCAGGTGAACTTGACCTTGGACACGATGATGCGCTTGGGCCGATGGAGGCCTGAACTTAGCACTAGTTATATGTACGTCAAGCTTGAAATCGCTACGTGGAATAGCCAATGTAGCTGGTGCAAGGTACACCAGAAAGCCTGTATAGAAAGGAGCACAGTGATGTAGTATAGCTCACGTAGCAGATGGTCGTAGATAAGTGAGATCGTGCACCAAATGCGATGCATAAGCTATGTGGGCTAGCACACATCTTTCACATCAAGATTTATGACATAGCAGTGGGGGTCACAGCTATGTTTGCTATCTGCCCTACTCCGCCTATCTTCACATTGCGACTTCGGCTACCCATCAAACTATGTATTCTATCTGGCGTAGCCTATTCGTAGCAGACCCCCTACTAGAACGGCGAAAACACAGTGATTGTTGAAGGAGGAGATGATTATTGAAGAGACGGCGGGAGCGATCCGTGCTACCCATCTGTGATCCTCAGCCACAGTATGTATTTCCCCCCACTCCACCCAGATTGACATTGAATAAACAGTGACTGCATACAGAGAACATATTTCATACCACCTTCGCAATGCAGTCAGACAAATTACGGTGGCCATGCATAAACCAATTCTGTATCCTGCGAGTGTAAACAATCACTATATTTTGCAGCTCACAGAGCAGACATTGTGTGCTAATGATGTGCCTGCATGACCGCTAGCAGTCCCATCCGAAATTGTGAAGTAGGTTGTACTCGTCATCCAGCACATAACCTACGGCATATGCATGTTGCACACGGATGTCGGCCATCACCTCGGTGCAGACATCATGCCATGCAGCCTATTGACATGCTCGCCATGGCACAGAGTGTTGGTGCACTCCCCGTGCGTAACTCTTTGTCGCGCTGTGCGTCCATCGCGTTGCCAATCACATCGCTAGTAAAGTCGAGAATGGAAGTCAGTAAGAGTGTTGGCGCGCTCCCCGTGCGTAACTCTTTATCGCGCTGTGCGTCCATCGTGCTGCCAATCACATCGCTAGAAGGGTCGAGAATGGAAGTCAGTACATGGAGAGTGAGTCTTTAGAACAATGTGCAGGTATAAAATCGCCGTCTCCGGAAAGATGTCCGCCGTAAGTCGACGCACTTTCTCTATCGCATACGACCCGACCGCCGGAGCTACAGTCGCAGCTGCGTCTGCCTGCTCCGGCCCCGGCGGTCCCACGTCCGCCGCCTCTTCGACGTCGGCAAACTGCCGGGGCACCGACAGCTACCTCAGCTGCTGCTCGATCAGGTCCCGGCGGCGCACGAGCTCGCGCATGCTGAAACTGCCGCTGCGCTGCTCCGCCGCCTTCCAGTGCGCGAGTGCGGAGATCTCCGCAGTGGCTAGCACCGCCTCATCCGGGCAGCCCGTCGGCGTGCCCATGCCCAGGTCAAAGTGCTTCGGCGAGTTCACCCAGAATTCCGCGCCGGTAGAGCGGCAGGAAGCGCCGCAGCTCTTCACAACGTGATGCTCGAGAAGACGTCTCACAACGTGATGCTCGAGAAGACGTCGATCAACTGCAGAGTCGCGCGCAGAAGGTCAGTACAATCAGGTGGGGGAGGAAGGGAGATGGGGCAGGCGTGGGACACGCACCATGGTCGCCTTGGCCGCGTACCGCGCGGCGAAGTTCACGTTGAGCAGCGTGAGCTTGGGATTCTGCTCCTCGTGGGTCCTGCTCTGCCCGAGCCAGTCGCACACGACCTCGAACAGGGCGGGCCAGTCACCCCGGCTGTTGACGAAGACGGCGAAGGACATGAGCTGCACAGCGGCGATGGCGTCCACATCGGTGTAGTGTGCACCGTGCACCATGGCGCGCGCGATCTTCACGAGCGCCTGGTCGTAGAAGTGCTTGGGCATCAATTGCTCCGGGTTCTGCATCGGGGCCTCGAGCCGGATGACGAGGTTGCTGAAGCCCTATGCCTTAAGGAAATTAGATGCAGTACGAGGTGCATTCAGCGCGCGGATTCACCTCGGGCAGGTGATAATCGTGTTGTAGCCCTGGGGGAGTGCAGCACGAAACAGGTGAGTGAGAAATGAGAGAACAATTGTGCAGAAATGATGCAGTAGGAATGATATAGGACTCCTTCGAATTCCTATCACAACACTTCTACACAGTACGGATGCTCACCACGTTCATATTTCAATAACGACCTGTGGTCACCTTTCTTTGAGCTACTTGGCGGAGAAAGGACACGGAAATTTCACAATACACATGTCACAATACACCTTCCAGTGGGAGAGAACACAGTCAACAGCAAATGTGAGTGCCAGTGGGCGCGTCGCGTCCTCTCACACGTGCATGGAAGCAAGTCACGTGTATTACTATAAGCGCCCTCCTTGCGAGAAAATGGGTACCGGCGTATGCTGACTTCACGTTAAGTCGCTATGCTGCGCTGGTACGTCTTGCTGATAACAATAAATGTACAAACGGTACGCCATAATCGCCGCGTTCAAGGGTGCGGATGACGTGGAGTGCGCGATGTCGGCGATGCGTCCGGTGTCGGAGTACTTTGGCGAAGAGCCGGAGGAGGGTGTCGTGCATGTTGTGGTGGAGGTTATCCATAGAGATTTCGGTGAGCTTACTTGTTCCGCTGCACGGGGTGCGGGCGTTTGCGCTACTGATTGCGCTACGGAAGGCGCTTGCATACCAAAGGATTGGCATAGTGAGCGAGAGGATTCAATTTCTAAGATGAATTGGAATCACGAATGACTGCGATGTGCGTAGCCGACGTATCCGCGGCGGGCCAAAATGCCGACACAGTCGCTGCCCACGGTATCCGAGCTTCAGGCACTCTTGGAAGCGCCCCTACTGGAGAACGAAAGATCCCCATGAAATGGTACGAATTGGAGTACCTCCCATCCTCGGATATCCGTGACTACTGCAAGAAGGCAGACGCAGAGCAGCTCTTATGCGAGCGAACAGACGATCGACCAGGACCTGTACATGACTTTCTGCCTAGCTGTATACAGGGGAGCTCCGCACCACAAGGGCTTAGCCACCTTGCGCACGCACTACGATGCCAGTCTGGGAAACATCCTGTCGGTGGTTTTCCCAGATGGCACGAGGTGTCGGCTGGGCGAACGGGGAGAGGCAGATGCCCGCGTACGGATTCATGCTCGACAATACATGTGTATTTCACGGAGAGGAGGTATCGGCGCCCTGGTGCCGCTCAGGTTCGGAGGAGAGCGATCCGAAGTCGACTCTCGCCGCCACCGTGGACTGGGTGTACGACCCAGCACCGTATATGCTCGGTGAATCCACTCCCAATTGTGCGTCTTTCGCCCCCATCTGGTTGCGAAGGGTATTACGCGGTCGGGACGGTGGTGATACTCGTCGCTATCCGTGCACCTGAGTCGCCGCTGCGAAGGCCGATCGTCATAGATCTAGCTCAAGCGGATTTGGATCTCAGGCGGGAGCGCATCCTGCCCTTGAAACGGATGGTGAATCTGTGTCGATATATCAAACAGCTCAGGACGATCATTGGGGTTCGGGATGTACCTGAGTTCAGTCCGATGGACTCGGCGAGATCCGAGATCCCAGGGAGTACTTCAGCAAGTGAAGGAGATTCGATGTAACATCCGTCCTTGTCTTCGCTAGTGAAGAGAGCCCCCGCGTAAAAACATTGGATGCTGTATCTTGTGAGGGAATCCGATGTGGCGGACAAACAGCGGGACTGCACTGCGCTAGATCACTCAAGGGGCATGCAATCTCAAAGATAACTGGGACATACAGACGATACATAAGCTAGTGAGCGGTGCATTAGAGGGTTACCGATGCCATCTGTACCGAGTTCTTGCTCGAAAACTCCTCCGAGGGCTTCAAGATGGAGCTTCATCGTGATCGACAGGCCTGGTTTTGTGGTATACGTACCTGGAGGTGGATCCAGATTAATCTTTGGGACCATTCTTTCAATAATCACATGCAGAGGAGGGTACGCTGTGCACCTAATTGAAGGTGCCATGAGAGTCTGGAGTGCTTCAACGGTGCCTATTATCGATCAGAATATGTGAGTACTACTGTACTGGTGCACGTTTTGCAGCTTAGAGAAAGAGGCCTTCATCGACTTCGCCGCGGGGAGCAGTAAAACGGGACTGTCACGTACCAAATACCTGCCGAATTGCGTGAAGCCTTACCCACAACCCAAGGCAACTCGGAAATAAAATTTGAAAGAACGAACTCAGCATTTCATAGCAGAATCTCATAGATGTAAGCGATTTTCAAAGTCTGACAAAAAGGTCCATTGAGATATTTGCATCGGAGACTCCTCGGCTTCCTATTATGCTAGATTGGCAAATCCTATGACTATATGGGAGTTATATAGAGACGCCAGAGCGATCTAAGGTGAATGGAACGTACGATGGTTTTCCTCTATATCATCGTTAGCAGAACAGCGGAGAAGCGGCAGTTAGAAGATGGCCGAGGCCAAATATCAATGACGGACGCACGGTCATAAGCCGAATAGACGTTTTGAAGGAAATTCTGTCCTAAAACGCCTGGCAAAATCCACGAGTGGAGCACATCGTCCGTCATGTTCAATGTCGGATACAGTGACTTGGGTACCAGGTACCTGGGGGACCACATGAGGAGCAAAACTGATAAGTCTCTAGTTTTAGATTACTTGGATGACGGAATACTGATATCCAGGCTTGAATTCACCCCTTGAAACGAAATTGTGACGGGAAGGAGGGCGTCTGCGGAGGTGTTCAATGAGAAGGTAATAGAGCCCTGGAGGTCGGAAGTAATGTCCAAGCCTGCACCGGGGACGGTCTGGTAGATGGCAAAGAACGCGTCGCTGGAATGAAAAATTAGTACATTGAACAAGAGGTTTTCAGAGTTCCTCACAATGGAAGACCGAGCGCGACGTTTCCAGTATCAGTGTAAGTGGCGACGGGTTCCGATTGGACAACAGTAGAACCATAACTGACGCTCGATATCTGTGTGTTGGAGTGCATTAGTCGGCACAAAACCGTAAGATGACAGATTGTTCACATTCAGAACATAACGATTAGTATATGGTGGTATCTGCGGAATCCACACGATTTCCCCTAAAAATCACGTAACATGCACCAGTCATATTCAAAGTATATCAGGCTAGACGCACCGCTGATGCGACTCTCGTCAATACCGCCGAACGTAATATCTCCAGTGCCTTCTGATATACCTTCCTCGCTCAAAGGTGGTATATAAATACCGAAAACCGGGCTCTCGATAGATCCCTCTGCAACGAGCCCTTCCACGAAAGTTGGTGTAGTGCTGTATCCCGAGACCTCGCCACCGTTGCATCCTGGGACACCAAGACCCACTGTTACATCAATTATTACCGGATCGTGTTGAAAGACGACGAGAAAAAAACCCACGTATTCCATCAAAGGGCTCAAAAGAAGACATATAAGAATAATTCGCAGCACCAATCACCTGCCTATTGACAGTAGCTTCTCCCAGTGTGACGCGGTCAAGGTAAGCGGTACCACTTGCGCCAGCAGACCCATATCTTTAACAACAAGTTGAATCAAAATAAATACGCCGGAAGTCCGAAGGTGGTTACCCGGCACCGAACGACTCGTTCATCCTGCAAGACAAGATTGTGAGCACAAATCATCAATTAGAGCGCATCCACCACTTACGGGACACTGTGAGATCCGGGTATATATTGTTGTTGATCTGTTCCACCGACCCATACCAAACAGCTTCCTGTATCAACTAGCACGTTGGACCAAGTCTGAAAATTGCCAGCTTGTACTGGACAAACATTAGCTACAAAAGGACCATGATATGTGAGACAAGCATACAGGAAACGGTGGTCATGAAAGCGGCGTTCCTGTCGGGGACAGCCGGATCTGTATCGGGAAAGAAACGGTCTACGATATCATTCGAAAGCAGTTAGTGTTATGCTCGCACCTCCTGCACTGCGTACCAACATGTTGAGTAAATTACTCGCTGGGTAGATAGTAGAACTTACATGAGTGATGTAGTCAGAGGTACCTTGAATAAGGTTGCTGCTTGAACAACGCTTATAAGCAAGAGCATCCCCAACATCTTGAACATCGGACGTTTCTGATATGGCATTCAAAGAAGGGGTCGGTTGAGGGTTGACTGCTGTGGATAGTATTTATAGAGTAATATAGGCGCCTCTCGCGTAGGAACACCGCCAATTTGAAAATATTAGTTACGTACATGACTATAGCTAGATGATTCCTATTCGCGATGTGCAGCCGGCGGCGGTGAGTTCAATTGAGTTACACTGAGAGATTCATACCGTAGCTAAACTTCGACCTCAAGTTCAGTCGCGGGTCACGCACCTTGTTCCTATTTGGGCGCTTGTCACGGGTCACAGAGGTTTGTAAATTGCCCAAAATGTAATTATGGGCGCTAAATTGCTAAATGAGACCGTGCACTTCGGGCACTTGTGTGAACTGAACACCTATATCACACTGACATGTGAATGTCCTGCATCACACCCCCGTGAACCTACACCTGTTTGCATAAAAAACTGCAGATCACGATTTTGCAGTGACATATTTGTCCTGTGCAAACAACACCTTATGCAGTAGACTGGGTGGCACTGGTAATCCTCAGCATAAGCCTGGCGTATGCCTCGCAGTCACCGAATGCACCAGGAAAACCCAACTTTTTCTTAGGGACTTATTTAGACTTTGGGTCTGGCAACCCTTATTTAAGTCCATAAGTGTTGAAATAAGTCTCAATAAGTCAAATTTCAGACACTTAGGAAATATGCCTTAGGCCCTTTTTGTTCTTATGTTCTTAAATAAGGTCTATAATTCCATTTAAGTTATATAAGTGTTCTTAAGGAAAAGTGGGGTTTTCCTGATGTGCATCAGAAAGGAGTTGAGGTTGTAGGACTTGCCTGCCTGCAGAGGCTCGCAGCCCTCATGAAGTGATCAAACAGGTCGAGCAGGCAAATGAGATTTTTTGCTCACCACCTGACATACTGTGTAAGGGAATATTTGTTCTGAACAAATAGCTTGCCATGAGTCACAATCTGCAGTTTTTATGCAAATGATTGTGAGGTCATTTTGCTACAGTATTCGGAGCTACAACCGAGCCACAATGCAGATCAAACTGACAGAAACCTCCAAAATTCAAATTACGCATACATTATATGGCAATTAGAAGGTATCGAGGAATGTCAGGCCTCAGAGGGTACTCACCAATCCCTGGCACAACAACTGAAAAATTTTACATGCAGACTATCAGAGTATCTGTGTCGCTAACAGGAGAATAACTGCAAAGGGCTTCACTGAAGAAGTACAAAATGAACTGGCACAGTGGAGATTCTTTGAGATGCAGCATCAGATGCTGCGAGATCATCATCGGGCTCAAGAAGGGCCTCGACAACAAAGTGGAGAATTGTTGGGCTAGTCAAGATTACCATCCAGATGATCGTGAGGCTCAAAGTTGAATGTACATTGTGGCACAAATGTCAGACGTGAGTCTGATTGATCACACCAGGCTGCATATCCCCAGGTTCCAGGTCCACCAGGATCACTGAGCAACACCTCTGCACCATTCCACAGAGAAATTCCACAAAGTTCAGGGTGCCATTGTAGCACACCAATGAGATGAGGAGGAGAACCTTCTATGCCATTCTCCAGGTTTATTGCCCTCCACTTTCCCTGGAAGATGGGTGAACTCATCAATGTCTATGCACCTGATGAACTCGACGTGGATGAAGTCACCAGTGTAGAGCGCCATCTCGAGGAGGTTGATGAAATCAAGATGTGTCTCAAACTGCAGGGTGGCAAATTGGGGAAAGTGGCCATAGTGGTTGTCCCAGTGAGCTAGATCTGAACATTGCGACATTGTCCATACAGCTACCGGGGTGGATGCACATCAGTGTGATTAGGCACAGTGCCTTGAATGCAGCATAGAATGTGTTCATGTTGTCTTCATTCATGGAATAGAAGTACACCTCTTCCAATGACTGCAGCATTCCTATCGGGCCAGAAGGTATAATTAGACACATGTTGAACATACCATGCAGGTGAAGACAATAAAGATGCTGCAGAGGAGCCAGGAGTGTCATGACACTCAAGGAGTCCAGAGTTTATCGGAGTTCAAGAGCTCCTGCAAGGTGTTTTCCTTCACTGTAAGGTCCCTGAGGGAAAAAAAACAGTCACCAAATTTGATTTTTTCACGTGGCAGTGGCAAACACCCTTGCACAGGCAGTGTATATAGTCTGGAAGCATTGAAGTGTGAGCAAAGTCAGATGACCAGGTACCACCACAATCCCTCCTGTGAAAGAGCCTTTCAATATCAACTCCATCAATGTACTTGCACATCATTGTCATTTATGAAAGATAATATATACTGTTAATTAACACACCTTTAAGATTAGCAGACTCCTTACTTAGCAGACCTCTTCCAGGATTATCTTAAGATAATCTTTGGGATAATCCTAAGAATGATCCAAAGGATGATCTGAGTTTAAAAGAGATTTTTTAAGTTGTCACCAGCCAGGATTAAACCCTCAACCTTGAGAGAAAGTCACATGATCAACTGACACTAGACACTTTAGCCACTACACCATATCAGCTTATAAACTCACTCTTATGTATAATACATATAGAAGATTTTGCTAAAGAGACTTAGGCAAATTTTGTCTAAGTGCATAACTGAGTGAAACACAAGACAAAGAATATCATAGTAGCATTTTCAGTACATACTTTACAATTCAATCACATTGTGATCTCATATTTTACAAAAAGACTATAGTCATAAATTTTAAGTTTAGAGAATAGATCTTTAACAGTACCTAGAAGGTGAACAGTAATTTACAACATATACAAAGTTAATATATAGGTATTGTAATATAAAGAGCAGTATAGACTATATGAAATGCTACTATGATATTCTTTGTCTTGTGTTTCACTCAGTTATGCACTTAGACAAAATTTGCCTAAGTCTCTTTAGCAAAATCTTCTATATGTATTATACATAAGAGTGAGTTTATAAGCTGATATGGTGTAGTGGCTAAAGTGTCTAGTGTCAGTTGATCATGTGACTTTCTCTCAAGGTTGAGGGTTAAATCCTGGCTGGTCACAACTTAAAAAATCTCTTTTTAACTCAGATCATCCTTTGGATCATCCTTAGGATTATCTCAAAGATTATCTTCAGACATTTAAAGATTATCCTTTGCTAACTTAGGAGCCTGCTTATCCTCTCATGCTGTTAACTAGCACAATTTATTATCACTCATAACTGACATCACTGACTTGCACTGTCCTGCCACAGGGCTATGTCAGATTCAATGGATGCTAAATTTGCTATGGAATATGATGGACTCCTAATGCTTTATACATCCAGCAAGCAGAGGCATTATTCTAGACAGCAGTACGAACTTGGAAATAGGGGGCTTCTGAGGATAAAAAAGAAAGTATCTGGTTTCAACAACAATCGTGATGTGTCACAGATATGAACACTGTTGAGCAGAATGAGAATGGTGCTCTAGGGCAGTGAACAATTGATTGTTATGCTCCTCCAATGTTGAGAGACAGACGCTGATGAGTGCACACCCAACACAAACACATAAACCCAACTAAACAAATAAGAAGGGTAATCTGTGTAAGAGGAACTCAGGGTAATACAACTGTAAAATGATGCAAGTGGGTCTCAGAACCTCAACCAAAGCCTAAGGGGATGTAATCTGTAAAGGAGTGAGGACTTGTGACAGGAATGCGAAGTTAAGCAACAATCTACAATAAAGTTGCAAAAGTCGGAGGAGGGAAACTAAAGTCACGATGAGATCGCCAAACTTGTAGGTGAAGACGCACTAAATCACAAAGTGGAAGGGAACTATCTGTGGGGGAGGAATGCTATGGGGAAATGCAGTATTCACCATCTCAACGAAATCACAGTCAGTCTAACACAAAAGTCGGAGTAAGACTAATGCAGGTGGTATATCGCTATGTCACTATCACAGTGTCACAGTTCGCTATCACTATCGCAGTCCCAGTTACAGTCTCTAAACGCAATATGCAGTCTCACTATATCACAGTGTTGCTATGTCACTATGTCACAGTAGGATATACATCATAGTTTGAAGTCGCTATTGCAGTAAACGCAGTTTCTTGGTGATCTAAAGTGAAAGGGGAACTCCTCCCTACTGGTCTTCAATGACAATCAATGTAGATACAGCAGGTATTTATAGAGGGGGAAATAGGGAGAAAAAATACGAAAGTCATGAAATGTTGGATGATGGATCCTGACATCAGAAAGAGTCATAATGGTCTAGGACCAATGGAAAAATAGGTAAAGTAAGTGGGGAGGTGAATGTCATATGTTAGTGATGGAAAGAATGGTAAAGTAGAGGAAAAGCAAAGAAAAATATATGTTACTTGTCCTGAACCACATGGAACCCTCAAATGGCATCTCTGGTCCAGCACGAAGGTAGGGGTCTTGAAGGGCAAGATGAAATGATAAAGGAAATGAGATTTGCAAAACAAGGAGGTGCAACCATCGAGCGACACCGATAAGTTAGCATGACAAACCAGTGAGTTGGGCAATATCCAGAGGGGCAGCGCAATGTTGGGGAAGCACAGACTTAGAAGAAAATTGGCCAGGGCACATCAGATGAGACCAAAGGGCAATGGGTAAGTAATATTCAACAGTGAGGAGATGTAAGAGGGTGTATGAGTGATAAAAGAATGTCAAATCTCGGAGAGAAGTCACGAGATATTGAGCAAAGTTGCAAAAGTCCGCAGAGTGTCATAAAAGAGTCAGATACATCCTGGAGGCTAAGACATAGAGTGGTGAGGTCTGAGAGATTACTGGAAAATATGTTTTCAGAGGTCAGGAGGTCTGGGAGCACATCAATGTGACATAAATCGAGAATATGTTTTTTTTGCCCTCCAGAAATTGACCACACGATCTTTGAAGATCGAAGCTGCACGGGCTGCTTGCAATTCTATTGCACATTCCAAGCCATTCGAGTCAGCACTGTCAAGCATGAGGAAATCTTCCTCTTTGTATGTGCACTCTTGAATGTTTTGTATGTCTTTCAGTTTTGTGCACTAAGATTGTGCAAGCAGAAAAAAGTTATAAAACAT